GTGGATACTCCTCTTCTTCACCATGCCAGATTATCCCACGCTGAGTCCTGGAACGTCCTACCCAAGGATTCTCTTGAAAATCGTCACTCTCCCCTTCCTCAAGCCGGACCTTACTCAGATGGCGCTTATAGCCTTTTTGACCTCGGGGATGTTTACGTCTTTCTGGACGACTTTGACATTTCAATTAGCTGACGTTTTCCACATGTCAACATTGGGAATTGGTCTATTCGCTCTTATCGGCATCTCACCGGTGTTTCTTAACCCGGTCATCTCTCGCTTGTTAATATCACGTCTACATCCTCATGGCACACTTATAATTGCGCACTTAGTGACTCTTGCTGCGATCTGTATCGGCACATTCGTTGGTACGTTTTCACTCGCGGGCCCTGTCATCTGGGCATTCTTCGGAGATCTCGGGATGAATACAATTGTTGTTGGAAACCGTGTGGCTATAGCACATGTCGACTCTAAAGCTCAGAATGCTGTGAATTCCATTTATATGGTTCACACATTTTGCGGACAGCTTTTTGGTACAGCGGTCGGCAATGCGCTTTACGCTAAGGGGGGTTGGACATACTCCGGTGCCTTCAATATCGCGCAGATGATAGCTGGGTTATTGATCCTTTTTGGAAGAGGACCACACGAGAAACGTTGGTTAGGTTGGAGAGGTGGATGGGACATGAGAAAACCCAAGATAGAAGAAAACGGCTCACCTCGCGGAGCGCAAGCCGATGCGGAAGCAAACACAGAGGAGGTAGCTACTGAAGTCCCGACTGAAGTACCTACGGAAGATGAATCCCCCAAGGAGAAGGCAGAGAATGGTGATGAAAAGACATAGCTACCTTGTAGTTAATCGGGGAAATTAGACCTTCTGCTTGGGATATCGTTAAATATTTATAGTAGATAATTGACTACCTACCTAACCTAAGGCTTCTTATCCTCTATTTTAAATACCTCCATACCTATAGAAACTGATAGAGTGTTTCTCTATGAATTGTAAATTTGCGTCCTCTTCTTTCGTAATTCAGCTTTAACCCCTATTTCAAACCCCTATTTATGCCAGCCACCGAAGCTACTTATCTATACCGTCTTTATACTGTTCTATCTACTGTGTGGTCACGCGAGGACGGTCTCATAGGTGATACATAATACATAAGCAACTTGAATGGCTCAAACGTTTGTCTTCTTATCTATAAATTCTGCAGGTCGCATTCAAACGCGCGTGATTATAATCCGATGTGAAGTAAGATTCTATAACCGAAATATATAGAGTAACTAGCGATTATAAAGGGAAACTTATTAACCCCCCATACACTCAAACCTCAAGTTTCAATCCATGATTCTAATTGAAACATCGGATTTAAAAGGTGTCAAGGCATGAGTATCTCATTGTACCAAACATATTCCTCATTTACTGCGATCAAGTTCTATCTTTTCATTGCTCTATCCTAGACAATGGACCAACGTGCTGCAATCCCTGTTACTCTACCGAGAGAGAACCCCACCCGGAGCTACTGGCAGCTTGAACCCCACGAGATCGCCGACATGCGCTCGACTAGTTCACTGCCGGTTAAGGCGGAGGTTGTAATTATTGGGAGTGGGATCACTGGGGCCGCAATGGCTTTCAACCTTCTAGAGAAAGGCACCCGCGACGTTATCATGCTGGAGGCCCGGCAGACATGCTCGGGTGCAACTGGACGGAACGGTACATCCTTGTTCCTGGATATTTATAATGTACTTCTTGAGACTGACATCGCGTGGTATAGGCGGTCATACGAAGGCAGCATCTTACCTCTCGTTCCAAGAGCATGAGAAACATTACGGCACTGCTATGGCTGTCAAGATCGCTCGCCTCGAGCTGGCTAACATTCGCGCCGTGCACGCGTTCGCAAGGGAACACGGGATTGAGTGTGATAGCCACCCTTGCGATACGGTAGATGTGGTTTATGATGCAGCGCGATGGGAGTTCGACCAGCGTGCTGTTAAGGCTATGCAGGATGCCATACCCAGCGACGATGCCTCTGTATACGCTATACATAGTGCCGAAGAAGTAAGCTCTAAGTTCTTCTGCGGCCAGGGAGGGGATGAGGAAGTATATGGTGGCTTATCATATGAGGCAGGAAGTCTAAATTCCTACAAGTTTACTATAGGCGTGCTGAAACTGTGCTTGGAGAAGGGGCTTAACTTGCAAACCAATACCCCCGCGCTCAATCTGGAAAGGCTCGAGGGTGGTGGCTGGAAGGTAGAGACCCCTAGGGGCTCGATAGAAGCGCAGAAAGTTGTACTGGCTACAAATGGATATACTGCGAATATCTGGAAGAAATTCCAGGGAATTATCGTTCCGCTACGTGGACATGTCACTGCACAGCGACCCGGTCTAAGCGTACCGAAGGATCGCCTGGCAGGCTCATACAGCTTCTTCAGTAAAAAGGGATACGATTACATGATTCAACGACCGCGAGGCACGCAGTTTGAGGGGGATATCGTAATTGGTGGGGCTCTCTCTAAGGCCGTTGCAGATGGTCTCGAGGAGTACGGGACGACAGATGATACTACACTTAACGATGACATCGTAAAAGCTCTTGAAGACAGCTTACCGAGATACTTCGGTGATAACTGGGGTAAAGATGACCAAGAAGGGCGAATACGTAATGCGTGGACCGGTATCATGGGTTATAGCCCCGATGGCTTCCCTTTCGTCGGCGAGATTCCAGGAGAGAAAGATCTTTGGGTCTCTACTAGTTTCCAAGGTCACGGCATGGTTCTCTGCTGGATGTGCGCCCGCGCGCTCACGACTATGATGAATGGTCGTTCGGATGAGGACGAGGGGTTGAATTCGTGGTTCCCTGAAGTATACAGGATTACCGAAGAGAGAATGCGCTTGACTTTTAAGGGTCGCCTACGTAACTGAACTGAAGTACTCGTGTTGACATGCTTTATAGATTACGTCGAAATTGCTTTAAAGCCTTTTGTTGCTCCTGGGGAAAGGGGTATGAAAGGATAGTTACATATTGGTATGTTGATATACCATGAGATATGAATAGATCTGGAAGATTGAAATGAAATTAGTATTGTGACATGCTTTGATGTGACTCGAGGGAGCTTCACTCGACTGACGATGTAGTGAAAAGAACGTTGAATATGTGAGAGCGGTTGGTATTGCTTCGTTATAAGTGAAGTGGGAGGTCTGTCCTACCTTATTAAAATTCTTTGCTGATATTTTACCTGACAGCGGTCCCTTAACCGCTCATTTGAACATTCTCGGTGGGGTATGCACTAATGTTACATACATTGGAATATCTACGTAGGTAATGCAGATGATGAGGCGACTACAATACCCCATTCTACATACTCTCTACCTTGCCAAGATGATCTACTAGCACTAGGCGTTCCAAGCTTTATGGGGCCCGTAGATCCGGCATATGGCTCCCGTGGCTCTTTTTTTAGTACCATTCCGTCCTTGTTGTCGCTGCTAGGTACGGGCTACCTTAGGCATCCTCGCGTTATAAGTTTTAGCGAAGAGACAAGCACACCCTTCATCTAATGCAAGATATATGGGCATACGGGGAAATAGACACCGTAAGACGGGTCTTATGTGAACGCAACTATCCGAGCTCCGAAGTCCCAAAATCAGATCCTACCTTGGAACTTCAACAAGATGCTACCATTGTTAGTTAGAGTCATACCGAGATCGAGTAACGCGTGGGGCTGCTGGCACTTGATATATAGAACTTGATATGCGCATGAGGTTGACTAATTGAACGTCTAGACCACCGGCCGTATCAGTAATGTATGCGGCACCGTAATAATTGAGTACTCTTTTATGGTGTTTCGCCGAGTAGGATGAAGTAACTCGTATATTATCAATATCATTATGGGTTACATCTATTGCTAATAGGTACCTAAGGTAGTAAGATGTCGATGAGTCAGTCCATATAACTTGAAAGAATTTACATCGTCAAATTGAAATAGGTGGAAAGATATGATTTCATTAGTAGTCTATGTCAAGTCAAGTCACCATCGGTTCAACTAGTTGACATAATGCTACGTTTATTCCTTATGCAAAACATATGCGGTGAAATATACAGGGGTGAAGAGCGACCACACAGCGAGCTGCAGATAGATTAAAGGAGAGCTCATTAAAGGACAGTTACTGTGCTTTCATCAGCTCGATCTTTACGGTTAGTTTTACCTGGTTATCCTATATTGATGTTTGAGGTTACATCCAATGATTCGCCGCATACTTATGTATATTCTATTTGAGGGTGGCCCATATATGTTACAGACTCTCGCTCTCGTTCTCGCTCTCGGCACTTACTAGAGACGGAACCCGGTTTGTTCGGAACCATCAGCGCATAGATTTTACACGAACACGGCCGGTGGACTGATTGCTCTGGTGGGATCTACCGATCATTTTTCTCTAAATTCTACCATTCTAGGACGAGTTCAAGCTCAACAGGTACCTATCTCTAAATATATATATCTAGCCGCAGGATCAATTAATAATTTCTGCTATATGGCGCATTAAAGGAAGCGATGAATATGTATCTTGGTCTCTACCGAATCCGGTAAAGACATTATGAGTCTCCACAACGTTCCCACCCGAGGACACATGTCGTAGTAGCATGCATGTATCGTGTAGTATTTACCTACGTACCTAATGACTTATTGGTGGGGTTGAGCTTAACTCCTTACGAGTCGTTTGAAATTTGACTCATTCTGCGGTCTAGCTCCCGTGAACTACGCAAGCTGATCGTTTATTCGACAAGGAGACATCGTAAGGTCATATCCGCCTAGTATTCATGTTTTGCAGTGGTAAAAGGAGTACTATGTAGGTGCGGAGGGTCGGACGGTTAGACCTGAAAAACATATCCGAATCCGCATAGTATTCGGGGATACGGATTACTTCTTTTGCTCTTACTTGATTGATCGGTGTACATGGGTGGTAACGGTTCGCATTTAGGCTGGGGCTGCGCCCGCGAACAAGGTACCATGCTAGCATGTCAGTACATAGTATGAGGCATGTATGACCGCGCTTTTCGGACTATACACTACAAGACGAGGGCCGAGAAGGTCTAGCTTGCGGAGCCGAATATCTTCGCTGGACCCCGGTATACACAGACATATACAGATCAATCAAGATGTATACCTAGATATATATATAAGACTACGCTCCCACATGTCTAATAATGACACTATGTCTACGGATTATCAACTCTCTTGTCCTATCAGATCTAACAGATACTTATTCCTCCTTTCTTCCCCTTCTGGTAAACCGGAGTAAATAAAAGTTTCTACTACACCGCCTCTAGGTACCCACTAGTAATAATAGGCCTTCGTCGATAATGCCGCTCAAGGTCCTCATCGTCGGTGCGGGTATCTGTGGGCCTGCCTTGGCGACGCTCCTGCGGCGTTCCGACCCGGAGAACAGTATCACGGTTGTGGAACGACACCCGGGAATAAGGCATAACGGCTTACAAATTGATCTTCGGGCATGGGGTGTACCGATTATGAAACGGCTTGGGCTTATCGACGCCGTGAAAGAGAAGTGTGTGCATGAGAGCGGCATAACATTCGTCGACTCCAAGGGCAAACAACACGGCCTGTTCGGCGCCGCAGGAACCGAAACCGGCCGTAAGTACCTTCAAGAGCTTTTATTAACTCCTTTTTTGGTCTATCGCGACTCGCGAGGGATAGAATTTCATTGTCGAACATATTAAGGAGTTGTTATTCCCAAGACAGACTTCGACCATTCATACTCCTTTCCTATACGATTGCTTGCTAATATCCTACTATAGAGCAGTCTTTCACTAGCGACTTCGAGATCCTGCGCGGCGACTTGTGTCAGATTCTCTACGAGGCTAGTCTCCAAGATTCAGATGCAAAGGTAGATACTCAGAAGAATCAGGAGAGTACTCCCGAGGGTGAAAATGGACCCGGCGTCAGCTACTTATTCGGCGCGACGGTCACGCGACTAGACCAAGATGAAAAGGGTGTGGATGTAACTTTCTCAGATGGTCGGACGAGGCGGTACGACCTAGTAGTCGGAGCCGATGGCCAGTGGTCGCGAACGCGGCGCATGATGTTTGGCGAAGAGGCTGGGCTCGGTATGTTTAAGCGCCTGAACCTCTACGTCGCGTACTTTACCGTTCCAAAAGAACCCGGGGACGACGACCTGGCGCGCTTCTACCACGCAGGAAAGGGACGCGGCCTAGCCACGCGCACGGGTGACCGGCCTTACACGCAAGCCTACCTGATGGTGCGCACAGAATCGGAAGAGGTGCGGCGAGGAATTGAGCGGCAATCCGTAGAGGAGCAGAAAGAGTCCTTCGCGAAAATATTCCAGGGCTGCGGGTGGCAAATGGACCGCTTCCTCGAGGGGATGGCCAAATCGACTGACTTCTACGCGGACTCTATCGGGCAGATTAAAGCGCCTCATGTGGTCAAGGGACGCATCGCGCTGATTGGCGATGCGGGTTACTGCGCAGCGCCGGTATCAGGCATGGGCACGACAGTCTCCCTGATGGGGGCCTGGACACTGGCCGGAGAGCTAGCGCGACACAAGGGCGACGTACCGACCGCTCTAGAGGCCTACGATGCGAAGATTCGTCCATACGTCGACGAAGCCCAAAAGCTCATGCCTGGTATACCCGGAATTATGACGTTAGAGTCGAACTGGGCTATCTCCCTTCTACACCTTATTGTATCGATTATCTCCTTCTTCAAGATCGACAAGATACTCATGCGTCTCGCGCCCGAAGAAAAGGGTGGCATACCGGTTCCGGAGTATCCAGAGCTCAAGGGAGTGTATCCTGCATGAAATGGGAACGGGAAATGGAAGGGGAGAGGCTAGGGGGCGAGGGAATCAGGAAGGTCGATCAAAGTATTTAAGCCTTGTTTCTTTGATATCTGTAGATTAAAGCATCAGACTTGCAGGTAATGGGATGGGTAGAGCTTCTGATGTTAGTTTCCTTGTTTTGTTCAATTAGTATATGTATATAGGAAGCGATATGTAGCTCCTCTCTATTTAGATCTCCAATCTACACTGTATCATTTTTGGCAGGGCTCTTGAAACTTTTTTTTATTTTTTTTTAAAATTTTTTTTTTTTTGGCGTTTAGGGATTGCTTCCTTGAATATGACGAGTCCGTGACATTGAACCGCTAGCCTGGGAAATGTACAAGCGAACACCAAGTAAAATCGATATATAGTTGAAATAGTCATATATATTAATATTTTGATGTCGGTAAGATGACACTCTGACGGTAGTGTAAAGATTAAAGAGATATGCTCAAAATTTTCGAGAAGCCTTGACTCTGGCTTTATTCGTGGGTGTCTTACTACAGCAAGTGACTGTTGGCACTCACACCTTCAGGTTTCTTCCAGTGAGCCTGTACGCCACCCCAGCTCTCTTCACTATAACCTTCCTGGACCTTTTTGCATGTTATGAGACCCCATGAGGTGACGCCAACCATGAAACAGCTTTCAAACATGAAAGCACAGCTACCTTTACCAACCAAAGCAGGTTTGAGCTCAGCATTGGAGGCGCCCTCAAAACTCTTGGCATCTGGCCCATGCCCGCTCATAACGTTGTGCAAGCTTGCGCCACCAGGCATGAAGCCGCCATGTCCTCCTTTTTTCGCATCGTACTCGCCGGCAATGAGACCCATAAACTCAGACATCGTGTTGCGGTGGTACCATGGTGGCCTAAACGTGTTCTCGGCCACCAGCCAGCGCGGCGGAAAGATAACAAAATCGGCGATAGCAGTGCCAGGGTGGTCTGAAAGAGCCGAGAGCACTGTGAAGATGGATGGGTCTGGATGGTCATACGAAATACTCCCAATAGTGTTGAAACGGCCCAGGTCGTACTTATACGGGTAGTAATTTCCATGCCAAGCAACGACATCAAACGGCGTATGAGCTTGCTTAGTTTGGAAGAGCGAGTTATTAAACTTGCTTATAATCACGTATGTATTAGGGCCTTCGGAAGCGGTAGCGCCAAAGTCCTCGCTAAATGAAGCAACGGGAGCCTGGAAGTCGCGGGCATTGGCAAGGCAATTCGATCCGATCGGACCTAGTTCCGGGAGCGTAAAGTGGCCCTGATAAAGCTCGAGTGCATATCCACGGACTGCACCGGACGGTAGATGAACTTGATACCTGATCCCACGGGGTATTACACAGATCTCCATGGGTCGGACGAGAAGCCATCCTAGCTCAGTTCTGATATCTAAAACCCCATCCTGAGCGACTATCAGAAGATCACCATCCGCCGAGTAAAAAGCAGTACGCTCATCCATCGACTTTCCCGCGGCGTACACGTACATTCCAATGCCCTGTTTTAGTGTTGGATCGCCGGCTCCGGCAATCAAGCGTAGACCTGAGACGAAGTCGGTCTGCTCGTCGTGATCGAAAGGATCCCATCGCAGTTGATCTGGTATGTATATAAGCTTTGTGGGATCGACTAGCCCATGGGACCTGAAAGCACCGTCAATAGCGGAGGAAAATGGTGGATGTGCACACGAAGGCAGTATGCGATAGAGCCATGACTGCTGATTTTCATGCCGTGGGGCCGTGAACGCAGTACCAGAAAGCTTCTCGGCGTATAGTCCATATGGAGGTTTCTGAGGGGAATTTTGACCAATGGGTAGAGCACCCGAGATAGCCTCAGTCCTAGGTTATTATAGCGTAAGTAATTTGGTGTAAGCGGTAATAGCATATGGCCGACTTACTCAAAGTAAGACCCAAAGCCATTTTGATACCGATATTTCTCGGCGAATTCGAATGTGGTGACGGGCATCGTGAGTGGTTTCAAGGGAGTTAACTCAGTATAGATTAATATTGTACGTCTTTCAAACAGGGTTGGCGTCAGATGGATCAAATATTGAATGTTGCAACATGATCGCGATCGAAGCAACTCGGAACCGGAAGCGACTTGACGGAATCGGAAGCAATTTAGGTAAGGATCAACGGCTAACGAAGGTAAACGCAGCGGAACGCGTAGAAGGTTTAAGAGGAGGCATTCCGATACATTTGCGCTGGTATTACAGCACACGCTGATAAGCAACGTATAAGCAATATAGGGTGATGCTTAGGGCGCAGGTGGGTGAGTTAGGGGAGAGAATTGGAGAAATGCGGAGAGTGGTAAAGTGGGGATAAAGGTTCCAACGCTATAACGTCATATAGATACCGCTAATATCCAGCAATAGCCGCTTAACCCGCTGTCAACCCTGACATTTCTTAGAGGAATCCCGCCGTTCGGCCATTCGGAGCGGAATTCGTATTCTATAAGCAACTTACAATTACATGGTCTTAGCTCTTGCTGGAAAGTAGCCGCCGCTTCAATCAATGCGGTTCACGATACTTGTCGCCGTGAAGAACTATATTCTTTTGGCCGTGGATAAGAATAAATATCTCTACCATTAGCTACTACTACTACTACTACAGACATTCGACCGGCTGCACGTTTCGCTATGTTAGTTCCGGCTGGCGCACATTACCCTTGCCCACTACCCCAACACCCGGAGGTGAACCCCTCGCCGTCTCTTGCCTCACGCCCCTTACATTCGTGCAGCCCCGGCAGGATGGTAGGGTGCCGGTGGCAGTGCTCATGACCAAGCTGCCTAGAAAGACATTGGACTGCTTTGTTATGCCATACTCAAAGGCATTGAGAACAGCGCTCAAGTATATATTCAAGATTATTTCTCGCGACTTTCATTTCCCAGCCCCGAAAACCCCTTTTTTGGACAAATCAAATCTAAAACCAGTCTTAAATTCATCCACCATGAACGCACCCGAAGGAGAGGTTAGGTTCGTGCCCAAGCAGGCTCTAGCGCCTACACCCCAGCTATACGATGAACTCGTTTTTGATAGCATGGAAAATCTTGCCAAAGCTTCTCTTGAGTTAGTATGTAACTCCTATCACGGCCGGTTCTGTGGTGAACGACAATGGCTGCGGCACCGGGGCGGCCTCAGCTGCCCTTGTAGCGTCCCTCTCAGGCCAATCCTCCGATGTATCTATTAAGGGTACCGACATCAACGATGACGCACTGAATATTTACTGACAGCGCACCGTAGATAGCGGGTGGCCTGTCGAGGAGAACTGGGATAAGGCTATCAACATCATGTCAACATCATCAAGCAAGAGCTTAAGAAGACTGACGGGTATCAGGAACTTCCGGGTGGTAAGAGCCTACTAAATTTCATTGCGAACATCGCCGTCGCCACCAAGTGAGTTTGTCTTCTTCACCGGTTAGAACCGTGGGTTTTCCAGATGACGTGGTCTTTTGAAACTCCGACCCTCCAGTCACTTTATTAGACAACACATTCTGTTGACATCAAGTCTATAACTTGACAGCAATCTTCAACGACAAATTTCTTCAAATATTTACCAAAAGAAAAGCCTCGTATCAATTCGGTATATTAGCTATTAATTATATGTCGCTATTTACTAGACGCTAACTCGCCTAGTAACCCAAGTGTTTCTTAATTATTTACTCTTACAGCTGTCGCCTCCCCTTCAATATTTGATAGCGCTAGGCTTTCATTTGGATACTCTTCCGATGTAGATCGTCTACATGTGAGAATGCCAACTACTAGAAAGAGAGCAAAGTAAAGTGCTCCGCAGAACATACTAACGCCGAAGTAACCGGCTGGAGATTCCAGAATTGCTCCAGCAATGGGCGGCCCAATCAAGAAACCGACTCCCTGAAACCCTTCAACTAGGCCTATTCTAGCTCCAATCGCTTTCGAGTCCGGATCAAGTTCTCGGACTGATGGTGGTATTAAAGAAGTTAAACCACCCACGAGGAATCCGTAGAAAATTACAAAGGCAATTATTCCTGCTAGCGTTTCTATAACCGACCAACAGAACAGCAGCACGCATGCCCCAAGAATTGTGAATTGCCACGTAATTAGGGGCTTGGAGTAATTGGATATCCAGGTGAGAAAAATGCGGCCGAATAAAGATGAGGCATTGATTCCCGCAAGTAGAGAATCGCCTACTGTCGGAGAGAGTCCTAGCTTTCCTTGAACAAAGGTGGAGATGAAGTAGAAGGGCACATCGATCCCTATATTCAGAAGCAGGGCGCAAATACCCAATAATATTAGCTTCCAGTCGTAAAATACTTCACAGTTGAAAGGTCGTGGCCTTGTGTTTCTTTCTGTATCCCGTGGCACCCGAGGCTTTATGAGTAGGCATGCTATCAGCAAAAAGACTCCATTTGCCAGAGCAAGCGCACGGCATGCCCATGAGAAGCCAAATTTATTTTCCAGTTGCCTAAATACGATAGGGTATATTATTCCGCCGACGCTCGATCCTGTCATAGAGATTCCCGTTGGCAGAGCGGCGGTTTTTTCGGGAAAATAGGCTTGCACCACTGCTTGAGATGGTACGTATAGAGCACCGGACCCCAGACCTATGGCAACGCCAAAGGAGAGAATAATCCACGCATATTGTCCTGCGAAGCTGGTGCACAGTAGACCGGCAACGTTCAACGCCCCACCAAAATACATTAGGGATCTAATGTAGCCTCTATCGTACAGTGGCCCACTGATGATTCCAATTATACTTGATAAGAATCCTTGCGTCGTTCCAATCCAGGCAATGTTGGAAGGTGAATATAAGCTAAGGAGATTATGTTCGAAATATGATTGGAAAACACCAAAGCTGTTACTCAAGCCCAATGTACACAGTTGTACGAGGAAGGCTGCAACAACCTGAGACCATGCCAACCAATCGCTATCTGAAGACTCATCTGCTGACATATTTCGTTCGACTACACTTTGACTTGGGTTAACAGTGTCGGGGTCTTGGTATGGATCGCGGGAGCTAACGGACTGGAAGCCTTCGTAAATAGCTTATTAGAGAATCCAAACCGAAGCCCGTTGCAGATAAATAAAGATTATGGATGGTATTTATTTGCAATCTCTCGTAGAAAACATAGTAACAACTATAAACTTGTGAATTTTCGGTTTAACTTAACAAGATACAATTCTAAACAATCTCGCAACTTATAAAGTTACGTGAATCGGGCTTTAAATGGCTCAAAGAGTCATTAGATTCATCTCTGGATAGCTGCTGTATTTACATCAATACCTCATTCAAAAGGTTACTCAAAGGGTCTGCAGTAACAGTCACAGGCATTTATTAATGGGATAATACTTAGCCTTGTGCTCCTATACCAGAGCATGGCCTGATTTTACTGCTATGGAAGACTGACAGGTGCAGTAAAAGATAATAAAGGAGATGTTAGCCTGGGGTTAAAAGGCATATAATGACAATAACTTAGGTAGTTAATAAATTTAGTATTACCTTTGCTAAAAATCACCTCATAGGAGCAACTGCAAGTTCCCGTTATTTAGTAGTGAGTTGACACATTGCATAGGAAATATGAAAGTAAACTACGGAGATTTCTCTACTCTATACTGATATATGTTGACTAGCCTATTCACTGGAAAATACACGTATCTTGCGCCAAATTATAATTACCAATCTTGAAAAGGGGTTATTGGTATGATACACTGCATTGCTGAATTGACTACCCCCTAAGTATGTGGTCAAAATAGTTCACACAATCACAATATTTTGAAATTTGCTTATGCCTTCTTGAAATGCGTCGATGGCTGTGATGTGTACACAGACTTGTCGGAATTCCACAAGGCGCGTTTGAAACGACTCCCAGCTAGGTTTCATCCATTCGAGAATAGCAATTCTAGATTTAACCCTATTGTAGAAGGTTTCGGTCCCTAGGGTTATTAGAGGGTCGTGAAGGGAACGTTTCGATGTTTCAGCCGAGCTCCTTATGAAATGAGTGTATAACCTCCCTAATTGAACGCGCTCGGCTAAACTTAGCTTCCCATCTTCACCCTCGTAATCTATCCCGGGAACATAGCAGCTAAAGAGTTCCTGCTCAAAGTCTACTTGGTGCATTATCTCTATTGCTAGCTTTGTTAGGGTAGATACCAATGACGAGAGGGATGCGCAAGAATTTGGAAGGCCGAGCCTTGTAGCGGTCTGAGGTTCTATGCCGTGGACATATTCGTGGAAATCGATTAAGCGTGCTGTATCGGGGTGATCATTCACATTCTTGGTCAATGATCCCTTTTCAATAGCCGCAAGAACTTTCGCGACTTTGTTCCAGTCAGACCACATTTGGCTCAACTTGTTCATCGAATCTATACTGGTCCGGATGGAATCAAGCGCCTTCCAGGTGGTATGCCGGGACCAGAATTCAAGTTGCTCTGCCATTATAACACATACGCGTTTAATGTATTCGATATCCCGGCCCCTAGTCGCAGTGGTCATCCATCCCGAACCGGTTTTCCAGAAGGCTGATATCCCAATTCTATCTTCGAAGTATTTGTTAAGTATTGTTGCTCGCAAGTTACTAAGACTCGCGTTTCGAGATCTAAAGTGGGATATTATATGTATTCCGAGTCTACTTTCAGCAAGATCAACTAGAAATTCGATAAATGACTGGTCGAACCCATAAGATGCATGGAGGTGGTTGGTGTTACGTTCCTGACTAGAAATATTTATATCGACTGCGTTGGCAAATGTAAGATTGCGAAGTGTCGCCGGTAAATCCAACGGTGTAGTTTTTACAATCCCTTGACGAAATCCCACTCGACACGCACCGATGAGACTATAATCGTCGCTAGTTGGGCTTCTTCGTAGGTGTAGATATGAACTGCAGCCCGGGACATACACCACGGCGTCAAGCTCGGCAGTTGCAGGGATCTCTGTTCTAATTAACCATTCGAAGTCGCACTCGAGACCTGGGAAAGAAATCTTTTGAATAAAGTCGTAGTGATTAACTTGGTAGAATAACTTGAGACTTGTGACAATGCAGCTTTGTATGCTTAAGGCTCCCGTGTGCGCATTGACACTTGATAAAGCGCTGGGTATCCTCTCAGCATCGTATTTTTCAGCATTGTATTTCGTCAATGATTTTGAGAAGTGTCGAATACGAGGAGATTTCTCAGAATTAGTCGTAAATAGAGTCCAGGTAGTTTGGCTACCGACGAGCCATACGATATTTTGAGTTTTGTTTCCTTCCCTAGAGAAACTATGAGAATATTCCACTTTAAAACTGTCGTCGTCTTTGCAAAGATTAGACTCGTCCTGTGCTAACTGTTCCACTCGAGTTGCAACGTCGGATAGAGATACGCCGTAGACCGTGTTATCCTCACAGTCTTCTAATGATATCTTGGCTGGTCGGTAAATAGACCAGTCTGGAACCCATGTAGGAAGCGAGTTCGGTGGATATTGCTTCGGATATAATAAGATCTCGGTCTTACTATGGCGGAGAATAAGATATGATGCAATACCGATGTAAACCTCTTCCTTTGATAAGAGGTAGTCTGGAGCCAACCCCTCGAAGATACTATTGCGCAGGAGGCCAAGCACGGCGAACACGTTATCTCTGGGGTCAGAAGCTTGGCAACTTGAAGTGGCATCTAAGAGCTGCAAAAGACCGTCTAGCTCACTCATTCTTTTGTCATTTCCTTGACCATATTCCAAAAGCCAAGGTACGTTGTGTGTATAGCGGTAGGGCACTTTCAGGTCGCTAAATGACGTCCAAGAAATGTTTTTATCCCCGCAGTAGAGAGTAACCTTTCGAGCCATAATAATCTCTTGGATGACCCAGACGCGGGAGAAGTACCGTCTTTTGAAAAGGCGCTCTAGACCTAGTTTCTGAGAACTGCTTAGGTCGGGTTCTATTGCCCGAGAAAGCATACTTAACGCATCCATTGCATCATCGCTGTCATCTGCAGTAGGTCCCATATACACAAGTACTTGCGAAGCTTTGGAGTAAATATCACGCATTATAGAGACTTGATGCGACCGTTCGTATGGGTCTTCCTGATTGATACAGATAGAGTCAACCCATAGATTTAAATGGCCCTTAGAAAGTAGAAGTTGTAAGGCCAAATCACAATTCCTAGTGATGGGAACTATGTCCCAAAACCTTCCTATGAATATCGACTTTGCTTTATCGTTGTTGTTGGTTTCTCCTGCCCAACAGTATGACAGTGCTTCAAATGAGTGAGGGTTGGTTAAATCGGCAACATCCAAGTCGCCGTGGAGATAATAATTCGAGGACAAAGCAGAAAGCCTGAGAAGTCGAATGTCGTATTTTTGAGCCAAGGACGGATATAGATTTCCATCGGCATGGGACCTAATAGCGGACCTATTCTCCCTAAGGCATGACTGACTTGACTTTGGTATACTAGTATGGCGTGTCTTTAACTCTTTAGCTGAGGCTTGGCATTCCGAGCTATTGCTACCCCTTTTCCCGTCCGTGGAATATTGAACCGACAATGGCCACCGGAGGTCTAAAGACTCCAGGGAATTGCTTTGACAACTAGATGGAGTCGAAAGACAGGGTGTTTGGAAGGTTGATAACTCTACTGCTGAGTCACAGCTTGAGCAGAAAAGCACGTCATTAACCACGCATATATCAGGCCTTCGACAAGTTGGACGGTGCCAACGGAACATATTGATGGCAGGGAATGAAGAAATAAAACGGTAATGTAATTTCAAATAATTGATTTAGACCTTTAGTTTTATATAATATAATAGAACATATAGAAGAAAGTATCGGGTATTAGGTAACTATGTTATAGGTAGGTACCTGTTATGATGGCAAGATCTAAGTGCGTAATAGAATATTAATTGAGGTTGAAGGCTGGACCTATGCGCAATGGGTATACTAGAATATCACCTTGTATAGATAGATACCTAGGTAGGTACTCTGTTGATTACTTAAAGTAATGCATAGAGCTTACGTACCTAGGTCAAAGAGGTAGAGATGGATTAGGTTCTAAGAAGAGGGAATATGGCATGTCATCAAATGTACGGCGGAGTAGGACGCAGATATTGTGGCGATGAACGGCGTTAATAGCACTTGTGCTTATAACAGGCTGACAGGTCGAGGAATCGTAGTCGGATTAGGATTAGTTGACGACTGGATCAACGAATTACTGCCCCCAAGTGAAGTAATAGTGGAGATAAATCTTGAAGTACACCGAAACCTGCCTAAGAGTTGCGTGTTTAAAATCATGGGGATGGCATAGCCACTCTAGCTACCTTAGGTACCTAACCAAGGTATGCTACCCTGTTGGCATCAAATTCGTGCCGAGAGATTGGGGCGGGGGCGGGTGGTATTTCCACAGATAATGGGCAGTGCATAGCTTATACTGGGATGATGAATCCTTTCGCGCTGTAAACCAGCGTTGGAATAGACAAGCTGGATAAATGTGATGAGCGACTTGAATTCATGATAGTGTAAACTAATAGGGTAAATGTCACCTGGATAACAGTCAGGGCCCAATTCAAATTATTCTACATTAAAAAGGCTATTAACATCGATGTAGCTGAACTTGGAGGTAGCTTGCTGTACCAATGAATTTGTTAACTGCCGTTACACAATGTCTATAATGCACCTCCCGCATTGTCATAATATGTAGTAAGATAAAGAACAAGCAATACAGGCGAAGTGGTATCGCCGTACACGTACTTAATAATTGAGGCTCCTGTGTCGGACCGAGGGGATACTCAGGGGCTGAGTTCCTGGCAGTACATCGGGCTGAAATAAAGTCAACTCCCTCCCATAGTTTAGGCGTTTCTTTCCTCCTCATCTACCTTATTCGCAATTTTTAAAACCTCTACGTTACTGGGAAGGGACAGTCTAAGAGCCTACAGAAGTCAAGACATCACGCTGAGACTTGATGCTGGTTCATCCCGTTATTTAAAGTATGGCTAGATCCTCATCATTCCTTTCGTCTTCATCTGATAGTGACGACTCGTCATCTTCTTCATCTTCGTCTGATAGCGACGATGACATAAATTTCATTATAGAGGCAAGCCGGCGAAGGAGAAGTCATAAACATAGACACAGAAAACACACCAAGAATACGTCAACTAAACGTCCCGCAGAAGGGGTCGCCACGAAAGACGATAGTATCTGGCCTCACGACAAACGCTATCTGAAAGTACGCTTTCCGGACGGCAGCCCCGAAGAAAAACAACTGGTTGAGAGTCTCATCGTCAAGTATTACAACGTCATTCCGATGCGCATCCGATTTAGATTTCTGAAACCCAACGACTCCGGTTCTTCTGACATCCGCATCACTTTCAAATGCTGGGCCTTGAACACGAGCAGAAGAACCCCAACTGTAAACTCGAATTCAATCGTTCCGCGCTGAAGAGAGACGGGTACAATGACGACAGTATCGATCGCGACTATGGAAAGAGCCGCGTTATTGGGAATAGGACAACACCGTATGACATACATTCCATCATGCACTACCCCGTCAAGAAGGGACATACGGTGAACGGCAACACGGAGATCGGGCTCAACACCGTCTTGTCGCAAGGTGACAGGCAATTTCTTATGGAATTATATCCTGCCGATCCTGAGCCAAAGTATAAGCATAAGCACAAGCATAAGGACAAGCCCAAGTCCAAGTTGTCGGAGCCGGTACTTGTGACCGAACCTACCACAACAACCGTTGTTAAAAGACCTCGACACAGGACCAAAGAGCAGCCCCCACCAGTCCGACTTCAGCTAGTGAATGAAGTTGTGGAAGGCGTCCACGTCGGGATCGGCAGCACTGCCAGGTACGTAAAGTGAAATTCCACGATTATGGTCATCACCGGCAGTCTTTCAGTGCAATATTCTTATGAAGTTGCTCTGTTACATACGTGGGCATGTATTGGGGGCGAAATTTGTCAAGAAGAGGTCCGGCAAAGAATAGTAACATGAGGTAAATGAGTTGTCGGTACCGCCTATCTAAGCAGATTTTTGAAATAATTATTTAAATTAGGTTAGAAGGTAGTTTATTATCATTTCCGGAAGTTGGTTATCCCTTATGTTAGGTAGGTACTTAGGAGGTAGGTAGTTTAGTTGTTTCATTCCACAATTTTCTATACTATAGTTGCAACGTTATACTCGAGGATCCGGTATGTGCACCGCGCTTTCGAGCTGCTATGAGACCAAATGAAAACTCCTGTCTGCGGAATACTTCTCAAGGCATTGTTACTTTTCTTTAAATCCGGATACTTGGCAATTCTTACTAGTTGACTTGTATTATATCCCTTCAACACTCCAGTACTCTTACAAGGAAGTCGGATCACGGCAAAGAAATAATTAGGTATCAATAACCTGTTGAATTAAATATCAGTTTTACGCTAATACGCGGTTGCACTGTATGAAATATTGAATTTGCGAATACTTAATATGATTGATAGGCATGTGTTCACGGTTGTAGGATTTATCTTATAAGCGGCACTTGTCCTACAACTAAAGCACGATATGATTGTATTTACGCGCGATACCTGTGAAACTGAGGGCGAATAATGATTAAAAACATATATGAGTCTTCGTAAGCTACCTGATGATAGTACATAAATCCATATTGACCTTCTAGATCTCATTGTACTCATTGGATTTTACCCATCTTAGACAATTTGCTTGATCATATCTTCGTCTGAATTATCATAAACGTGTATATCATTAGGTGATTCCAGGACCAGAGTATGGTACATGATAACTCATCTTTTATTGTATTTATTACAATGCGGCTACGATACCAACGAGCCCCGCTGCCGCTGCTGCAGCTAATGCGAAACCTGTTTCTTGTGGGTATGCTGCTCCCGCATCAGAGCTGGATGTGGAAACAGAAGACGCCTCAGATGAAGATGCGCCGGAAGTCTCTGTTGTGGGCGATTGGGTATCGGATCCCGAAGTCGTAGGGGAGACAACACTGGTGATGCTACTGATTACTGTATCCGTTTGGATAGTGGGGGAAACAGAAGTATCGGTTTGAATGGAAAGGGAAACGGACGTGTCGGTTTGAATAGACAGGACGCCGGTTGTGCCCTGGTCGGCTGCGGAGCTTAGAGACTCAACGGGGCCTCCGGGATTTGATGTTTGGCGCGGTTTTACATTGCGTTCCGCCGCCTTAATGGGCTCCGGGGCATAGGTTGCGGATGCTAGACTGCCTGCTAAGGCAAGGGTGGTGAAGATGAATTTCGTATACATGACGATTCGTTTCCGTCTGGTTACAGTGTGTAGTGTTCGTGAGATGATTATTGATGATTAAAGATAAAAACTGTAAAAGAGGCGACAATCTCTAAATATATCTTACATTCGAAATAGTTGCCCTTCCTATCGTGATCCGAATTCGTGATGCGGGGACCTTGAGGCGACACCGATTGACGTATGGGGCCATACTAACATGACGTCGGCGTAACCAGGGGTGCCTGATTACCCACGATTCGCAATTAAATGGTTCCGAGTTTTGATAGGATGGTTGAGATGATGAACTCCGGGGTAACACGGATGATTCGTCAACTACACAGCTCTAGCAGCTGAAAGGCTATCTCGGTCCGTACCTAGGTTGCATCGATTTAAGGAGCTGCCATCAACAGCTTAAGCTGTGTCTATCATCCCTTAAACTATCGATATTGACGTATGCACAGCAGAAGCTAGGTGTTTCAACTAAGGTGAATCTGGAAGTTACCAGAGAGATAATTGGATACAAAAGGTATACCGTATGCAATGCAATACGAGTTCAGCTACGTATTAAGAGGTAGACAGGTACCTAACATAAGATCGTCAACAGTAGCGTAGGGCAGTTCAATAGGGGTAGGGCATAACTAGTAGTTGATGTTCAGAAGCTTTCATTACTACAATACTACGTCTCAAAGTTGCTGAAGTCATAGTATTCCCAAAATAAGTTGCCAATGGTCGAAAGTAAAAGTATTAAATGTCCTGGAATGATTCGTATGATACCTGGGTTTCCGCCCCCAAAGCTGGCGGTCAGGCGGTTTGCGTATTGCTTGTCGATCACTCGGCTTCGTGTTAATACAGTGTCTAAACCATATTAATACTGTAAACACCTTTCGCCGTATGTATTAACCGTCACGGCCGTCCGCAGCCCTCCACCTTCAATCCCGTTCTTGATCGTGTTAGTCGACAGAGATACCGACCAATCCCCAACTCAACCACACTTAAGTCATTAAACGTTTAATAGAGGTCATTATGAACTGTATTAGTCTGATTTTCTATAGAAATCTAGGTAGTTGAACGGGTTCTAATGGCATAGTTGCGCGTGTTGTACTCGTTGCAAGCCCCGCAACCACAGGGATAAGGTGGATTTAAGCTGACTCTCTTTTCGTATATTTGAACTAAGACTCTTCACAATATGGTTCTAATCAATACTTGACAATCCGAATTGACACTCGACTATAAACGTTACGCCTCACAAGATAGGTTTCAGTCTCTGCTGTTCATGACGCCTGTCCTCCGCCCCGTTGGCGTTATTATGCCATACATCTCGCAAAGACCTATGTGCATAATTCAACGTTCTCAGCCTATCTAAGACTTACCACACCCAACACGAACTTACTGGCGATCTCGGTAATCTAGCTAAAGTAAGACGGATGGCAATATAAAGCTCGATGAACATAATACGTTTAGTAACTTCAAATGGTCTATGTAATCAGAATAGGTGCTTGGAGAATTGGTATCGCTACATAGCGGAAGCAGACTCTGACCTTGCTTAAAAAGCGTCTGACCGACCAACAGTATAGAAGGATCAAGCCTAGGAGTACAAGGCTGCAGTAATTTCACAGAAGGGTTGCAAGCCTGGTCTAGCCCTGGCCATTTGAAGAAGCCATCCACCTTATTGTTTTCCATGTACCACGCCACCGCATGTGTCAAGATGTAGGTAAGTTGGTAGGTTATGTACTCTCCCGACGAAGAGCCTTATAGATATCAATAAGATGATAAATAAAGACCGCATATGTACCTCCTAGTGTTTCCTACATGTAGGTCAATAAGCAAGAGAAGTAGATATATATACAGCTTAGGTAGTATTTAATGGGTTAATGAGCCAAAAATATAATATCTTCGATATTACTACTTAATGGTCGTTCATCTTGTCCTTCTAGCTGCTGAGAAGTATCTTCTTGTTACATCTAACATCTTCTTCTGTGTTATGAGTTAAGACACCTATCCGAACTTGCTCCTCGGATACTATGCTTGTTCAGCCGCACATGAAGTATTCCGCGCGACGAATTGCGCTGTTTTTGAGCCAAGACCCGATAGCCTTACCTGTCAGCAGCCAAGTACACATACCACTAATAGGATGGCAGTGTCATTAGCTTTATTCAAGTATCGATTTTAAGCTGGATTATGAAGATGATAGAATCCTGCTCTTGTAATAGAGCTGTGGCTTCTTCTACATAAGCATGGTTTTGAATACAGCACATGTCTGGGTATTTTCAGTCAAGGCCGTGTGGCACCAGGACAGTTTGGCGACGTGTACTTGAGTAAGATCCAATTGGATTCCAAGAGATGTAGTCGGGCGCTTATAACGAAGCTCGTCGGGCTCCATGAATACCTAAGTCACCCCTCGTTCCCCGATTCAAATCGGTGTCTCAATCTAGTCCGATTAGTTGATCGTGGCTGTGCGACACTCATTGCGTTCTCTTGGCCCCCCTGGTGGCTTGTTCGCTTATACATATGCTTATCAATTCTGATGTCCTTCGCGTGATGCTCTCCGCCGACCCCGGCCAAAGGGAACGCCCCAGCGCCAGCCAGCTGAAAGGGTTGACACTTTAAGCACACGTCAACTTAGTTTAGTTCACGTTACCTAGTCTTCGCCCGGAGAGTAAATCAGGCATTTCACTCTCCCATTAATCTTTTCTCGCCCTTTAATAAACTAGCGCGCCAAGGAAGTCTATAGTTAGCATCATGAGGCCTCATATTTGTTAGGAGGTATATGGTCATCTACAAACCCCCCATTGATTGGTATTTGTCTTCGATTTACTCTGCCGCCAACATCTTCTGGTAGAGAAATGATAGTTGTATGCATTATTCTATGATGTATTTACTCTATAACCTATTATGGCTTTCCATCCAGTGTTTACATTTGGCCAACGGCCAACTGGGCATTCGCAACTCGTCAACCGACCTCGTTCCTATCTATCAACCTTACTTATCGAACCTCAGAGAGAATCCTGCAACATTTAATCCTGCCCTTGGTGGACAGGACTGGGGGATGTGTTGCAACTTGGTTGTTAATGAAAGCCTCGTTATCGAAAACGATACACTCTATATTCGGCCTGGGCAAACCTTTTTCACGGGCACGATAAATGATCTTGAAGAGTTCCCTAGGTTTCCTTGCGGCGCAAAATATAATGGAACTTTATCGGCGCCTCATCAACAATTTTGGATGCCTTACTCGTGGTGTTACAACCATTGCCCCGGATGGCCTGTTACAAAGGCGAACGATCTCGGGAAGTGGCTGAAACCCCTGATTGCATTCATACTACCGTCGCTCATTTTTTGCCTTAACGTTCCTCGTCGCCGCCGCCTTGACCTACCGACTAGTTTATTCTCTGGTGGATCTATCGATATATCAAGTATCCCTCTGTTTATTATTAAAGTCCCTCTGGCTTCATCTATTGTTACGCTAGACATTATTATTTGGACATGCGTCGTCTTCTCAGTGGCCAGTCCGATGATCACGTCGGGTATTTATGAAGCGCTTCTTGATGCTCGAGTCTTGTCGTATCTAGAAAGTCGAAGTAAAGAAAACTCTCTTTCCGCTAAGGAGAAAGCTCATACTCTCCTTTCCATCTTGATAGGCAACCTTGATATTCAAGCTTGGCACTCGAGTAGCCTATTCGTACACAATATTCCTGGAGGCGTCTTTCGAAGAAGACCCGGTGCTCAACCCACGAAAACAAATATCGAATCAAGGATAGAAGTTCCACGCCCATTAGACACAATCACGCCAATCCACTCCCTCGATGCCAGTACTTCGAATACGCCAACGAAAATCACTACGATAGGGAGGTCTAAGCAGTCATCGTATAGTGTTCAGCAGCGCCGGAGTATTATTACTACCAAATGGCGGTTGTTAGCTATGCTTGACTCGCAAATTAGCTTTGGTACTTCAGTCGGCGCGCCAGTTCTTTTTTATATTGCGTCATTTATCTGGTCGGTATATGAAGTTCGCGAAGAACTAGGTTCCTAGTAAGTTGTTAGATGGCACTCCGTTGATATGCCTTTTATCTCTAAAACACTAACATTTAACAATAGTGTCACGGCGCACCAATTGGCTGCTGGAATGTTCTGGATGACGATACCTCACGTCGCTCTCGTTAGCTGTCTTCTTCTTGCTGGGAACAACCCGAATATATGGCAAAATGCTGTTGCTGAATCCCTACTCATTTCCGACCCCTTTACCCCTATAGATTCCCTAAGATTGGTAGACACCGATCTGGAGTCTGATCCCGGCGGGGTTCGAAATCTTCATAGCGTAGAGTTTACTTCGAAAGATCCAAGAGCGATCAGATATACTAGATCAATTACATCCAGATTGGTGAACCGCTTTTTTGGGTTGGCTTACAAGGAGTCCAGGTTCAAGCCAGCGTGGATGTGGAATAGGGGATCTAACAAGGCCATGTGGATCGCGAAGCTCGGTGACGAGTATCCATATCTCCGAGGAATGCGGGAGGAAGTACTAGACAGAAACTTCAAAAAGGATCTCTGGACCTCAGGCTTTTATGGATTTACCCTTTACTTCGTACCAACATTCTTCAGCGTACTAGTCAGGTATTGTCTTAAGGTCTATCCTGTAAATTTTCCTGCTAACTAATGTCAAGCTATACTACTCCTCGGCCTGGATTTGGCTGCCGTTCCCTTCTCGTGTTTGCCTACGGCCTATCACAACTGATCCTCCAGCTTCTGTGGCTACTGCGATGGTACTTCTCCAAGGGTGACACGGCCGGCAATCCTAACAACACGTGGTATACGGTAGTAAAGTCAGCTTCAATCTACCTATGGTACTTGATGTTTTTATTTGCAATCTTTATTGGAGCTTTCACTAGTATTGGGGGGACAAGTAAGTTAACCACGCGAAGATATACTAGCTCTAGTTGCCATAAGCAATACTAACCTTCATGTAGTATTCGTACTTACAAATGTCTTAACTAATTGCTTCTGTGCGGTCCCGGTATGTTAACCTGAGTATCTAAAAAGGGGGGTGCTAACCAAACTACTCCACAGGCTCAGTACTGGCGAGACCGCTGGAAAAATCCCGAAGCGCTTATATTCGTCGATGACTCTACTTGGGAACAGTTATACTACGCCGAGAAGTGGTGGTTTCCAGCTGGTGTTGTTGGCGTTGTTTTCATGACGATTGTTGCTTACATCGGATGGTGGTATCAACGGAGTCTGCGCCAGCGCTACTGTGACTTGGTAAGCAAGATTGACCACGTTAACGACATCGAATTTGAAGACGAAGTATCCGATACCGATGTTGATCATATCAGGGAGGAAGCTACTGAAACGATCCGTAATACCTAATAAAAAGGATACAATTTCTAAGATGAAGGCAGTAAACCATTTTCACTATAATATAATTTATGTCGTAGATAAAGTGTTTTGAATTATATACAGGAACCTCATAACGTAATATCACGGGAGTATCATACAAAAGGCTATTTTGCTATCCAAATCGTGTTGTTACTTAAGTACCTCTTATTATGGTATCTCAAAATATATATTCGAGGAACGTAATGGGAGATTCGGTATGGCCAGGGGTAGAGATACCAATTAGACATACATTTCACGCTAACATGATATATGCTATATTAGGGGTAGACGTTTTACTAGTTATCTTAAGCAAACAACTAGGCCTAGATGGCTTCTAGCTCTATAATAGACACATATATTCCTCTTCCTTTCAGTCATTGTAACCTTGAAGATCATTTACCGCTGGTAATACTCTCGCCTAGTTTCCAATCGCCCCGGGTTAAAGAGTCCGTCAGGATTCTATAACATAGCATACTTTCAGTATGTATAGATGTAGGCTCCCATAGTCAGTATAGGATTCCTGGCGGAAAAGCCAAGTTATTTCCTTGATTCTTGCCCTACCTCATGAGAGGGTCTACAACATATAACGCACTCTAGTCTATAAATCTACCTGTAAAGTTAAGTCTATCGTAGGTATATAGGGCTTTTGAGACTCAAACATAAAGTTATTAACTACTGGGCGCAGTGTGAGAATGGGTAACTTCCGTTGAGTTCTATAACTCTGTATCGAATTTAGGTATCTTTACCTCCATAGCCTTAATAGAATATTAAAGTAGTTTCTTTTCTGGTACTCCTTCGGGAAGACCCTGTTACACTCTGGAGTCCCTAGATACCACTACAGCCCTAATGTAAGATATAATCTTATTCCTTTTTCTTAAATATGTCGATTACTCCATCTAGTTCGTCTTCTTATTGTCCAGATGCCGGACGTGGTCAATCTGTCGGTGGGATGTCTATCCATTGCATCACGATTTCTTTCTTCTTAAATTCCTCGAAAAAAAGATAGCTGCGTAATTAATTCTATATCACCAATGGAGTAGGGAGGGTGCTATGTTCCGTGTCTTAAGGCCATTCCCACTCCCACGAATATAAATCGTATAGCTCATTTTACCCCTATAATCACACAACACACTCTTAGTAACAAAAACAGTCTCGGCCTTCGCTTATCAGTTATAGTACCCAGCTTCATTTACTACAACCAGTTAGAAGCTGTTAAGGGTCTAGTTGTCTCTTAGTATGAGAGGTAAAGCTTTGAGTTTACTTAGGGCCATCGGACAAGAACTAATTGAAAGAAGCGTAAGGAAGATACCAAAGATCATCCGCTTTAAGAAGAACTACATTTAATTAATGGACTTACTAGAGGTTTCATTATTTGATCTTAAACATTACTTTAATAGATGATTTACCTACCTCCTGAGAAGTACCTAAGGTAAGTGTATAAGAAAAACATCATTAGAAAGAAAATTACTTGATTTTCACATCGCCTTTATTAGCTTAACTAATATATAAAAATCCTTCTCATCAGCATTTCTAAGATATAATGACTACCTGAAGAGTTACAGATGCAGTTTTGTAGTAAAAAATAATGTTGGTTAAGTCTAAATACTCACGTTTGAGGCGTATTAAATTCCTACTCCGTTATTCGATCATCCCGAAAGGAATAGGTGAGGAGAATGAACGGTAACATTACGGTTCTAATGGATACTGGAGCTTGGCTATGTGTCTCGTGACGTATACCAATCTGATATCTATATCATGCTGTCTTTCGAGCCGTGCCACTGACACCTATGAGCATACACCATCATCCCGCCACTAGGAATCCTGTTTGTGTAACTATGAATCCTTCCGCCTACTGTCGCTTTGGTCCTCCAACTGGTGGTAAGACAGTATGCAGTCTCCAAGCAGATATGTATACGGTAGGCGTTTATTTGGGAGTCCCGCTGTAGGTAGTTACCTATTTATAAAGGCTTTATTTGCTGAAGGACTCGTTCAATCGGTAGTTGGCGGCATATAGCCTGCACTGTCCGGGGTTACATCTATTTCAAGTATGCTTAAACCTCTATGTCGGGTATTTTCCGGCTGTAACACACCATCGGTACGAAAGTGCTGGAATCCTTCGACTGGGTTTATCGGTCGCGGAGATGTACTCCGTAAGACGATCTACAGGTCGATGCAAAACACATCGGTTTGGAGATAAGATCGGCCTAGCACAAAAAGAGAGACCGATGCAGTATAAGCCCGCAGGCTGTGCGCTTACTGAACGATAGCCGCCTGCCAAGATTAATTTACATGCAGCCTTATGTCTTGCCTACCCGTCAGCGGAACTAGCTAGGGGGGTAGACTGGGGTATATCATGATCCAATATAATGTGTAAGTAAATTTAATTCGATAAGATATCACAAAATTGACATATACAGTCATTACAGAGCCATCGAACTAGAAAAGCACGAGGGTTATGATCACCGACACCGTAGCTGAGGTTGTTTGAACTGTGTGCCGCGTCAGCATTATGATAAAGATGTAATGCATCGCTTTACAAGTCCGTCTCAGCACTGATGCTTGACTTATTTCAAATAAATGGTCGTTTTTCTGCTCGTGAGGTGCCATTCTACGTCGAAGTGGACTAATTTGGGTTACCTCGAAGGATTCGCTCTTGTAAATTTTTCATGTGCTTTCGTGGCGCAATTGTCACATTGGGTAGCTCTCGGAACACGAATTAACCCCCAAATGACCTACGTCTTAGATCCTCCACGTAGGCCCAACACGAGGCCTAATGTGAGGTGGACAACATAGAGTGTACCGGTAGTCGCTGAATCGCTGAGATAAGGTTGCAAAATCACAAAGTAGGTTAGGTACCATAGTGGGGTAGGGGGGGTACTTAGAACCGTTCTAAAATTACGAAACCGTTCCCTATACTAGGACCACCATATAAGGAGCATTTAAATGTAAACGTTGGAATAGTTCTATTGCTAGAACAGTTCTGTATAATAGAACGATCTTGCTATTCACGTGACTTTCACGTGAAAAAGTGGGGTAAAAGTCAAAAAAATCAAAAAAATTAGAAAGACTGGTCCTCGAACCCACAGCTCTTGCGTTTGTGTAACCATAAACCCCACAATTAATTGATAAGGTTTAAAGTTTAAACGTTTGAGCTAATGGGACGAGGTAGCCAATCTCATCGAATTATTTCAGAATGCAATTGATTTAATTTTAGTCCTTATAACCTTTACTTCGGAAAAAGTAAAATTTTGACTTGGAAAAAAAAATTTAAAAAAATTTTTTTTTTCCGTTCTTAAATTTAAAAACGTTCTTTAAGGCGGAATAGTTTCGAATAAATAAAACGTTTATTTTAAACCGGCCCCACAAAAATTAAACATTGACCCACTATTTCCGGATTCCAGCCAATCAGAAGCCTTAAAACCCGAAAACGTTCTTTTATACAAAACCGTTCTTATTTTAGAACGGTTTTTAAAAACCCCCCCCCGCCGGTATGGTACTTAAAGATCCCAAAAAGGAAGAAGAATGCGAGCTAGGCTTCTTATAGTTACATACTTATATATTAAGTAGTACTGATTCATACCTTATTGCGTGACTTTATGCGGGGAGTCTTGTTAAACCTGAAATCTGAAATTTACTGAAATGAAACTTATAGGTTACCTCTGTCTCTAATTCTGCGCTGCTGGGGACCTAATGTAACCGGTAAGGACCAGTAATGAAGTGGAAATAAGCATTGGAATTTGGAAGCAATCCTTACGCCTCAAATCCTCTTGGGGGCCCTGCAAAGGCCCTGTAAAATCCTGCTAAACTGCCGCTTTTCTAGCCGGTGTGCAGTCTTACATACAGGTAGGTACATTGCTTGATGGTAACCCGACCCCCTCTAGTTGTGGTCCGTGCTTAACACAGCTAGAAGGCTAACTCGGGGCTGATTATGTCTCAACTGCCGGATCGTGGCTACGGGCTACGGGCTAACAGTGTGCATAACTTAGAGAGTATTTGAAGATTTATGGGGAGAAATACGTGTGAATACAATATTTTGTAGTTATGTAATATTAGTTACGAGGTTGATAATTCTCATCTTTATTTCTCGTTACACTAATACAATCCATAATATTGAAGCCCGGCGTCAATAACTAGAACATTATAACTCGGTTTCGGCCCATCCAACGCTTTGTATGTGCGTAAAATCCCGTAGGTACCTCCTATGTAACTCATATGTACCTAACCTAATCTTAGTACCAGTAGAATGCGTCACCTTGAGCACGTAAAGTAGGTTAGGTACTTATGCCACCAAAACGTCACGACGAACATGAATCCCAGCGTGTTGAGTATGTTCAATGCTCTCCTCGGTCCCCGCAAACTGCGCAGTTGCCTTGGTTTGCGTAAGGTACGGGTTCGCATTAGAGAGGATTTCAGGGTGTTTATGAAAGGAGTCAGTTGACCGTCCGACGAGTTCATCTCCGTCTTCATCGTGAAACGGCCGATTATTACTTGAAATTCCAGTCTTAGAGTGATGAGAACGAGTGCTGAGAAGACTCCAAGCACCATCGCGGTAGGCTCGTTGGGCTAGGAAAAAGATACTCGGGAGGCTAACACTGATGATGGATATAGCGATCTCCGAACCTAACCAGAGAATCGGTGTAGAAACCCTGTCTATGTATGGATCATTAGACGGCAAATTAGTTATATTTGGTAGATAAAAGAGTCTTACATGTCGGATCCTTTTCAACCTCGTCGCCGGCTTCAATAATGGTGACAAGGCGACCAATGGATACCACAACGACGCTATGGACTTGTATCAGCTAAGTGGGAAGGTATAGGGGTTGTCGAGTCATCCAAAAGGGGGAAAAGAGCAACTCACAGGTATCCACATATGAAGACCCCTAAAATTTGAATTTTACGTATCGTCTTCATATGCAATTTCCATAACATCGGCAAGGGCATCACTAGGATAATAATGTCGATAATAAGACTGGTTATACCGCTACCCATCCAGAAGCGGCCGGTGTTAAGACAATGCCCTTCTAATGCGGTGTCCCAGGCTTTTGCGATAGGAGTGCACATGAATGTGACGTCTAGCAAGATCGTGACGAGCCATATGACGTTCATAGCATGCACCAACCACAATGCATACCTGAACCGAGAGTTCGTTGAACCGAAAACGCGAGCGTAGAAGAAAAGAGCTGAAGATTTGGACACTGCAGTCCCCGTGTCAAAAATGTAGTAGACAACCCAGAGTAACTTCAGAAATGGCTTGAGATTTTCCGGTGGTATTACTTGAACATGAAGTCCAAGGCCAAGATCAAGTAGCTTTAACCCCATTATACAAACTGCGATATTTAGTACCTAATATCAATTAGCCAGAGTTAGGTACCGTGTGGCCGAAGCCTTATAGGGGCCCCTACCGCACCCGCAAATGCCGTCCAGTCGTCCCACCAGAACTTGTTAGGGGTTTTTGACATGACAGACGCTGGCATTAGAGCCCGAGACCAGGCTCGAACGAGTACCACTACTGTTGGAACAACCATCATGGCAATGAGAAGCTTTCTCAGCTCGTCTTGTTTGGTGTCATTGGGGTTAAAATCGGGTTGAGTTTCCGCTGAAGACATTTTGGGGTTTGAACTCTCATTGACGAACTTGTGGTGGTGGATGGCCTATTGGAGATATTTTGGTAAGAATAATGGAGGAACTCGGGAGAAAGGTGTTGGGAAAATAAGTGGCTGTTAAAACAGCAGGACTATTGGAGGATATGGCTCATACATAATACTGTTAACTACGGTTCCCAATACGTGATTGGATACCTACATGTCTACATAAGAGGATGATATTATGCCTTTAATATGCCTTCGATTAACAGGTACCTCATGTATGTAACGACCGGGAATTGTGCTACCCGATCAAGAATCAAAACCCGACTGGTTTGAGGGCAGCTGATTGGCGGGATCGTATATGCCTACACCAACATGTAGGGTAACATGTAGGGTAACACAACATGAAGTACAGCAATCAAGGGCTGAATTTTGAATATTGGCTATAAACAGTGAAATCTCAAGTTCATGTATATCCCTGCTTGTTTGCTTTCAGAATGATACCAATACCTAGTACTTTAGGTGCCTAAGGTAACAAGCGTACAGTGTCTTAGAGTACCTATTTATGGACTGGTGATACGTATAAGTTCTTTACCGCACAATATTCTCATTCTTCTCTTCGTGAGGTTTCTACTGAGTCGCTAGAATATTTTGTATAACGAAAGCATTCAAGTTAACTTTGCCATGTCCGTTCTAGAGAAGATTCCCTCTTCCCAGCTCGACCCCTCGCGGGAAGAGCAGACGGAGGTTAAGGCTCAAAACTTGAACACGGATGTGGAGACTGCGAACAATAAGCAATCCTCAGCCGGAGATTCACCAGTTCGAAAGCTAAAGCCCATGTCTTGGTTCTTCGTCGTATTTTCCTTGCTGGCTGCCCTATTTCTCTTTGCACTTGATAACACCATCGTCGCCAATATCCAAGAAAATATCATATATACGCTTGGAGGCATTGAAAAACTGCCCTGGATTTCTGTCGCGTTTGCTTTAGGCGCTGTTGCAACCAATTTGCTCTGGTAGGTACATGCCCTAGCCTTAGGTACTTACGTACATAAGGCTTCATTCATAGTTATCATGATTAACCAAGAGCGTAGGGGCCAGTTATACTCTCATTTCGAGAGCAAATTACTTTTCGTCTCCAGTGTGGTCATATTCGAAGTTGGCTCCGCGCTTTGCGGAGCTGCCCCGTCACTCGATGCACTCATAGGCGGTCGGGCTATCTGTGGCATCGGAGGAATGGGCATATATCTAGGGACAATCAACATGGTATCAGCCCTAACAAATGATCAGGAACGGCCCATGTACCTGGGATTTGTTGGGCTAACTTGGGGTATCGGCACAATGTATGTATACCCCTTTACACCCAACCCTTTAGCAGGATAGAAGAGCAAGGTGTACTAACCCCTAGAACAGTCTTGGGCCTATAATTGGCGGCGCATTCACTGACAGCTCTGCCACATGGAGATGGTCATTCTATATTAACCTCTGCATCGGAGGTCTTGCTGCCCCTATTTACTTATTCCTCCTACCGGTCGCTGATCCTCACCGAGGCCAAAGCTTTCTTTCACGGGCAAAGAACCTGGACTTGGTAGGGTCAGTGCTCAGCGCCGGCGCGATCACGACCCTCGTGATGGTCATTTCATTCGGCGGTAGTGTCTATGCCTGGAACAGTGGTCAAACAATCGGCCTCTTTGTCGCGACGGGAGTTCTCTGGATCGCTTTTGTACTGCAGCAGCGCTTCTCCTTGCTCACTAAGCCCGAAAGCCGCCTCTTTCCCACCTCACTTATAAAATCTTGGGAGATGGATATTATCTTTGCTCAAATGGCTAGTGCGCAAGTCGTCGTTACGATCCCCATTTATTTCATCCCGATCTACTTCCAATTTGCCAAAGCGGAGTCCGCCTTGAGAAGTGGTGTCCAGCTTCTCCCGTTCGTCTTGCCACTAGTCTTTGCCGTTATGATAAACGGAGCGGTTATGGCCCAAGTTGGATACTACATGCCATGGTATGTAGTCGGCTCAGCTCTGGCATTATCTGGAAGCGTGTTGCTTTATACTATTGACATCAATACGACCGATGCTCGCATTTATGGGTACTCTATTCTAACCGCCTTTGGTGTTGGCCTCTTTTCACAAGCTGGGTTCGCAGTTGCACAGGTGAAAGCGGCGCCCCAGTTGCTCTCGCAAGCGGTAGCTTTCATTGGAATTGGCCAAATCAGTGGTATTACACTAGCATTGGTAATATCCAACAGCATTTTCTTGAACGAGTCAACCGAGAAGATTGCCAGTATCTTACCTGATATGCCGCGGAGCGCTGTTCAACAGGCCGTTTCAGGGGTCGGGGGAGATTTTTTCAACAACCTCACTTCGGACCAGCGACAGCGTGTTTTAAATGCCATAATAGAAAGCATTGACAATACGTTTATTTTGGTTATCACAGCCAGTGCACTATCCCTTGTCCTCTCTGCCTTCATGAAACGCGAGCGACTTTTCGTCACTCCGCCAAAATGAGATACGGGGAAGAGTTACGGAATACAGATTACTATCAAGTATTATAGCTGACATGTCAAATTCTTGCTAGCAAGAAACGTTTCCTATTTCTACCCATTTGCATCCAGTAAATTATTTAATTGGTGTCTCGAAAGAGTTTCTGTTAAGAGTTGGGGCTCTTCTCCTTTTCCCCTTCTTTTTTCTTCACTTATAACCCGGCTATATAGATGTTTCGAAATTCAAAACGTGTGCCTTTTCTAAGTTTATTATAGTATAGTGAATATATATAAATACGGACTATTCTAAGTAAAGTTGCCTAGGAAATAATCAAGAAACTCTCTCTGCAAGGTCACTTGGGTTGTCTAACCACACCCAGGGGCAAAATCGCGTTAAACACACCCGGGAATGACCACCGAGCCAGTCACTTTAAACAGGGGCTCCTCTATAGTAGTACTCTGTCTTCTACATGTAGCACCTTTATGCATTGCAGTTCTCCTACCCTTTCTATAATAGAGGAAGGTTTCATTTCGGAATAAGGGTTAGAAATAGGCCGAGACAGATTCGGAATCAAGATGCGAGTGCACTACACCACTCTATATGCTACACAAAGACATCGGTAACGCAACAATATGATGTGCTGTTGTGTCAGCACGTAAAATTTCTCGTGTCCCGATAGTAGCCGGTTGGAATAATCCGCAGTGACGATATTCTTTGCCATCCTCTTCCCGGTCGTCCCCCTCGCCAACGTACCGTCACATTCACAGATGGACTCATAAAACAGATCGTAGCCAAAATAAGACCTAATCTATTCTTGTAATACAATAGGGCTACTCTACTAGCTAACTACCTGGACATAACCTCCAAGGTTGTACCCTGTTATTTTAAAATAGCCGTACAGTCGTAGTTACAGCAGCATCAACAAGCAGGCTAGCGCCATTGATGTAGCTGGCTGCTGGGCTACACAAAAATGTAATGGTATCAGACACCTCCTCGCACTCAGCTGCACGTTTGATAGGGACGATGGCCGAGATGATGCCCTGTACCTCGGGGTTCTTCTGTATCTCTATATCCAACAATGGTGTGCGTACCCAAGTTGGGCACACAGCATTAACACGAATCCCCTCAGGAGCGTGGTCGAGGCCTATCAGATATTAGTTATCACTTCCGAGAGACTCTAAATTCGGTGTTTTTTTGTGATACGAACCTGCCATCTTGGTGATTCCCATGAATGCATGTTTTGAAATAGTGTAGCAACCTTTGCCCGGGAGACCAACAAAGGAATTAGCAGATGCAAGGTTGACGATGGCACCGCGTCCAATGTCACGCGTTCCATTCCTGCTGCTCCAGGTCTTGGGTTCCTGCTTGCGCATCGCCGCAATCTGGGCACGCACACAGATCAAATTGCCGCGGGCATTAATGTTCATGATGCGGTCAAAATTGTCGACGTCGATCTCAGCTACAGGGGCGTTGACGCCGTTGTCAACCTGAGTAAGACGAGCGAGATGTTAGAGATTATGGTATGGTACTAGCTTAGTATTGCATCTCACTTACACCAGCTGCATTGACGGCGTAGTCGAGGCGACCAAATTCTTTGACGACAAAATCTACCATGTCCTGGACTGACTGGGCATCCTGGACGTTCATCGTAAAGGTTGTGGTTTGGTAGTCTTTGTTACTCGCATACTTTTTGCTTTCTTCGGATGAGGCTTTCGCTGTGTCCTCATTCTTGTCCGCAAATACGATAACCTTTGCGCCAGCCTCAGCAAGAGAGAAAGCCGCTTCTCTGCCGATGCCGCTGCCGGACTGAAGTACAGTATGTTAGCGACTCTTGTATATACCCGCGGGACAGGTAATATCCATACCCCTACAACGAGGGCGATACCGTCAAGTTGGGTACTAGTAATCATTGTGATGGCTTGGCTAAAACTTAGGTTCAATAAGAGCTCAGTGTGAAAAATGGAGAATGTGGTGGAGATGAGAGTTGGAGGAGGCTTGCTTGAAAGGAGAAAGCACTTTTAAAAGGTCCACGATTACAGGGAGAATCAGTAGGAGCAGCAGCATGTAAGGAATAAAGAAACGTTGCTCTGTACTCCAATAAGCTGTTAAGTGATAGTTTCAAGAAAAACCATTTCCATTAATTTTAATTAGGAAAATGCAACAGGTACCTCCTTACGTCGCCCTGATAATATCTAGGTCACATCTCAATTGCATCCGAGCTGAGCCAACATGCGTCGTATCACATTGGCCGACTCTATTAAGCCTTCTTTATCTCTTGACCCTGGTACTTCATGACCACCACCATGAATATGTTCGTACCTATTCTCAGACCTACATAGTCTGCTAAGCGCCAGAGCCTGACCAGGTTCGATTTTGTCTTCGGCTCCCCAAATGTGGACAGTTGGAATATTAATCGGCACCTCTCCGGCCTTGACAGGGGTAGTGGGGTGGGAATAGTGAGTAAGTGGCGTCCCTGCGTCGATGAAAGGGGGCCGACCAGAAAAGAAAATCCCACATCGGAGACCGGATTCTCGGAGCCGTAGTTCGTCGACAAATATAGCACATGCTAATGAAACCCCTTGGGAAAAGGCAATGATCCCGTCGAATGGTCCGTCGGTCTTGATGTATTTTTCCAAGTCTTCAACTGCTTTTTTGAATGATTCTGCATTGTGAGGTTTGTAATACGCAAAACACAAATCCTCAGATGTTGCAAGATTCTCGATCCCTAGAATCTATGTCAGCTCGTTAGTTCATTTGTTAATTAGTTAAATCTTATGCTTACCAAGTGCCCTATGCTGTGCCACCACACCTTCGACAAAGTCGTACGTATGATCTCCCCCCAATTCATGGCGTAGCGCTGCTACAACTCATTTAGCTCCAGGCATTCCGACGTAGTACTTCCAACCCTACCTACCGATTTGGAATTCGAAGATCTGTTAACAGATTGTTAGCTCATCACCATATGTAAAACAAAATGGCCTCGTAACTCTTAAGACAGACTTTACTATTGGTCCCTGCACCATGGAGGCAAAGAAAATGCATTGTCAAGGTATTATCAAATGCTCCGTTGCGATACGTTAGGTGCCTAGGTAGGTGGTTTGTACTAAGAATCTAGAAGCTGTGAAGTCACCCATCCGCCGGCAATATGCATGGTTCTTATAGTTTTTTTTCTCTCACAAGGTCTTCAGTTATTAAACATTAATTGTATATTACGTATTATTTCTTGATTTCTGTACGTTAATATTTCCCGTTTACAGCCCGTGTTTGTAATACATACCTAGGTAGGTAGGTAGTAAATAAAGTCAATGTTTCTATCGGTTGTGGGCACTTGGACTATGATTTGGCTACGGAAAGCTCTATCGGAAGGAAATACACCTTTTTGTTCGTAATAAACGTTGCTCAACTTATTGTATTGACCAGTGACATAGGCGTGGCTGGTTCTATAAGTTTAAAATCGCATATTATATCACAGGAAGGAGGGTTTCCTCTGATAATTCTCTTCTCCTTTTTGAGGCTCATATTTCATGTTTTTGTGTTTATGCAATTTCTTACTCGAACTCTTCTTCGGCCTGTCCCTACGATGCCCCCTAGGTCTTTCGAAGAGGAGCCTATTGCGGTATGTGGGCTTTCTCTGAAGTTTCCGCAAGATGCCTCCTCAGAAAAGGATTTCTGGACTATGATTCTAAACAAGCGGAGTGCAATGACGACGTTCCCTCCGGACCGCCTAAATGTAGACGCATTCCATCACCCTACTCAGCGCCATGCCCTCCGTACACGGGGTGCTCACTTCATCAAGGAGGACCTTGGAGTGTTTGATGCCAACTTTTTCTCGCTAACTCCTACGGAAGCTTCTGCTATGGACCCGATGCAACGCATTCTGCTTGAGACAACATACAAAGCGTTCGAAAATGCTGGTATACGACTTGAAGACGTAAAGGGTTCAAGATCTTCTGTTCACACGGGTTGCTTCACAAACGACTATCTACAACTGATACTAAAAGACTCTGAAAGGCTTCCCCCATATGCAGCAGTTGGAGCTACACAATCCATGCTAGCAAATCGACTAAGCTGGTTCTTTGATCTCCGCGGACCTTCAGTTAACTTGGACTCGGCTTGTTCAAGTAGTGCGATGGCTGTCGACCTTTCTTGTCAGTTATTGCTCGGCGGTGTTACTGATATGGGTGTTGTCGCTGGCTGCAATTTGCTACTAGACCCTGATTACAGTACTATCCTGAGCAACATGCAAATGCTATCTCCTGATGGTCGATGCTTTACCTTTGATCATCGTGCGAACGGGTATTCTCGCGGTGAAGGTGTCGCGGTTGTCATACTAAAGCGTCTTTCCGATGCACTTCGCGACAACGATACCATACGAGCTATCATAAGGTCTACCGGTACTAATCAAGATGGTCGAACGCCTGGAATCACCCAACCTGACCTCAAAGCTCAGGCTCAACTAATCCGCGAAACATACAAACGAGCGAACTTAAGCATGGAACATACGCGGTTCTTTGAGGCACACGGAACGGGAACAGCAATTGGAGACCCAATAGAGATTGGTGCCATTGCAGATTGTTTCCATAAGCATCGCAACTCCTCCGACCCCCTTTATGTTGGCTCTGTCAAAACAAATATCGGTCATCTTGAAGGCGCCAGCGGTATTGCAGGGTTGATTAAAGCAATCCTCGCCGTAGAGTCCGGCATAATACCACCAAATACAAATTTTGAATCGTTAAATAGAAAGCTTGCGTCTTACGACTACGTGATAACTCTGCCGACGGAGCCAATAGCTTGGCCTCCTTGCGAGGTCCGAAGGGCGTCTATCAATTCCTTCGGATATGGCGGGACAAACTCTCATGTCGTTATCGACGACGTTTCTAGTTACCTGAGACATAAAGGTTTAGTAGGGAACTTTAGAACGTCTAATCCATACTTCCGGGCCAAGAAGCTTCTCTGCTCAACGACCATAGAAGGATTTCCAAAGCTTCTTGTTTGGTCTGCTTCTACCACGACTGCTACTCAACTCATGGTTTCTACGTGGGAGAAATATTGTTCCAAGATGCTCGACATTGATGCGATGCCGTCGGTTTCCGATATTGCATATACTCTTGACTCTCGTCGGACCTCACTATCGGCAAAGTCGTTTGCAGTTGTTTCAGCTACTTCAGATATGCGAGCTCTTGTAAGGCTCGCTTCTACCCCCATAAATACTCCAAAACAGAGTCCTCGACTGGCATTCGTTTTCACTGGTCAAGGTGCCCAGTGGTACGCCATGGGGAAGGAACTCCTGATGTACCGGGACTTTTTAGAAAGCATTCAGGCCGCAGAATCTATCCTCGCGGGTATGGGCTGCTGCTGGTCTTGTCGAGGTAGGTCGGCTCAAGTTCAATAAGTCCCTAGAATACCGCTAATCAAGTCGTGGTAGACCAACTTTTGAAAGACGAGAAAGAATCGATGATAGATCACCCGAGTATTTCTCAATGCCTTACTGCAGTCGTCCAGATGGCGTTAGTTGATCTCTTAAGGTCATTTGGCATTAGCCCTGTTGCTGTTGTTGGTCACTCAATGGGGGAGATTGCTGCAGCGTAAGACTGGCATCCTTCCGTATGATTACTCCTACTGAAGTTTAAGTAGCTACTGTGCAGAGCTTCTAACACGGGAGTCCGCTCTACGTATCGCCTATTACCGTGGATACTTTACCGCTACAATTTCTAAGCAAAGCTGCTGCAGAGGAGCTATGCTAGCTGTGGCCATGTCTGCTGAAGAAGTATCCAACTACTTCAATGATATGGGTTCCGATCATACTAATATAGACCTCCCTCTGGTAGTCAGTTGTATCAACAGTCCCTGCAGTACAACGGTATCAGGGGAGGAATCTGAAATTGAAAAGCTTAGACGGATCCTGGAGAACAAAGGTATTTTCGCACGACGACTACGCGTTCCTGTTGCCTATCACTCTCCTCAGATGGATCTAATCGTATCCGATTGCCTAAAGCACTTTGGGATCCTTAAATCACCCCAACCAAAAACCAGCATCAAGATGGTCTCGTCAGTCACAGGCTCTATTTTGACCAGAGAAAGGGCTTGTGAAGGGACCTACTGGACAGCCAATCTAGTCTCCCCTGTTTTATTTTCGCAGGCTGTGGAGCGACTATGCAGAGATTCCGCTCTGTCGCTTCGTAAGAAGATTGATGGTAGCCATCACGAAGCAATCGTAGTTGACAATCTTATCGAAATTGGTCCTCACGCAGCTTTGCGTCTTCCTATTGAAGAAATCTTTGAGACCCTACCTCGGAGAAAATCGATCAAGTATCTGTCTGCGCTGTATCGTAAACAATCCGCTTCGGTTACACTCTTAAGATTGCTGGGGCAATTGCATTGCAGCGGTGTTCCCATCGATTTACGGCGCGTAAATGACCCGGAGCAGCCATTTCGAAGATCCCGAATTTGTCTCGCCGACGCGCCAGAATATCCATTCGACCACTCCACGAGATATTGGTGCGAGAGCCCCCTTGTTCGGAACTATCGTCTTAGAGCACATGGCCACGTCGAGCTTCTTGGTTCCCCTAGCCGAGATTGGAATCCACTAGAACCTCAATGGCGATGCTACGTTCAAGTTTCCGATATGCCATGGCTCGTAGACCATAAGCTGAACGGGAGAGCCGTTTATCCAGCTTCTGCCATGATTGCTATGGCTATACAAGGAGTTTCACAGCTTGCGAACCGATATCAGAATATGATCAGCTTTACTTTACACAATGTTCGATACCAATCTGCTATTGCAGTTCCTTCTGAATCTGACGACTTGGAGACGAGGTTACAGTTAAGGCCTCTTAAAGTCACTTCTGCGACCCGAAGCTCTTGGGGTTTCTCTGTATATTCGGTAACTTCTGGTCATTGGGCTGAGAACTGCTCTGGGGTGATAGAAGTTCACTACGAAACAGAATTATGGACTGAAGAGGATAGGCAGAAGTCTCACCATTATAAGGACCACTTCCAAAAACGAGATACACAGTGCTGTAAGGTTTTCGATTCAATAGAGATATACAACAACTTCATCAAGTACGGGTTCCACTATGGACCTTCATTTCAAGGGATTACGACGGTGAATCATGACGGCACTGACACTCTCACGGCAAGGTTAAGTTTGAGTAGCTCTACCGCGGGCAGTTCATTTGTCATTCACCCGGGAACGCTTGATTCCTTTCTTCACCTTGCTTTAGTGTCTTTAAGTGGAGGAGACAAAATAATTCCAACTCAGGCCATATCTCGCATCGATAAAATCTGGATCTCGGCAGAAGGATTTAACTCGCCGCACGAGTCCATCCAAGCTTCGGCAAAATTTGAGGGTGAGACAGCAAGGACCAAGCTTTATTCTGGGTTTGCATTGTCGGACGATAAAGAACATCTAAGGTTGGTAGTCGAAGGGCTTCAAACTACTGTTATCGCTTCCGATGAAAGACCCGAAGAAATTGCTGGCCACGACCAATTTTGGTGTAGTGTCCAGACAGCTGTGGATGTCGATGCCTTGTCAGGTACAAGGATTTTGCAACGACTAGAGTCAATTTGCGGACCTGACTCTCTTGGGCCGGGCGATTTCTTTAGTGATCTCAGACGCTACCTATACTTTATGGTCAAAGAGCTCCGTAGGAGTGTGACCATGATGGGCACTGATCCTACGAAACCATACCTGAAAAGATATGTGAAGTGGATGGATTGGCAGTTAAGCACAACAATTGATGATTCATCTATAACGGATGATGGCTCACTCCGAATTCGAGTTGCGAAGCATGGGTTCCTTGGAAGCTTCATCCTCAAAGTTGCTGATAATGCCCTAAACGTCTTACAAGGAAAATCCGATATGGTACAGCTATTTTTTGAGGATAATCTCGTAGGAAGATTCTATGAAGAGCTATTGGCGAGCTCTATATGCTACCAGAAACTTCAAATCTACTTGGCAGACCTTTCTTTCAAATATCCCAGCCTGGACTTTCTTGAAGTTGGCGCTGGTACAGGTTCTTTTACTGAACATATACTCAAAGGAGTTTCGTCGAGTACCGAGTCTCCTGTAGAGAGATTCAATAGCTACTACTATACAGACATCTCCTCTACATTTTTTGAGAGTGCTCGAGAACGATTTCAAGCCTATTCTCGGAAATTGAAATTCGCTATCCTCAATGTTGAACAAGATCCCCTGAGCCAAGGATTCAAGGAGAATACGTTCGATGTCATTTCGGCATCTAATATTCTTCATATCACGGACAATCTTGATCGTACACTTCAAGGACTAAGAAAATTGTTAAAACCGGGGGGCAAGTTCTTTCTTCACGAGTACATACACCCAGAACGAATTGACGCCGGGTTTATCTTTGGCTTGCTGCCGGGATGGTGGCCAGAAACAGACGAAACCCGTACAATGAGCCCCCTTCTAAATGAGGAATCCTGGAACATTTTACTGCGCCGAAATGGCTTTTCAGGTGCAGACTTCATCCTTCGCGACTATGCTGATGAGGAATCTCATTTGATGAGCATCATTTGTGCGACAGCAACAGAGCCTAGAGATGCTGTACTTCCAGACATAGCCATTGCGGTCGAACCTGGCTCAAGTGTCCAAGAAGACATGGCGATCGTTTTAGCCTCGAAACTTTCCGCCGAAGGCTTTCGCGTGATCCGCATGGATTTATCAAAAACTCAGGAAGACATTTCTTCTCTTGGAAGCGTTATCACGCTGTTCGATCTAGAAGAGGCCATTCTCTCCCGATTAGATGAAGATAACTTCGAATCGCTCAAGTCACTTTTGTTAAGGGCTTCGAGGATTCTTTGGGTTTCCAAGGCGGATACATTTCCCCCAACCCCAAGCCACGGGATGATAGAAGGCTTCGCAAGGGTCTTCCGGATAGAAAACATCAACTGCAAGCTGGCTACCCTGGCCCTAGAGACGAGTTCTAATTCACAAATAGAAGATTGTGATCATATTCTCTTCGCTTTAAAAAATATTATGAAGACCCAAGGCTTGGAGCAACCCGAGGATTATATCGTTGTAGATGGTTTTCTGAAACTGAGCCGAATATACGAGAACATAGAGTTCAAAAAAGGAATCTCAAGGAACCTTCTAAGAGAAAGACTGGTCACCGAGAGTGTAAAAGACGCGAGGCCTTTTACAGTCACATTCTACGACTCAGAAAACATCCCGAAACCGCAAATTACGGAAGATAACTCTACCTTCTCACCTATCGGCCCCGAGGAAGTCGAAATCGAAATTAAAGCTATTGGCCTCGGTCCGATTGATTTTTCAATCCTTTCAGGCAAGACTTCCAACATTAATGTTGGTCGAGAATGCGCTGGCATCGTGACCAAGGTCGGCGCCAACTGCGATATCGCTGTAGGAGATCGCGTATGTGCTTACGGTACCGATCTACTTCGCTCCACGAGCCGAGCCAAGCGAAATCTTGTAGCTAAGATACCGGAATCTCTGTCCTTCGAAGAAGCTTCTACGTTGCCGCAGGACTCCTGTATTGCCAATTATATTGTACGAGAAGCTAGAATCCAGCGTGATGACCTAGTAATCGTACGAGGTGGTGATACGAGACTTGGAAGGGCAACACTAGATGTATTAAAAAAGTACGGTCCAAAGCTATGCGCAACCATTTCGACGCCAGGTGATGAACCCCTTTTCAGCGGCGTTCAAAAGCTCACAGAAAGCTGCTTTACCGAATCGTTTAGATCGTGTTTTTCGAAGAAAGCTAGCGTTGTACTGGACTTCTTGAGCACCGATATGCTACAGCTGACAGAATGTGTGTCAAAGTTCGGCCAGATTTTGAGCATCAGGGAAGTCCCAGATGATAGTCCGGTTCCAATGAGTTTCTTCGAGCTACCAGCCACTGTCGGTTTTCGAATATTGGATGTAGTTGCAGTATTACAACATCAACTTGATCGATTGGAAATGCCCTTTTCTGAAGTCAATGAACCGACTTCGATCCAACCTTTCCACGTAAAGACAATTGACCTCTCTGTTATTGAAACGGTTTCTTCCCATATAAGAGGTCTTGATCGTGAAGAACGGATTGTCATCAAGTATGATGACGAAAGCCAAATACAGGTGAGCCTCCGCTTTCTCTTAATCTAGGGTAACTAAGGCTAATACCGCTAAAGATTCACCGACAATCTGTAAAGGGTGATCTATTCGATCCATCTGCCAGTTACGTGATCTCCGGCGGTCTAGGAGATCTTGGAAGATGCATAGCTGAGTGGATGGTGAGTCGCGGTGCTCGTAATCTCATTCTCTTATCACGCTCCGGCCCACGCAACAAGGCAGCCAGTACAACAATTCAACACCTAGAGCAGTCGGGTGCTAGAGTTTACACACCAGCATGTGATATTTCAGACCATTCATCACTTCAAAGGGTCCTGCAACAACTTCAAGATATACCTGCAATCAAAGGATGTGTCCAAGCTGCGGGTGTTCTCAAGGTGAGCAGAACGAAGAAGAATTGGTTAAAATTATGAGCTAACAAAACTAAAAGGATATTATGTATGAGAAGATGAGTTTTGAAGATTGGAAAGTTGCAATTGATCCCAAAGTTCGCGGCTCTTGGAACCTGCACGATCTTCTTCCGAAGGGGATGGATTTCTTCATTTTGACGTCTTCAATCACCGGAATCATGGGTCAACCAACACAGATCAATTACTCGTCAGGAAATACTTACCAAGATGCCTTGGCGAGATACCGCCTTTCGCTTGGTGAAAAGGCTGTCTCTCTAGATCTTGGCCTCCTTTCCACCGGTGGAATGCTATCTCAAAACAAAGGTCTAGCCGAAAGATTTGCTGCAGAGAATGTCTACACAGTGCTGTCTGAATCAGACATATTGGCTCTGTTTGATCATTTCTGTGATCCTAACCTTGGTTTAGACCAAATCCCGGCACAAATAGTTTCAGGAATCATCAACCCATCCTTGCAAGATAGGCGAAGTTCCAGCTTTCCCCTGGCATTCCATCATCCCTTCTGGAGCCACACTCTTGTTCAGAGTGGTAATGGCCAAGAATCAGGAGAGAGTCCGGACGCCACCGTCAGCGTAGGTCGTGCATTGGTTTCCGCGAGTTCCGTTGCAGAAATGGGCGGAATCGTAGCCGGCGCACTTGCGGACCATATCTGCAGTCTAGTCAGAACTCCCCGAGAAAACATCGACTTAGAAGACCCACTGCGTATGGCTGGGGCTGACTCTTTGAGTGCGGTATACCTTCGCAATTGGATTAAGAAGGAATTTGCGGTGGATGTCGCAGTTTTTGACATTCTAGGAGATATGTCGATCATTACACTCGGAAATTCCATTGCTAGTGAATGGCAAGCAGCTAGAGTTGTAAGTTAAACTAGATGTTTAGAGCCTCGATCACTGTATCTTTAGAATAGAGTATGGCGCCAGATTCGCTCATTTGGTATATTGCTTCAGTGCAGCATGCTTCCATGTATCCCCCCTATATATGGTACCCAATTCACACAAGATGGGTAATATCCACAGAAGTCTACTCTCTTGCCATATCTGGGTTCTTAGTTGCTACAAATGTGCCCTCTCCTGTCTTGGGGGCACCAACATCGGCAATATTGGACAGCATTGAGACATAGATGTATCCGCTGACGATATGCGCAACGCCAGCGACCCCATCTTGTCCGAGTATGTCTCTCGCCTGCCCAAAACTTGCATCATCCAGTGGCTTACGAAGCTTTGTTAGTTTCAGTGCCAGGTTGTAAACGGCAGATTCTCGGTCGCTAAGGCCGTTAGGAAGCTTTCCGTGGAACGCTTCCTGCACCTGTTCCTTGGTGAAGCCAGCGTAAAGACCGATTTCAGAATGAGCATACTGTAAATATGGAACATCATACTCAGAGGCGACGGCGAGGATACAGAGCTCCTTTTCCTTGAACGTAAAGCGTTGCTGGCGCATGATCTTGGAAGCGAGGGCAAGCCATGGGTCAGCAATGTCCTCTGTATAACTGTAACAAGTTATTAGTAAAAGCACTCGAGGCTTTATCTAAGTGAAGACATACAACAGTGAGGAATATGGACCGTAGAATAGGCCTTGGTCGTTCTTCTGAGTAAGATGACTTGGGAATCGAGAGAAGAGGTTTGCAATGCCATCGTGAGCGCTCTTCTGAGCGTCACTAAGTCCGTTTTCTGACACAAGGGGAAAGCGAGTCATGATTATCGCACATAATAGTGTACCTAGTGTAGACAGAATATGATGATGGGCAGAACATGTGAAGGTAAGTCTATTATAGCTACTGACCCCAACTGGACCGATGAACAACCAGCCTGCATTACTATATTACAACCCCTCACCCCCCCCTTTTCCGTACACCCCCCCTCCGATCCCAACTAAGACTCATGGGTAGGATGTTGGGCATGTCGACTCGCATGCATATTGTTGTAATCCCTGCAACGCACTCGTGTCAACGCCATCAGCCAATACGCAACCCCTTTCCCCGATGAACGCCTCAGTCTTATAAAAGTGGGCTGATCGGCGGTCCCCAGCGTCGGCGCTTCCTTAAAATAACTGAACTATCCGGACCAAGACCGTTTTTTCGTTCGCCCCATCTCCGATATTCTGTAACCGTATCCCGAAGACAAAACCAAGGTAGAAAATCTACAGTATGGATAAACGCCAACCAGAAAAAGATTACTCACCACCCAAAAATGTCATCATCGTAAGCTACGTCTAATACTTACCTACGTATATTTCTATGTTTTGTGTATGTTTATGACCTTGAATAGATCGGCGGGTCCCTCTCCGGACTCATGCACGGCATCATGCTCCACCGTCTCGGAAGCACAGTCCGAGTCTTGGAACAATCGCTCACCCATACACCCGTCTCTCACATGGCAGGAGTATGCCTAGGCATCGATGTGCAACACTTTCTAAAGCGATTCGATCGCACTTCAGAAATCCCCTTAGGTATTTCGGCTGTGCAACTACAGTCACTCGATGGGCAGGGCAAGATCCACCCTTTTCTACGAATCAATCGGATCATGTCTTCATGGGATGCACTTTATTTCCGGCTAAGGGCCAATTTCGACATGAAAGCAAGCCACTATGTTCCGCACCCGCCTGCATTAGATTTAAGGGCAGGTGAAGATGCAGATGGCGCTAAAGCGAGAGCAAGGTATGAAATTGGAAAGCAAGTCATAGGTATAGAGCAGTTTAAGACCGGTCAGCTACTAGTCCGCTATAAGGATCATACGGACGGCGGCACAGATGCACAAGCACTGGCAGACCTAGTACTCGGTGCTGATGGCCCAAACTCGATAGTTCGCAAGATCTTCTTAAAGCCAGGTGAAGCAGATCGGAAATACACGGGATATGTGGCGTGGCGCGGTGTAGTTCCAGAGGAGCAAGTGAGTGAAGAGACGCGAGAAGTATTTCGGTCAAACATAACCTATTCGATATTAAAGGGTGAAGGCGGCCACGTTATCCTGTAAGTTGAAAGCCTTTATGTTAAAGCACATGAGCCTTACAGTTACTGATGTCGCTACGTGGTAGTTACTACATACCAGGGAAAGGCGGTTCCGTCGAGCCTGGCAAGCGCCTCTTGAACTTCTGCTGGTATACTAATGTTCCGCTTTCTTCCCTGGATACAATCATGACCGATATTAATGGTAAGCGGCACTACACCAAACTACCACCCGGACAAGTCCGCCCCGAAGTCTGGGAGACCCAAAAGTCCATAGCCAAAACACAATTCGCGCCACCATACCTTGAAGTCATCGAAAAAATCGGATTGCCTTTCCTACATCTTATCACCGATTACTGCTCTCCACGCGCCTCCTTTATGGGAGGCAAAGTACTGCTAGTTGGAGATGCAGTCACCTTGCTACGGCCGCACATTGCTTATTCTACGAATCAAGCCGCATACCATGCTCTCCTGACCGAGAAACTGGTCACTAGAAAACTAACGCTGGAGGAATGGGAGTACCAAGTTACGACCGCTGCATACCTGCAGTGGAGGCGAAGCGCGTGGTTTGGAGAGTATTTCCAGCGACCGCTTTATATTTCCATTGGAACCGCCATGCTCTTCTGGGCTACATCTGCATTGGCAAAGCTGAGGATTTGGATGGGGTGGTTGCCACCGCAGGCAATTTAGGTATCAAGTGAGGAGAATCGAGTTTTGTTCCTATAATCGGCTCTATATTCAATATATATCTACCTGAAAGAAGAAAAGTCCACAGCTTTGAGGGGAGCAATCGAAGGGCCCAACACACCGTTTTCACTACGAAGACTTTAAGGGGACAGATAGGAAGAGACAATATACCTAGGTAGGTAGGTAGGTAAGTAACTAGTATCCACTTAAGCTCTTTATGTTTCTTATATTGTCTCCTATCCTACCTTAGGTACACAACCTACCTGCTACTTAGGTCAGCTAAGGCAGACTATAACCTCCGTCAATCATCAAGTCAGCACCTAATGGAAAATGTTAGTAGGAACCTAAAGTAAACACAGATTAGGACTAACCTGTTATATAACTGCTGGCATCGCTAGCTAAGAAAACGTATGCCCCTTTAAGTTCGGATGGCTTACAAAACCTACGACCGGGAACCATCTCGATCCACTGGCTTCTCCATTCCTGAGGATGAACGTCGAGCACTATATATCCGTTAGATTTGGCGTACCTATTCGTACGGCACAACCCAATACTTACTGTCTGTTTCAATAAAGCCCTATTGTGTATTATAGTTAGATCAATTTCCTTGAAGGTTTGGATGCAACAGTGAGATCCCATACCGGCGAAACATTGTTAACCCTTGTGTAATCCACCCACTCTACGGCCAGCGACTTTCCGAGATGGACGAGAGCAGCCTTGCTCGCGTTATAGGCGGCCTGCTTTTGAGGAACATTGACGAGTGTTGCCGACACCGACGCTGTAAATATGATGGAGCCCCGGTGCGGTTGCCCGTCCGCCTTAAACTGTTTCTCAAACACGCGCGCCGCAGCCTGCGCCGCCCAGAACGCACCGTTTACGTTGACGTCGAATAAGTCGCGGAACTTGTCTTCCGGGTAATCCAGAGCTGCGATGTTTGCGGTGACACCCGCATTCGCCACCAGAATGTCTAGCCGGCCACCGCCTACCTCCTCTGCAACTGCGTTCACGACGGCTTCAATTTCGGCCTGTGAACGCACATTACACTTATATGCTTTGACCAGTCGACCCTCGTTGGCGGAGGATATTTGCGCAGCTATCTCATCCGCTTCTTTTGGTGGCGTGCTTGAGTAGGTTATCGCCACCTTCGCGCCGGCTTCGCAAAGCCCCCGCGCAACCTCAAGCCCAATTCCTCGACATCCTCCGGTGACTAGAGCAGTCTTGCCGGCGAGGCTAAAGTGCGATAGCACTGGGGCTTCTGGATTAGGGTGAGGTGCGAGAACCATATTGAATACAGATTAAAATTTGGGATAGAATGTGAGATCTGTGAAGCTTGATATGGTACTCCTGAGATAGAACTTAAATACGCACGGGGTCTGAAGCCCGGCATCACATTTTAAGGGGGGTAGTACCGGATGGGGTTTGGATTAGAGGTGCTCGGCTCGCATTCGTGCGGATAGTGGACTACATCATACCGAAACTTGGACTACTAGATAAAATTCTTGATCCTCTCCAATTAAAATGATCCAAACGCCGAAGCGGCTATCGGGTAGAGTGGGACTTAGAAAGCCTCTTTGGCACTGGGGCGCTTGGGTAAACCATACCTAAGAGGTACACAAGACCGGAATAGGATTAGCTACAAAAAGGTGATAACTGGAAGGCTTCATAGAAAGCTTAATTAGGAATGTGGCCGATGAAAATGTCTGCCTAGTAAATATTAAGGGAATAATAGAACCCAAGTAGTTCTCTAATAGTATAACTCTAGAACTATTAAACGGCTAGCATACCTATACGTGTATATCTCCTAGTGTAAACCGCCGCCTTTAAATGGGTATTCTCCTAATTATTCGTGACCCCCTTTAAGGATCTCAAGAGTCTGCCAGTAGTAAAATACATTCTCACTAGAATATCCAAGTCAACATTTTTTGAAACAGTAAAGTCTATAAGAGCGGGAAATATCTCTATAGTGTACATTCGAAGGCGGGCCCCGGGCGACCTCCGTAAGTGGATCGCGATATTCTCGGATTTCGGCTCCGGTATCACTTGACTTCTAGCACTCACGGATCTAAGATTCAACGCAAGAACGGTGTTGTCTAAGGCACAAATAAAAGCTAAGCAGCGTTCGCAACTCATTCAACAAAACCACCACCCTCAACCTTGGTACGCTATGTTATCACATTGTAAAAAATAGAGCCTTTGATGTGCCGTAGTTGTACTTTTACGGATTCCGGCTGGTTCGGTGCTCGCTTATAGGGCATATCCGTCTCGGATTTGGGCGTCGCACGGTGCTTGAACGGGACCTGGACGGTACATGTAATTCTAAAATTTAAATTCCTGATCAATTAAACAAGTTCTGCCATCACGATTCTCACACAAGTACCGAAGACAAACCGAGGGCCCCCGTGAGGGAGACCACAAGAGCCCGACTTTTAGCGAAGGCTCGGGCTTTTCCGAATTTTACCCGTTGTTTACGCCTTGGTTAAGGGGAAATGGGCCGACACATATGATTTTGATAGGAACTCCATTATATTGCTACTTGTAATGTAATAAACTGAGCAATAACCTATCATTGCCGTACGACCTTTAACGTAGCCTTAATACGCCATAAAGTAGCCAAAGTCCCTTCCAAATAAACCGTAGTAGATTTGACAAGTATAGAAATTACATGGTATCTCAAACCCAACTCCTATATTAAATATTCCATATTATACGGCTTCCCCATCACGCATCGTAACCTGGTATCCAGACAGAGCTACGCTACTGGCAACGTTACCATCCTCTTTTGAGCTAACTTTCTCATCGGACTATGTAACGAAGGGATTTGCTGCAGCGTTATTGCTCCGACCACCGCTACTAAGGGTGATAAGAGATTGCGAAAGGGGGGGAGTACTTTCGCCGTCGAAGCTTGCGGATCGTTGTCGTTTTCGACCGGTACGTGTATCAAAGGCGCTGGACGATACGCTTTTATCGTCGTTGTCGAGAAATATGATTCGATTGCCTATAGAATAATACGTACGAAGATTCTTCTTAGCCGTTTGGCTATTCTCGCTCTCTTTGTCGGGCTCGACAAATACAATTCGATTGCCGATAGAATAAAACCTACGAAGATTTTTATTGGCTATCTCATCATCCTCGTTGTCTTCGTTGTCTTCGTTGTCTTCGGTATCTTCGTTGTCCTCGCTGTTCTCGCTATCTTCGTCCTCGTCGTTCTCGTTATGCTCAAGATGTATTATTTGATCGCCGATGAAATAATACCCACGGGAATTCTTGTAAGTTCGAAAAAGAGACCGCTTTTTAGAAGGTGGGCCTGGGCCTAGGTCTGGTAGGTTGAGATGAAGAAGCAAACGCGGAGGAATCTTGCCTCCAAACCTAGCATCTTCTATATATGCGTTGGGATAATGTACCGTTTATGCGGAAAGCAGAAGTTTGTAATCACCTGTTTTAGATGTATAAAGCGTAATAGTGTTTCCATTAAAGATAAACCAAACAAAACGGGCAAACAAAAATTTTCGCCGAATACCGTATAGTTTTTAGCATTCAACATTATGGTATTGTTCTTTTATTTCCATATAGTTAATAGCGCCTATTTTAAATGTATAGCTAACCAAACGATATGTACCCTTGTGCTCTTTAGGGAATAGGATAATTTCCCTCTTCTATAAATAATGTACGTCTCTACAGAACATTACCGAATTTACTAATGTATCGATATTTCCGCCGCAATAAAATTGCATACGATTTGTTTTAAACCATTTGTTTTCGGAGCTGGGGATTATATGAGCACGCTTCAGAGGGGTAAAGGAGTTAATTATTCGATAGGTTATATCGCAGCATATTGTCGCGGCCTAGGAATTGTTGTTATATACGGCACTAAGAGGTAAAGGGAATATAGATATTTCTTTCTAAAGAGGAGGTATATTGTTATAAAGAAACACCTAATGCTCGAAGTTTGGCGTAAACGGATAATGCATTATATAGTTAATTACTATTTAGAAAAGAAATATATACTAACGTACCGTCGCCTTCAATATTATGAAGGAAGTAGCGTTGTTTGGTAAGATTTCCTTGGTTTAGGTAGATGGCTTTTTCTACATTAGGCTGGTAAGAAGTTGATAAATAAACGTAACTAAGCGTTCGGCCGTTTTGCCGAATAATATTTCTCGGCTAGTCTTTAATTTCAATAGGTTAAATATTGCCGACTACAATATAACAGGCATAGATAACCAAATCGTAGTCAATACCTTTGCCGTAATAAGTGAATTTTAGTAGCGGATTATGTACATAACCAGGATGGTTAACGACAAGAAGATACCTTTGGCTATCGTTATAGGTTTGGGGATAGGGTGGAAGGGCTATTTGGGGACGAATAGACATTGTAAAATTGATATATTCTTGCGTACTTTAGGTAGTTTATTTAGTTATGGGTTCTATATTATGAACTATTACGTAAAATAACAGATGACGAAAGAAGAGGCAGCGAAAGATAATCTAGGTAAGATGGGGATAACCTATATTGAAGGCGGGTAGCATATTAGGTTGGCGTATCGGAATAATAACGCACCGAGCTGACAGATGTAGCCAATTACCATAGGGGGACTTGCAGGGTTTGAGATAAGTTTAAGCTCGCTGAGATAATGTGAGATGTACCAACGTACATCTCAACACGTGACTATTCGTCACGTGTCATTCAGACATTCAGAATCATCTTAAATGTTTGTAAAAAAAAAAAAAATGTTTCTAGTTTAGTTAATCAATGTATGATCAACCATCCAACAGATAATTAAAAGTCGGGCATACATCGCCCATAACATAAAAGACAGTTAATATTACAGGACAGGTTCTATACTAAGGTAACGAGTAGACTAGATTTTACTTTTTAGGGTGGGATAAATATGGTTCGTATAGTTAATGCATCATGATAGCCGAACAGCTCCGGTACCGAACTCCAAGTCCGACAATTTATATTTTCCTTCGGTTATATCGTGGAGCATCACATTCTATATGCCTTGTAGCTGCTGTCGGTCGGCTTGTGGTACTCCGACAACCCCTTATTCCAACGACCGAGCTGTTCGGTAGACTCCGAGGCCGCTGGTTTGCCCGCCTCGTACATCGAGTCCAGTCGAGCTAGCGCTTCGTCGTTGCCATTACGTCTCTTCCGCCATACACATCGAAGGATCAAGATAACCATGATGATGAGCACTAGACCGCCTCCGCCTCCGGCAATACCCGCAACAGCTGCCACCGGGAGGTTGCCAATCATTCCATTATTCCCATTATCTACTGTCTGTGCTTGGGTAAGAGTACTGCCATTAGAGTCGGCTATAGCGGTTTGCGTAGCGGTGGCGTCTTCCTGGGGAAGCTGCGTGACCCCGGCCGAGAGAGTCGAGGAAGGTTGTGTTGGAGCGTCCAGTGTACTACTAGGTGCTTCCGGGATGTTGAGACTTGTAGCTACACTATCGAGGATAGAGCTAGATGGTTTAAGGGTAGGGCTTGATGGGTTGGCGATAGAGTTCGATGGTTTAGTGGATGTCACGAGGGTTGTTGGCGGTGCCGATGTTGTCAAGATTGATGTTTTAGAAGAAGGCGAAGGCGAAGGCGAAGATGAAGATGAAGGTGAAAGTGTCGTTTGTGGGCTGGCAGCCGGTGTTGTAGTCGACTCAGGACCAGTAGTCGGCTTGGGACTAGTAGTCGTCTCCGGTGCATCGGGAGTTGATATGTCTGTGTTTTCAGCAGCGCCGGGATTGAGTGCAATTTCCGTAGTCTGAGGCGGTAAGTCCGGCAATCCCGTAGTAGAGATTTCTGCAGTGCTGGCGCTTGTGGGTTGTTGACGTTGTGGTTGTTCGTCATCATCGCCATCGTCGTCATCCTTGTCCTTCGAACTTCCGGGCTTGGGTGTCGCTCTTGTTTCGCCGTCCGAAGTCGCAGTCGCAGTCGCAATCGCTCCGGTATTAGCTTCGGAAGTAGTTCTCTGGTTTGCGTTCCCAGTATCCTCTGATGATGTCGCTATCTGCGAACTCCGATCATTGTCGCTGTTATTATTCCCACCCAAAAGACCTTCGCCCAAACCTCCCAAAGTATTGCCCAAGCCACTCAAAAGGCCAGCCATCGTAGAACAAAAATATAAAATAGAACACCAGGTCCAAAGAAAAGAATATTAGAAAAGAATTGTGCGATGCTATCACCAGGACTCTCGCATCGAATATTGTTGCTTAAGGTTGCGAAGGAAGATTGAAAATACCTTCCTTGAAAGGTTTCTACATACCTACCTATCTAGAAAACCCAGGAAATGGGGACTCCATCCTGGAAGTACGAAAAGCGTCACGCTAACACGCCCCCAGATAAACCCCTCGGAAAAGGCTTGGTCTGAAAGTCATGATTCGATTCTCTGGCACGGTCTCAGTTTCATGTTCCCTGGCAAAACCATCCCTGGATTGGTGTTTCACGCCGAGACGGGATTGATCTTCACTTGATCTGCAAATTGTAACACCCCTGTTGAGGCGCTCTGTGCATATATAGGCCCTGCATTGGGACCCTTGGGCGATCAAACATCATCAGGTATTTATGGGTCTAATTCGTTTCTTTCACATCGTCTTAGTAGCCAGAGCAGTCGACTTTGTTTCTCAATGTGACGCAGAGCCCCTGTTGATCATGGGTATGCGACAAGAACCTAGGTACATACATACGTAAGTCGGCAACATCGTCGGAATGACGGCAAGTTTCTAGCTGAATTCCTACGTTGAAGTATATTTCACTTTCCTCTACTACTCTTGGTGGCTGTAAAACCGTGTGGCATAACAAATATGTAACTAACCAGAACTTATGGTTTCTGTTTCTAACTTGTAATTATATCGCATTGCATCAATCATTGTTGGTTAGTCTTTTTCACATACACTACCTTAGGTATCTTAGTTACCTCAGTATGCAAAAGCGACTTCATAGTTTAGATCCAAACTAGATTCGGAGCAACTGTGAGAGTGACCAATCTATGATTTGATCTTGCCCAGATTATTGGCAGATGAGTTCTATTATCGATTACAACTATTAAGCAGATAAGCTATCACCAAGTAGCATTTGACGTGGAGGCCTCTTAACGATCTGCATATGGGAGGCTTCTGTTGTGGGGATATCCACTTTGCTAGCCGCCATTCACTTGGTCTTCGTGATAGTTCGGAATCTCAACAGCGGTTAGAAATGTCATTGCCGAAGACGCGGAAGGCTACCTACCTGGATATTCATTCTCGACGGCGCGGTGTAGTTCACGTTTAACCCTAAGGGCTTAACTGAGCAATGAATGCCTATATCATCGGCATCGTCAAGATGACATGGTGTTGTTTATTGATTTGACGTCAAGATACGGCGGCCTGATCCTCGGCCATCCCTGGACGTTTTGTTGTTATCCGGCCTATTTGCTCTAATACGGAAGGATCGGTCCCGCTAAGGGGTTGTTTTGAATGGTAGAGCTACCGGAGAAACCAATTCATTCTATTCCAAGCATTGATTATTCCTTTTCATGTCCTCTCCTGGAGGCCATGATGGGCTATGTGTACTATCTACCTAGGTTAGGTTGTTGACGACGTATTATATTCCCGGAAGAGGCTTGATCCCTCCTCATCCGAAAGTTTCATCGAACTTACCTCGTCACCTGTGCTTATACAAATGGAATTCTGTCAATGTGAGTCCCTAAAATAGGACCTGACGGCCTGGAGCCATTGGCTAAGTTTAATGTCCGCTTTCCCCAACGCTCTGCTGTCGTACCCACTGCCCATTACCTTCTGCTCGAGACACATTTCCACTTCTGACAGACGGCAATTGATCTCCTACTCATTTTCCACGTTTATCCAATACCTTCCTGCCCACTCGATGATAACAAAGAACCGTCCCATACGTGTCAGCGATCGAAAGGGCAGCAGAATGTCCAGATAGGGTCTCAGCGTCAAATCTTGATCGCTATCCATGGTGAAATTGCCCTCTTCAAATGCTTTATCGGTCACCCTCTGACGACTGTCATTACCTATGCTGTATATTGGCGGTTCAAAGCGAGTCATATAGACGGCTATTGTTAAGGCGGGGAGGTTTGCATGGGTTCTAAGGGAGTCGATGATACTCTGCCAGTGAACGTACGGTACGGGATCCGACGATGTCAAAGGGTCATGCGTCTGAAAAGGTGGACATACTAACTCCAAGTAACGAAGATAAGATAGTGTATCAGGCTTAAGAAACTTCGTGATGAATATAAAGGTTTCGAGTCCAGCTAAGAGGGGTGAGCGGCCCTTCCATATTCCCACGAGCGGGATGATAATTATGCGATTATAGGAATAGAAAACGGCTCGAGATGATTCACACATGGCTCGACTAACAAGGAATAAGGCCTGCGGGGGACGCCAGCATCGGCAGCGAGAGGAGTAAACACAGTGATCACGCATGCAAAAACATCCAAGCTCGAAATGATAATCTGCACAATATTGAAATACACGACGGTCGTAGTATTCCGCAGACAATTCCTCTCTAGGAAATTTATAATAAAATCCACGTTGTGGATTCCACCGGACCTCGTTCGTAGGGGTGATTAGATCGGTGTATTTGAGTATTGACTGCTGGAGGTCTTGCGGAAGATCAAGGAACCGGAAAGGCTGATCTAGATGAGTAGGTTTGTCTGACACTATGATGGCTGCTTGTCGCGCCATATAATAGAGATCATCTTTGCTGTGATTATCTTTACTATAATTAAGACGCAGGGCGCAGTCCTTAAGACTTCCGGGGAAATCATGAAAAGGTGCCAGCACATCAGGGACGATACGCATCTGCGGATATACGTTGCAGATAAAGTATAAGCTAAGCTTCTGAGGATTTGAGTATGTGAGAATATGCTTTGCAGCCTTTTGCCACGCAGCAACGCGACTTTTTCGAATAGGCTCGATCTTTATATCGTCCAAGATATAATTTCCGGGACAGTAGCCAACACGGCTAAGATGCACGAATAAGTTGGTCAGCTTGTTGCAAGCATGAGGAGTAATATTGCCGAGAATACGGAGACCGTCATCTACGGCCCGGTAAGGAACGAGGAAGACATTCTCAGAGTAGACCACAGCACTAACTTCGGCATAGACGGCTTTGCAAGTCTGAAGGAGGCGGAATGTGAAATGGAGCGTATCACACCAGTCGCAAGGGTCACTTTCGAATATTTTCTTGTTATGATTTTCCCCGTCAAGGTCTTCGTGATGTTGCTTTAATGAGTGTACATAGATCGATTTTCCGCTGAAGAGACCTGCATAATCATAGATTCGCCGTCGGATGGGAGCCGGGAGATCGAGGAATGTCCTATTATGCGTGCAGGTCCTCCGGCCAAGCCAATGGCATATTCTTTCCTGGTGCATGACCATGCTATGACTGAGAGGTAGGTATTGTTAGGTTAGGTAGTGCGGCTCGAAGCTAGAGCAGTAATTTATAAGAGCACCGTACCGCCACAAAGATGGCGAGCACTCAAACGAGCCCGGACCAGACAGGGCGGTCCCGGGTAATAAGCCACGTTCTACAACCGTATGTTAGGTTAGGTACCTAAGGGTCATACTCTTAATACAGTACAGGACCTTACAAGTAAATTCTTTAATTCGGTAACTATTAGGTCTTTACTAGTATAAATTTGTAAAATATGTTACTACTTAACGTAATGTATATACAACCATTGCTACGCAATTTGATGCCTCTTTACCTTTAGTTCATCAGATACCCCGCATTCAGGCCTATAATTTCCAATCGATTACCGGTCTTAAAGCCGTATTAGACGAACTAAAATAGAGGCTACTAGTTGTCGTAGAGTCTTTATGTTCTTCCCTTAATCATTTGTGCCGGCATAGATGACGTGAAGTTACGAAAGTAATCATTAGCCAATCTTCAAATAGCCACATGAGTTAGAGTCGTGTGGATATAGAAGGATACCTGTTAAACATGGCCGATGTCGATCTTATAGAGGAAATGCGAGGGGTGGTCGGTTTGGCAATTGACCGCGCAAACCAAGACTTGAGGAAAAGGATTAACCAAGAATTACACCAACATCCCGAAATAGCATATCAAGAAGTGTTCGCACACGATACAATCACGCAATTTCTTCAAGACCGCGGTTTTACCGTGAAGCGCAGTACTTATGATCTCGCAACAAGCTTCGAAGCCGAGATCGGTTCTTCTGGACGTCTCGTGGTAATCTGTGCTGAATACGATGCACTACCTCAGATCGGTCATGCCTGTGGCCACAACTTAATCGCAACATCATCTATTGCCGCCTTTCTCGGCGCTGCTGAGGCCTTGAAAAAGAGCGGTGCTGCTGGACGACTCCGAATACTCGGTACTCCGGCCGAGGAGGGCGGTGGTGGAAAAGTAAAACTAATCGGTGCCGGGGCATTCAAGGGTAATATTGCAGCAGCCATCATGGCTCATCCAATGCCTAGTCATCAGATATCCGGCTCCAATGCGCCACATATATATGACGGTCTAGCGGGATTAAAGATGATAGCGAGTCATAAGTTTCGCACCGAGTTTCGTGGGAAAACAGCACACGCTGCCGGTGAACCGTGGAATGGTGTCAATGCCCTTGACGCTGCCGTCGCAGCATATAGCAGTGTCGGACTTCTTCGTCAACAAATCCAACCCGATGAACGTGTCCATGCTGTAATTGAGGTCGGCGGGACGGTGCCGAACGTAATTACAGATTACACACGTATGAACTGGAACGTTCGAAGTCCGACTATTGCCGGAGCCGATAAGTTGCTTGCCCGTGTGAAAGCATGCATAGAAGGGTCAGCCACTGCCACTGGCTGCGAGCTCAATTATATCGTGTAAGTTTTCTGGATATACGTGAGATCAGAGCTGACAGAAGTAGAGCGCCGACATACGCAAACTTGACGGCAAACAAAGCTCTTTGCGAGGTATATGCGGATGAGATGGGACGTATTGGGGATAAAATTCTATTGCGGAACGAGAAGCCCGTAACTGCGTCAACGGATATGGGTAACGTATCCCATATTATACCGAGCTTCCACGGCGCATTCGCAATATCAGCGCCACCGAACACTTCGCTCCATAATCCCGGGTTCACCGCGGCGGCTAGCACCGACGAAGCTCATGAAAAGGCCCTGCGATGTGCGAAAGGAATGGCGATGCTGGCCGTTCGGGTACTTTTGGATGAAGAACTCGCTTCTAAGGCTGATTATGACTTTCAACATAACCACGAGTGGTGAATGTACTATTGAATGGGTCTTCGGATACCTGTAGAAACATTGGTTCTAATATAATTAGGTCAATCTAGTTACTGATAGTACCTTTTAATAATGATTCTAAAACTTATTATACGTTGACATCTATAATAGTTCAAGTAACACTACCCCCGTACTACTTCGTACAGAGTGAGGCGGCGTACCCGAGAGTCCGGGTCTAAACCGCCCCCCCTTTTCGCATTTGACATATAGGGGTTATTCTAGAAATATTTTAGGAAGGATATGTGATGTCCTACGTCTTCTTTTACTATTTAAACTAGTAGTTATCTATCCTAATACTATTTATCTTCCATCAAAACCCATACGCTTTCAGCATTGGATCCTGGAGAACCCGCTGCATCGTTTCCTTCTCTAAACATACGCTGATATCAAAATCTCCCGTGTCCGCAATGTCCATAACCTGGACGAGCCCGTCCATTCGCGGCATCACACCTTGCACGTACCGAGCTAGCTTATGCGTCGCGCAGAAGTCAACCTCGTATGCCTGTGCTCGTACCCATGAAGTAACGAGTGTATGTTTGGAGCCGAGGAAGGCTTGCCATAGGCGCTGTGGGCTAACCTCGTAAGCTGCGTCGTGGATATATGCAGACACAGCGTCGGGGGTGAATAGGGACATCGTCTGTCTAATCGAACCGGCAATTGAACCGATGGTCGCAGTGGTCACTTCAGAGCCAGGTTTGGCAACATAACCCAATAAGATCGGAGAGCCAGAGAAGGTATCTGGTAGTGGTGGGTTGACCCGATTGCGAACCCCAAGGGTGATGTCAATATACACCTGATCTTGAGACCTCTCAAGCTGTCTTGCGCGGTTGATAAGAATCCAGATGTGCGCCAGAGCAGCGTCAAGCCGTGAAACGCGGTGCCCTCTTAGGGACTCTGGAAGGCTACTCTCAGCGGCCTTCTTCATCGCGACAATGGTTTCCGCTTTGAAGCGGATTTGCACATGCTCCACAGGAGCAGCCAAGTCCCATGTTGGCCAAGGTGGATAGGAGGAGGGGCTTAGCTCTGAGCGAGCTAGTTCCTCCGGTGGTGGTCTCGTGCCGAGTGTGGACGCTTCGGCCCAAGGAGGATAGCCTGGTGCATCTTTGGCCCACCAATCGTATCGATGCATGGGTAGGGCTCTCGCTATTCCGACTTTCTCTGGATCTGGTCCTGTGGGGGTAAGATGGGCGCGCTGGTCTAGCTGCGAGGGTTCGAATAACGGTACAAGACGCTTTTCCCCATCGGATCTATCACTCCCAAACAGATATCGCGACTGCACTGCCCAGGCATGGGCGAATTGCATAAGACACATAGCATCGGAGAGGCAATGCGTAAGCTTGATGCTGATCGCAAACCCGCCGCATTTGAAGCTCGTCAATTGGATAGTAACGCCTGGCAGACCCTCAAACTCCGACAAGCTCGAGAATGCAAGTTTCGTTTTGGCGAGGAGGTCATTCTGAGGGAAATCTGTCGCATTCCACACTTGCTTTGCAGCTAATCGCTCCTCTTGGCTTGGTACTATAGCGCTGAGCTCTCGGCTGTCTTCTACAATTGTCAATTCCACTCCAGGATCCCCCGGGCTACCATATACAACCACCGGCCGACCGATATACCGAGGATTTACGTCTCCTTTCACAAGCTCCTCGGATGCCCATCGGAGCTGGCCTGCGAAGTGTGGGTAGTCGTCCAGGGTCTGCCTAAGCGCTTTCTCCAACCGTTCGAATAAAGTAGGATCACGCGAATCAGCGTTTTCGGCTCGATCGTAAAGCCAGATTGCGCCGCATAGTGCAAATCGCGTGACGGATGCGTCAAGAATAGACAATTTCGTAGTTGTTATCTGTTTTGGACCGTTCAGGGGGAAGACCCTCTTTGTATGTTGAATTTGATATGTTGATTCAGTCATGACGCCTCGAGCTTCCGGCTCTTTAATCTCGTCTCCAAATATTGTTAGGAAAATTGTGCTTTAAGCCTTTTCCTGGTGTAAGATTCAGCCTTCTACTCTCGGCGTTGGGCTTTCACTTCTTCCACGCGTGTAGCTAAAATGACTCTGCTCATTTGATCGCCACATGATTCAAGAGGGTTGGCAGCGCCTATTAAACATTATATGGCCTGAGCAGGGATCCGCGATTGAGTCTAATCGAGTATAAGAAATCTGCCTTGGGAATGCCGTGAGAACGACAAGTGAGCCCCTATTAGGAAAGTTATTGATCGGATAAGATCGGGTATGATTCATAATGATTCATAATGATCCGTGGCTGTGCCGTAACTCGCAACCAACATCCATATCCTATCGTCCTCGTCCTCCGCCACATAACGAGTGGATAGGTACTTTTGATGGTAGAGTATCTTGGCCAATTAAAATTCAGTAAAGTCGCAATACATTCTCTTTAGGAAGAGACCTCGTGGAATCTATCCATTCACATTATCAAACGTGGAAGAAATTCCCTTATACCAACCGGATCACTTTACTAGACTTTAATAAAAGCAGTGGCTCCTTTTGTCTGCGGGCCTCTCCCGTACTTATCGGCAGCCGACCGAGACCCCCTGCGCAGGATTAAGAACTGTCACGGTATTCTTTTTTCGAGCTTCGTAGTATCTTTTATCTAGCATTCAGTTAATTACTCGAATATGTATTAGGCTAGGTATAGTACCTAAGGTACTTTTATAAAATAACCACTACTGAATGTTTGAGTTGCCTATCACTTAGACGAAGACAACGTATCGAAGCTCAGGCGTACGTACCAGCAACATTCGAAATGAGACGTTACGCTGGTGCCGAATCAATATACGTACCGGGAGTTAAATCTTGGGAAATGATAGAGTACCTGGTTGCATTTGGTTTCATGATTTACCAATGCCATTCTTGGTCTAAGTTTAAGATACTTAAAGTAGGCAGCTGAGCTTCTTTGACCTCCTTTACGTTTTAGTATTAATTAGTATTATCTTTCAACTATATCATTTACGCAATTTTGAATCGTCTGGCATAATGAAATATCTAGGTAACTTTTGCATGCTTAATACACATCCTTGATTTCAGTTCCAGCCAAGTAGGTTTTAACATACACTCGGCCCTACCGATAGAGCCTCCGCAACCTGCTTAGCAACTACATCATGGATGGGATACGTTGGATGCAAGTTATTGAGCCAGAAATATTCGTTTACGGCAACTCCACAGCTGGGGGTAAACGTGTCATCATCGGGCGTGCCACTAGGATTATTAGTACTTCGCTCAAATATAGTATAAATCAAATCGTTCGGCGCCCCTGAGGGAGTGTATCTTACTTCTGATAGGCGTTGCAATAACCGGTGGTATTCTTAAGGCCAGCAGTTTGTGCGTATGTGCTTGGCTTATCCAAAACCTCTGCAAAGCTCTTGTTTGAGTCGTAAACCCAAACGTTGACTTCGTCTGTATGGTTGCTCTTTAATGAAGCGGCTGTATCTGCTACGCGTTTATTCCAATCCGCAATCGCTTCTTTCTCCGTTTCCACAGATTGTTTACCCTGACCAACAGTTAATGGACTGCGGTCCACAGGCGGGACGTTGATGAAGACGAAATTCCTGGCGCCGCTGTTATAGAGCTGATCAACTAAGCCTGAGTAAACATCGAAGATCTTAGTGTATAAAGGACCCGAGGATTCTGGTCCAGCTCCATACGAGTTCCCAACATCGTTGATACCAATCCAGAAGGCAAAGATGGAATCGGCACCCGTCCATTTAGGTGCAGAGGGAGCTTTAGAAGAAGTACCCGTGTATCCCGGGATAAACTCTTCTTGTACCTGTTGCTTAACAGATAAGACGGTAGGCATATAAGGCTCAACAAGATCTGAGTCGACAGTCGCACCTCCATAAGCTAGATTGTAAGTTTGTAAGAGTGACGCATTATACTTTACGGTTAGATATCCAACCCAGTTAGGCCCATTCGACGACGTCCATCCCGGATATTGAGGGTTCCCAAATGGATTAGATGGTGAAGGAGGGGTTTGCGTATAGTTGAATCCTATGAGAATGTTAGGACTGGTCCCCTTAGGTCAGTTAATATTTCTTTCAGTACCTGTCTGCGTGTAGCTATCCCCGCTAGAAATAAGTTAGTATATGCTATGGAGAATCTGATCAGAAGCACTAACAAGATGAAAGCATGTTTGATATCCTTCCAACCCGTCCATTCTGTCGTCACCGCACACCCTTTTCTCGCCGAGGACAGCGCGTACGTACTCGTAGCAAGACATGCTAACGTTGCAACTACGAAATGAGCCATTTCTTAGTAGCCTAATGCTGAGATCTTACTGGGCCTGCACTGCTTGGTTCAATCTAAGTCGCAAATCCGATGCTTAGATCTCCTAAGTGTGTATTCGTAGTGGACTTGGAATAGACCGTGAGATGGACTAATGAATGGAATGGAATTGAGTTTTGAAGACCGAAGGAACCAGGCTATGAGACGTTATATATCAGAGGATTTATTTTAGAATTCATGTAGGACATCTTTACGGATGGACGTACTTCAAATTGGGGGCGGCCCCTTCGCTGCATTCAGCATTCAACAGCGCGGAATGAATTTTGTTACCCATCATAGTATGGTCTGATTTAATACTAGCCATCCAGACCTCATCGCTAAGCGATTTAATACACGAATTGCAGTTCTGCAAAGGAATGGTTTCGGTGTTAGCACGCCACCCCCAACACGAAAGTTGGAGAAGACGGAGCGTCGAGCGCCGCCCTTTCGAATCTAGCATTCAAATTCCGATGTGAGTTCCCACTTTCAAATCTAATTAAAGATGAGAAGGTCGCAATTCAAAGCTGCCTCATAAGCCTATACGGAGGCAGAGGTTCCGAACCACGATGGGATAGGTAGGTCAGGGGCACACATCGAAGTTATGCTGTAACGCCGGTGAGAAACTTTATCATTGACCTGATTTTGTACTGTGCGCTACCATTCTATTATTTTATTCTACTAAATTTAAATGATTAAATAGTACCGGGTATGGAAAACAACTTTCGATACATTTTTACGTCGGTCAATTTTATCAACTAGGTAGCTGTGAAATATGATTAAAAAGAATATATCTCATGGAAAGCTTGGTCTAGATTTACTTCCCGTTTCAATAAACTTCATTGCTGAATCTAACAGGCTTGAAAAGAACTATTACTAGGTACCTATAGTGCTGAAAGTCAGGTCTAAGTTATAATATTCCAAGTTCTTGATATAGTTAATAGACAGCTTTATTCTCAATATTATACAGACCGAAGAAGCGATGGAAAGAAATAATACCTTTAATGACGGCAGTGGCGTGATTCAGCTTTGCGATCGTTGCTTTGATGTACGCCCGTGTATTTACTACAATCTGATCAACATCTTAAGTACGTGGTAACAGAAAGATATTGGAGGCTTATGAACGCCATTTCACTGTGACCATATCTCGAAACAAGCCTATTGCAGGAAGCATTTCTGCGGAGATAACGAATTTATTGGGGGTATATACCTATAAATAGTTCCAGGAATTATGAAAAGATCGAACAAAGTTGCTTAGACTTTATCTTAAAGGAGTACCTAGGTATGTTTATCCCGTTACTATCAATAAGCATTGCTTATATTCCCTTGCCAATGGATTCCGTTAACCTGTCGACCTTCTACTACCATGAAGTATTCGCCGTCTTAACAGGAACATAGGAGTTACATCAACTACTCATAATAGTCTATAACTTACCCCCCCTTCACTCCTTAAGCCATCCCTGGACCGAGGTTGGCAAGAGCTACATATTTACCGTAGTTTTATTACGACTTAATAAGAACCGGCCGTTATACAAAGCAAATCCAGATGATGCACAATAAATATGGTAAATGACAGTGTGTCGGAAAGGCACCCCATGTAATACTACTATTAATAGACTATTCCAGGGCCTATCGTCTGCACAAGTCCCAATGAGACACACTGCAACGACATGAGTTTTATAGACGAAATTTACACTACATCTAGTCGTAAACGGGATAAACCACTACACCTTGTCCGCGGTTTGATGTTTGGTGAATGCGGGTTTGATACCATCGATCACGATCTACGTAAGATTCGACGCACGGCAATAGCCAAATATTTCGCGAGGAATAATCAACCAATTAGAAAACGATATCCATGAGTTAACACAGACTCTTTGCGACGAGTTATTGATATCGCCTAACGATCTGATCGATATTGTTAAATCCTACAATTGCTACTTATTACCTCTTTAGCGAAAGCTTCGGTTTCTTGGATCAGAAGGGCTGGTCTTTAAACCTTCACCATAATGTTCGTTCTGTAGCCATGACCAGATTTATATTCCGCTTCTTTCCTGTCCTTGAGAAGCTTTTGGATTTTAGTTATCAGTTTGTCAAGTCCCCATCCTTAGAACCGTCCAAACCAGCCTCTCTAACAAAATACATGTTTCATTAATTATTTCCTTCCTAAAGACATTAGATTTTTTCTTCGAACGTTCAGGGTTGACTTTCCAAACCGTATTCAAAATATACATACTGAGATCGACTCGGGAATTATAAGAGACCGGCCTACAGTGTTTGGCTCCTTGTTACGGCTAGAACCCGAGCAGAAGAAACATCTGAACTTTGCCGACGAAGCTGCACTAATTACCAATGCTGCGTCGGGGACCACAACCTGGACTTTAACCATTATTACGTATCATATTTTAAGCAAGCCAGAAATACTCGCAAATTTAACAAAAGAGCTTAATAAAGTTGTGGATGACCCCCGGCACCTATCTCCTCTTAGTATGCTTGAAAGCCTTCCCTATCATGCAAGAGTTATCCAAGAAGGTCTACGTCTCTCTTATTTATTATTCACCATGACGAGAATGTATTCCCCAATTCGTATTCATTAATTCCGGAACGGTGGCTTGACTCCAAAAGTAGAAAGTACTGCATCGTAATATGTTTGCATTTCGAGGGGTAGTCGAAATTGTTTGGGCATGCAGTAGGTTGCTCTCACTGTATGTTCTAGGTCTATTGTCAACTGCTAACTGCATTCTTGATAAGTCTTACACTGTGTGAGCTTTATATGGCGGTAGCCGCACTCACGTTGCGTGTTTTCCCACAAATGCATCTCTTCTAAAGGACGGAAGATATAGTTTACAACTATGACCTTTTCTCGCCCATGCCAAAAACTAGTAGCAAAAGTGTGCGAGTACCTAGTTCTTACGGCTATTTAAAAGCGGTATTTTTTTTTTATATAAATTTGGCAACTTGACTAGGTTCATCCTTGCTTTTATTATTTAGGTAATTATAATAAGTCTTAATGATGAAATAGTTCAATCATTTCTACCCCTTTTAGGTACGTAGGTACCTACTATATGATAGGTCACTTATTTTCTTTTCTTTGGGTTCCGGCATCACAACGTCGAATTTCTTCTTTATGCCCGACTTCAGGAGGTTTATTGTCATTACCCTTCCAATTGATAGGTCGATCAAATATCTTTATTATCGGTTAATATGATGGAACATCACCGCAACTCGGAGTTGTCGAGGGACTATGTTAAGTCGAATATTACCCTTGTAACCGAGTCGCGACAAGAAGCGCGATTTCGTAAACGATTGGCGCGTCGCGCGCCCATTCGATCTGCATCCCGCTTCGTTCCTCAAGATCCCAACGAAACACCAGAGCATCATTTCCCCCTACAAACTATTTCCTCGCGATCTGCCCAGTCTCGCTTTATCAACCGCTACGATAGCCGTGAGATATTGATTCTTATTGACGGGAGCTGCGTCAATAACGGAAGTAGGGATCAGACTACCAAGCCATCTTCCGGTGGGTGCAGTTTCACATTCAAAGGGCCAGGAAGATATGGATCCGATGTAGAACATCCTTTCAAGGATGCTAATTATAATGACGGTGGGATGGTTGGATTTCCTCTGGAGAAGTGCGGACCTGGAGGCGAAAGTTACAATGCGACAAGTAACAGGGCGAAACTTAGAGCAGTAATTGCAGCACTCGAATTCCGTGACTGGCAAGAAGAAGGATGGCGGCGCATCGTCGTCGCGACCGACCTTAAATACGTTGTTGATGGCGCAATAAGCCATCTGCCAACCTGGGTTCGACGCGGTTGGCGAACTAGCAGGTTGAAGAAAGTAGTTAACAGAGACCTGTGGGAAGAACTCAACGGCGTCATTGAGAACTTACAGAGGCGTGGTACCTCGATTTCATTCTGGTTACTTCGTTCGGGTAGCTTGGCTAAGACCAGGTCAGCATTGGTACGCGAGACTAAAGACGCCGCTAGAGAGGCTGCTATCGAGCACACTGATGAAACTGCGCTGGAGTTTACAAGGCTATGTGGCATCATGTTATAAGGTCGTGATATTTTGATTTTGGGAGTTTTACAAGGGCTTTGTATCTTATTTGATATACCAAGCATCAAGAGAGAGAAACACTGGATGGTTGGGATTTGCCATGATACTACACTTTAACTCGCATTCCGAGTCGCGAACACAGTTCCCAGAAGCTTGGCAAAAGTCCTGATTAGTGCCTGACTTTGGGTATGCTAAAGCTGCCGGATTCAGTTAGTATGCAAGTGAAATAAGAGGTAGTTATGGTAACGAGGGAGAAGCTCTATACATTCGAGCTTGCTGGAGCATAGAAATATAATCTCCATGCGTCGAATGCTTCATGGCTCGAGCATTTTGTTTTTATTCATTAGCTCCGCATGGTCTTAGACGATCTATCAACAAATCAGACCTCTCTGATAGGACCTTTGTAGTGTTTCTTCGCCTGGAGAGGATACCATATAATAGAGAACAAGATGACGACACAAAAGGGTAGAACGCTCCAATTCGTCGTCTCCGCCGTCGGGTCGTTCGTCTGAGGCCAGAAGGACCAAAATAGCGTTACCACATTATATACGCAAGCAAATATATTATTAATGGTTCCCAATGGTTCGGGAATTCGCCAAGGTCCCCAACTAACTTCTTGATCAGGGTCCTCTGTTTCTCCTGAATAAGGACGCATCTTCCCTGTAGTACGGCGCCAAAGAAGAAGAGCGCAAGGAACCATGTAGGAAGCAAATAGAGCGGCTACCGACAAGGAGCACAAGGCCTGGAGGGCGACGGCGGACCCAAGCGCAATTAATGATAAGAGTATGGTGACAGCGAAGGTGGTAAAGATTGCATTCGTCGGGAGGGTGTTCTTAGTGAGCTAAATAGACTCAGTCAGCAAACATGGACCAACTCTGAGGCGCGTATATTAATAGGTACCTAGGCACCTAGGTTATACATACCTTTACCAGATGGTTTGAAAATGGAACGCCTTTATCCCGAGAAAAAGACCAGAGCATGCGGGCCGTCGAGGCATATATACCAATGCTACCCGCCACTGTCAAGGCGAGGATGACACCCGCCATAAGGCAAGCACCTGTGGTCGACTTAACCGCAGAATCCGCGATCTGGAGGAAAGGGTAGAACATGGTATCAACAGCTGCCACTGTACACGGTTTACTGTCAGCTATTGTACTTAGGCAGTCGTAGGGGTATTGGAGTGTCCATAGAACTGCAATGTGACTCACTTGCTGCATCCAAGTCGCTGATACAAAATACCATGGCGATAGCCATACCCAATGCAAGTGCTCCGTTAATGAGAACCGTATACATCAACGCCCGAGGAACAACTAGGGGAGCCGATTGTATCTCTTCGGACATATGAACAGCACAGTCAGCTCCGACTATAGCCGTAGCAAGTGTCGGGAATCCAACAAAGAAAGCCATCGTCTGTGTAGGCCAGTTTCCATTGTTGAGGAACGTTGTAAAAACAAAGCTCGGTTCGTTGTGAGGTGCAAAATACACCACTTCATCAACTAAGTTAGCAACGACTTCTTCAAAGTTTCAGGAGTTTTATAATTCTCTCCGGAGCAGTAACTCGTCACTAGGATCGATTAAGAAGTTTGACTCCTAAGAGAGACAAGATAGAAGAGGAAAGGGGGCTTCTCGTTGGTACATACTTGGGACCAAAACTCCGAAGAAGCCGGCCAAATGGAGAATGAGAATAAAGGCCTCCAACTTTGCCAGTATACGGCTCGTGGTGGAATTTATGAAAGTGGTGAAAAGAGCGAAAGCCCATATGAGCAGTACGGTGTGCCATGCCAAAGGTACATATGTTGGGTGTGCTAAGACAATGATGCCTTGTAGAAGAGTCGCGACAAGATAACTGCACATAACAGAAATTGCTTGCCATGCTAATGTTGTAAGCCAGGCAGTCATGTACGATAAGAATGTTGAACACGACTTTGGACCCAGCATCGAAACCCAGTGGTCTACGTAGTAAATGGAGTTAGTAGATGATCTGACCGAAGACATTGTAAAATCTCTTCATACATTGACCACCAGCAGTCGGTGCTGTCGAAGCCAGTTCGGCTAACGTCGCATACATGGAAATAACCCCAATCCAATTGACTACGAGCCCCCATATAAGACCGGATGGTCCACTGATTCGATTAGCATTTGTTAAGCATCTTGACAGCGTTCCATTAGAACTACCATTAAGTAAACTTACCCTATGATAAGACCCGGAACACTCGTCAGGAGAATGCTTTCCCATGAGCATAATGCCGAACAGGAGAAGCCGAGAATTGACATGAATCCAAAACTTCGAGTTAGCACCGGCCGCTTCCCAAGCCGCCGTAGGACCGCATCGTCGTCATAATTGTCACGCTTGCGAAAGCTTGACGACGATTCATCGTGGAGAAGATTCCCGACGTTAAGCTCAAGCTCGTCTTTCGACATAGCGATTGATATGCGCAAGGATACGCAATACTCTGATACAGAACGATAATGACTGCGCGAGGAAGAAACCGATAATATCGGGACCCGAGTGGGACGACAATTGGTCGAACTGAAGATCGACTTCGGTTGCCCGGTCGTGGAGAAAAGAACGTGATGGAGGTGAGACTGGACAGGCAGGACAGAACGCGACCCCCCTTTCGAACACGCTCTATTAGGCCAGCTGAACTTCACACGGGATTGCCCCCCGGAAAGTGGCTGCTTGACCCGAATAGAACAGTGAGTGGAATACATAGACAGTGAGGCACAGAGCTAGGGGGGCGATAAGCGAAAAAGCACGCAACCAAACAACGCAAGGGAGTGGCCTGGGTGGCCAGAACCTCTCGTGCAAAGACACGGCACAGCATGGCAAGGATGTAACATCACATCCCCGCACTCGGTGTGTTTCTAATCCTCCCAAAAACCCGTCACGTTTAAACAAGACCTACAGTATGTAGGCGTATTGAGCGAACCAATCGGTCTACTTGAACCCCTGATAATAAATCGATATTATTGAAGCGTCAAATCCGACTTAAGAAAGCTATCATCGTCATTTGTGTTATCCGTATAAGTTCTACTTCGCAAAATTTACTCTAACATTTGTTACGAAATTTTGCTATCTATCAATAATCGATCACCATGTACATATGGGTGTTACTATTTAGTCAGGACCGCGTCCAGTTCATTTAATGATATATGCGGGTCGTAATTCGGTTCCGATCCGGTGCTACTAGCTTGCCTTCTCGATAACGAAAATTCCTACGATGGTGCTCAATCGGTGGCATCGTTATTGACATACGGCACCATCCCTGAGTATTTCGTCTTTCAAGTTTCTATTAGCTATGATCCTACACTGTAGATCAAGTTAAGGAGGTAGTATCTCTACACAATGTCTTAGTGATCTTATTGACGATGCACTTCTTCAGAGGGACAGCAGACAACAGATTATCATTGACCATATAATACTAATACATAGCAATATCCTAAGTTCCCGGAACCATTCATCGGTTGGTAACGCCTTTGCACCTAAGCCCGCTATCCATCATACCCGTCAGACCATAACCCTATGTAGTCGGTTTCCTAATTCCGTCGCTCGTGTTCCGCGTCAACGACCGCTCCAGGGGTGATGATCACATCCGAAGTAAATCCACCGCGGATCTCTTTCTTTCCATCTCGCGTCCCTACATAGTGTAAGTCAAAAAGCAAAATCTGTGATAGACTGAAGAATAAATACCTAGGGGGCTTGCGGATGCGACGGTGCTGAGTCCCAGCAATGCCATGATGAAAGCCTTGTAAAGCATTTTGAAGTAGGTAGATGATAGATTTGTATGAGCGTAGTTTATTTAGACAATATTGTTGTCTATGGAACTCAAAACCCACCTCTCTTGACAGGTCGGTCGACTGGCGGGAATTTATAAGATGAACAGTCTGATATCAGACGAAAGGAGCACCCCACTAATCGATATACAAGTCAGATGCAACACCATTAGGACTAGGTACGATCACACAAGAGATCCGGACAGCGAAACATGATTGGCTTAGTCGCATCTGGCACAGCAAGCAGTCTTACGCAGGAAATTAAAAATTCAATATCACATCCGCCACTTTACAGGGTATTTTACATTGCCGGCGGCTGTATCGAGCGGTGAATGCCGTAGGGCCCTCAAGCGGGGTGTCGAGTTAACTGTCTGAGCCGTGGGTCGTGCATATCTGCAATAGGTAGTGGGATGATCATCCTTATAGGCGCCCAATAGTATAGGTTGCATTCAAAAGATGATATACATACATGCAGACATGCAGACATGTTCACCAGAGCCAGATCTGACGCTTGCGTATCCCAGTGGGTCATAGCGTAATGAAGTCCTGCATATCTATATCCGTCGTACGACCTGTGAAAGTCATAAGGCTGAGTGAGATCCCTCCGTCTTATATCAATCGCCGAACTAAGCTTTCTTCCTTACCTAACTTCGAGAGTCTCTCGCGTCCTGCCAGAAATCGTCATGGAGAAAGGCTCTACAGAATCTCGAGATCGCCTTCTCGGTGAAACAGAGTACATCGATGCGAAATTCAGGACCTCCGATGAGTCTAAGACATCAATACGCCGATGGATACGCAACAATGCCCTTCTACTTGTGATATTTATGCTTCTGCTATACATCGCTATTTTCCTGACCATTGACTCCGCGGCGAGACTCGGGACGCAGCAACAATGCCTCGGAGCGGATAAACACTTTAGTATGGGTTGTCTCATATTCTAGTACGAATTTCTACTAACACTATATAGGGTTACCTGGGGACGCTGTACGGTACGAAGAGAAGCAGGAATGGTATACCCTCCGGGAACCTTGGAACAAGGAGCCATCAGACGAGCTTGATGATCTCTGGGAAGACTTATTATATGGTTAGTATCCCGCAAGCCAGAGTCTCATCGACATATGCTGAAATTCTTTAGCGTTGAATATCAGAGTTTCCCCTCATGAGATGGAACAGCTTGGTTCAAACCTTACGAATCGTATCCAAGTTGACGGTGGGGACTACCTTGGCGTTATGGGTGTATACCATCATCTCCATTGCCTGAATAATCTACGGAGGATAGTCCATTGGGATTATTATGAGTCCCGTGTGTCAGATCTAGGCCCTACGGGTCCTTTTGGAAAGGGGCACTCAGGTAAGCCAATTGGCCCCTTGAATTTAAAGGGCCATTAAGCTTATATTCATCACTCCACAGATCACTGCATCAACGCAATCCGTCAAGCCTTGATGTGCCACGCAAACACCGAGATACACACAGGACAATGGATTTACGACCCCGATAGGCCTCAGGCTTCGAAACTAGGATCGCACTCGGTGACTACATGCGTGAAGTGGGATAGCTTGAATAATTGGGCACGTAGCAGAGCATTGAGATCGGGCGAATACACTTACAGACCTGTACCGATCGATGAAACTATGTCAGATTAGAAGAAATAATAACTTATAAGCGTCTTGAAATTCGTCATCTGACATGCATTGTCAAGTACCACCCCATTGAAAGCATGAGATCTTACCCAATGATTAAGTTCTCGTTCATAATTAGAATACGAGGCAGACATATCAGTTCTATGATAGTGAATACCTATTCTCTTATGACACTATTGTAAACATTAGGAGGTCATTTCTGATGTATTCTCCCCCGCACCTCGAAGCTGCGTCAGCCACGGGTATGTAAGGAGTTCCCAAGCGCTTACGTCTTTTCTACTTAGGCAAGGGGATAATGTAACCGTAGCAGCAGGGAGTAGCACTTAGTAGACGTACTCAAGGTACGGCAGAATCGGTCCGATCTATTTTGAAGCTTACCTGTGGACCTTTCATAGCTGCGTACCTGGTAGCTAGCTTACAAGAAGCCGCATATCCAAGTTCCATTCTCATTCTTCAACGGTCAGTCCAGTTTTTCTGCTTATGAACATACGTAAGGTATTGATTGAAATCGCACATTTAGCTCCTATCCACTGGTCTAGACCCATCAATATGGCAGACTTACCCGTCTCAGAAAGCAAAGTGGCCTTTGATGCGCCCAATGCGGGAAAGCCGTCCACCACCTGGTACAAGGTCGTCGGCGACCTAGACAAATCGTCAACCCCGGCCTTAATTGTACTTCATGGAGGACCCGGTGCGGGACATGAGTACCTGGCTCCTTTTACGGATCTATACAAGCAGTACGGTATTCCCATCGTATTCTATGACCAGATCGGGTGCGGGAGGTCCACTCACTTCCAAGAGAAGATAAGGGATGATTCATTCTGGACAGTCGACCTTTTTATTGCCGAACTTGACAATCTTGTTGACCACTTAGCATTGCGCGAGAGGGGCTTCTTCGTCGCCGGCCAGAGTTGGGGCGGCATGCTGGCAGGATCGTATGCATCCCGGCGTCCTCATGGCCTGAAGAAATTGATAGTCGCCGGCGCGCCTGCTAGCTTCCCGCTTTTCGTGGAATACGGTAAAAAGCTGCGCGCCGCATTGCCAACGGATATCCGTGAGATACTAGAAGCCGGCGATCGAGATGGAAGCTACGAAACCTCAGAGTATGAAAGGGCCAGCGCCTGTAAGTAGCATCCGTAATCGCTTATTGGTTATATTTCATGCGCGATGATATCTTATATTGATTCGGTAGTCTTTTATTCGCGGCATGTCTGTTCGCTTGACCCTCTTCCCGAACCTGTAAAGCAGGCCTTCGTAAACTTGAAGGATGACCCGACATCTTACCATACTATGTACGTACCCCGACGAATCAACAGTAATAGACTTATCGGGGATTAACATCGCAATCTCAGGCAAGGACCCTCCGAGATAGTCATTGATGGCAACCTCAAGGACTGGGAGGGTTGGAAGGATGCCCATAATATTCAGGTCGACACATTGCTTTTGAACGGGAGATATGACGAGGTGGGGGAGCCATGTGTAGAACCCTGGGTGAGTAGAGTTATCTATTTTCGCGTTGCCTCATTCTACTAACCCCTTGAATTGGGTTATGAAACATGTCCGTCCACCATAAATGTTACGTTTAAAGGCTGATGAGGAACTTTTCGGGATACTAGTTTAGGGTAATCCCGAGGATCAAGTGGGTAGTATTCGAGAAATCTAGCCATATGGCGCACTGGGAGGAGCGTGAACGATTCATGCAGGTGGTTGGTACGTTTCTTACAGGCTATTAAGGCGACTCGATCATGTTGTCAGACCTACCAGCAGACGTATTCGCATGCACTCTTGCTCCTATGAATGAAACCTGGGGTTATTACTCTGAGAATTGAAGGTGGGTTAGTGCTGTAATGCTTTCTTAGGTCGGTGCTAAAAAGTTACAACGATGCAAAGGAGTTAGCAAATCAGACTATGAGTTGCTCAACTCCATACGCAAGCTTCTATTTGATGCATACGTCTTTTAGTCCAACTTTTATAGGTGAGGAAGTTGAGGTTAAACCGTACTGCGGGCAGATCCGCAAGATTAGGTCAAGACTTACGAGCTTGTCTGCGCCGCATGACTGCAGCTTATAGACATATCGGTTATACCAGCGACGCGCGACAGCCGACGTTAGATTCTATTATATCCTAATAATCCTGTCAAACTGACGACTACTTCCTATGTAAAAATTACCTCTTGCCAACGGCTTTCGTGTGGTCACCCTACCCCCTTATTAGTGATCCTCACGATAACATCATATGAGGTAGATAGTTTAATATGTGGCGACAACCCCGCTCAGTTATACAACATTGTCAGTATACATAGAGGGTGGAACACTAGTAAAGAACAATTCTTCCGTGTAAGCGAAAAATTACGTAGGCCGATTTCTCGCCTCACCAACGCCGGCGAATTCCTGCGTTAAGAACCTTATCCATAGGGCTGCATTTAACAAGGTACACGAGGCGGGAACTAGATACGACTCTAGTTAGTAAGTGAACGACGATGATGCTTATCTTTCATATATTATACATATATTATAAATCCTTGTATTAACGGTGTACCAACCTCCGGCCTATTTACTACCCAGGTACCTAAGTAAGCATACTTTAGTATTTATGCCCCCTTTACACCATAGCTATTGCGGATATGTTTCTTCCCTTCCAAAGTCCTTCTTATATCTACCACTTCTTCGACTTTCTAGTTAAAATATATGGCTCAATCCGCATCCCCACTATCCATACTATTTAGAAATTAAAGATATTTCAAAGGAATAATAGCTATATGCAGGAATCATACACCCACCTAACGAGCACAAACTCAAGATAACTGCACGATTCAAGATATAAATCAATGGATTAGGTACTGACGCCTCTCAGATCAATTACGACCTATTATATTTACCTATTGTCGTGATTAACCCGAAGATAGCTCCCATAACACCGGGCTAAAACACCTCCACGGCATAATAGCTCCCCAAATCTACCTACATATCTGAGGTATAAAGATCAAAACGTCGACTTCTGGTGTTCTTCAACGAACTGGAACCAATCGTCAACCTCCTCGACATAATTCTTGCTCATGTAAAAGAACGACCCTTTCTTGACAAGATCCATATCTAGGCACCTCTCTATATTCAGAGGTTTGGCGTCGGCCTCCTGCCTACACGTTCTATACAAATGTGCCTCGAATTGCGGCAGAAATAAGTTTGGCTCGCGACTCCCATTGGAGGACGTTGAGGACTCCATGGACCGTCCTAAGCTAGGACTCTTACGGCACTCGTGTTGTTTTTGTTGAAGCGCTACATTCCTCTGTTCGGCACGCACTGCGGCCTTCTCGATAGCAATTCCTCTGCTTATCCTCGCCATGGTTCTGCTGGTATCTTATTGAGAAGTATTATCTTTTTCACCCGTTTTTGTTATGTCCTTGTCTCTTCTGAAGTCTAGATTCGTCTTGCCGAATCGTTAGCTTGTGATGTTGAAACGCAGATCCTCAGGGTTCTATATCTTCTCAAAGTATGTAATATACGGGGGCCTGAATAATGCAAACTACCCAGGTAGTTTTCAACTTATATACTGTTTATGCCAAGATTCGAAACAATCCTATTGACAGTGAAAGGATTGAATGAATGATATGCCTAACAAAGTCAAACAATCCATTATATCAAAGGATTTGGAAATCGAATATATATCCCAATAAACGTTGCAGTAGGTAACAAAGACAGGTTGAAAGGCCCTCAGAATGTCTAGTATAGCTTACGAAGTCGCCCTGCCGTAATGTGCCATGCCGTCCTTGGTATGTACTTGGTCCGTGTCATGATACTGATGCTCAACCTGTTACTCGGCATATCGTAAGCATACAGCGTACGACAGAATATAAAAATTAGTTGATTTGCGAAGTGAATAAAGGTCATTATTCATTGAAAATTTCCACCACTATAACCAAGCCATTCTCTAAGAAGTGGACATAGATGATAAGCCCGGTTTATACCAACTATCAAGGTGACCCCTTGTACCCAAAACGCACAATGACAGAGACCCAGCGTTTAGCCAAATGTATCCAATATAAAACGCCCCCTTGAACTGCCTAACAAGAGAAACTGGTGCCATAAATGTAGCAGAACGTGACACATGAATATAATGACACCTCGTAAGTAGTGAAACGCCAATCTTGGCCATAGATGATGTAGAGCTCGATATCCTTGACCCCTAGAGTAAAGTCGATACCGAAATTAATTAGACCCATATTTATCCCCAACATGCAAAAGTAGGCGGCGTCAACTAAGCCCACCAAGTTATTAGGTGAGAGTAGCGAGCATGGCTCTCATCAAACTAGGCGGTGGTCCTACCGAGGATAAACATGTTAGCTAAGGCTCCTCCACTTCAAGATCATGACAATGAGACGAGAGCGAGTATAAGCGCACCTTCATCTATCGATACTTAGGCACGCTAATGGACATCCTACCTTTCTTGTCCTTCTCAATGCGAACCCCGCGCCGTGGCTCCTCGATCTTCTCGACCTGTTCCTCATAAAGGACAAGCTCACCCGTCGGTAGGCGTTCGGCCGACACCAATTCTCGGTCGGTGCTGCGACTATGCGACCGGTGTCGGGAATGGGAGTGGGAGTGGTGGTGCCGTCGTTCCGCTTTTAGTAGGTCGCGCTCCGCCTCTAACCGAGCGATTTCCATCTTGATGTCTTTATTTGACCGCCGCCGGTCACCGATTAAAGCGAGAGGTCCTACGGCGAGTTCTTCGCTGTATTCTCGGGGTTCTATGATGACGGGAGTACGAGTCGTAGAAGTAGAATGGCTACGACGGCTCCGAGTACTACGGGTAGGCGAGCTCTCGCGAATGAACGTCTCCTTAACAACCTCGACGGGGGTTTGTGTAGCTGGCGCAACAGGTGCCGCAGTATGGATAATTGCTGGGGGAGGAGGGGGCATTGCAACTGGCGGTGGCGGAAGAGTAAATATTTCTTCTCTTCTTTCTTCAAAGAGGCCCCCGGAAACAGAGCGAGCAGAAGCAACTTCCCGTTCGGATTTCTTGTAGTCTTCGCTCAGTTTGAGTAGGTCATCGATATTCTGTTGGCCGAGAGCCTTTTGCACAACAATGACGTTACCCTAAGGCAGTTAGATCAATGATAAGATACTGGATATGGTCTCGAACTTACCTCTTCAACGAATGGATAACCAAGGTCAATGAGCGCCAGCTTTGAAACGAGTCGGTCAGGAATTCTCGTCTTTCCTTTCTTGGGATACTCGCTCTTAACGCTCTTGACAGTAACGCTAGTGCCTCCAGTACTGCTCGAATCATCTGATGAGACAGATGTGCGCGAGATGCTTCCGCTTCGAACACTACCGCCACGATGCTTATCTCTCGATGTACTACTACCCCGACGTTTCTTCAATTTAACCACCTCTCTCTCGCGAACAAGCTCAGGATAAGCATGGTATTCTTCATCGCCATAGCGATCGGGCTCAGATATCTTGATCTCATCGAATTCTCGCTCGGCATATATTCTCGGCGGAGGCAAAGCTCTCGATCGGGGAAGGGGGATCGGCTTGTACGGCTCAGGGCGGAAGTCGTCGCGACGGGAGTGGGTATCAGATTCCTCTCTGTCAAGAAATCGTGGTAGCGGCCGTCTATCAAATGTATCAAGAGACGACTGCCGCCGGAGTAGTCCAGGTCGTCGTGGAGGGGACGGAGGGCGGAACTCTCGTTCACGTTCCCGCTCAGCCCGCTCACGGCCGATAACAAGACGCCGCTCTAACTCGGGAGGTGGAGAGCGACGAAAACGTGGGCCTTCATCATAATATCTTTTCTCGCGCGGAAAGTCCTCCTCCCACGGACGTGGTTGTCTTCGCTCAAATCTTTCATCCACAGAGGCCTCACGAACCCGACCTCCTGGGCCACGACTGTAGTAACGATCGTGTTCCTCAAAGCGATCTCTTTCGGCACCTTGCCGACTACGGTCACTCTCAACAGCGAAGCGACTCTTGTCCCACCTCTCGCCATACGAGTCACCGTAGGCGAGATCGTCATCTGCCCGCCTATGCGCCATAGTAGAATGATAAAATTAGTAAGAAATTATTGAATTAAATAAAAGGATATCTCGAAGAATTAATCAGTTTGATGGACGAGTATAAAAAGTGATGTTAGGCGATATCGATGTAAGAATAAAATCGGGCGGAAGTTAGCGTCGTCGTAGATTTCGGACTATGACGACAGCGGGGAAACGACTCCGAAATGTCAGCGTATTAATTTGACAGTTCTTATAAGTGCGCGCGGGGCGGCTTTTCGTGAAGTATATAATAGTTGCACTACGCCGCGCAACACAAAGTCCAAGTAGTCCAAGTAAACCGTTTTTGTTCTCCTCGGGCTTTTCGCACGTTCCTGCTGCGTGTGACCTCTATGCGACTATATCTATCGCGGACTGACCGATGAACCTGATCAGCAGCCCAAAGGCGATGTAGTGCCCTCGCGGGTGTAGGTGTGTGACAGTTGAGGTTGTGCTTGTGTGTATCTATATACAGATATTGGTGGCTCGTTGAGAATACTGTTCGTTTTATAATATAATATATAACTAGCCGCGACTAAAACTTGGCAAAAGTCTTAACAGGACTTAGAAGGGATGAGAATGACGACAAGAAGTTCAATCGTGGAATTGAGTTTGAAGATTTCGGAGGGGCAACCCGGTTATTAAAAATGATCATTACATCAGTGAACATGTGGTGATGGCTTAGCCCATCTATCCATTAGCGCTGCATGAAAATACAAGCCAATACAAGCCAATACAGCCACCTACAGCCACCATGTACCCAAAGACCCACAGAAGCAATACCGGGAGGGAGCCAAAACCAATCAACAAATCTGAAGCAAGAGGGGCGTGACTGCTGGACTATGTTAGTGTAACATCGAAGCTAAGGTTCTATCATAAAAATTCCGTCACTAGAAAATTCCAAGTACCGTACCTAATGTAGTACCTATTCAATATTCAATATTCAATATTCAATATTTGATAATCATAAACCATCCATCATATTATATGAGGAGAAGGACAACTCTTTGGGGGCAAATGGCATAAAGGCTTCGTACTTCCTTCAACACCTTGGCGGTAATTGAAAATTGGGCAGCGCTTGGGTTGTTATATTTGTCCTAATTCAAGACCTCGACAGCCAGTTACCCATGGATCTACTTCTCCGTACAACAGTAAGATTTATCAAAGTTACATTTTACCAATATAACTATATCCAGCCCATCCAAGTAGCCAGGTACGTACATATGCATCGTGAGGGTCCACCAATACAATACATGCCGACTATCCATGGTATCCTTGGTAAATAGGGCCGGACATGGAAGACGTTGGAGGAAAAGTACAAGTTTTGACAGCGTCGGAGAAAGATGATGTGTCCCATAAAGCTATTAGTGCTTGTTTTTCGTGGATCTCGACGGGATCTAGAATTTCGTGTTGTGATAGGTGGTGGGTGGACAAGTTCCCAAGCTTCACTTCCAGGATATTAAAGCCAAGGCTTTTTATGCAGGGTGACGTCGTTCAAATTCATTAGTTTAGGTAAGCTTTCGAATCGGACTTCTCGTCCCGCTCGCTTAGCGACAAACGAATGTGGCCCGTGCTATCCAACTAGACTTTCTATCTTCCATCTTCCTCAACGCCTTGAATGGTTTCCCCTTTTTAAGTCTACGTCTACATTTCTCAACCATGCAATTTCTAATTCGTAACAAGGTACGATATAGTCGCCACGCCCAAATCCCCAGACGGCTTAACGAGTCAAGAATCTACTTTTCGCGCGCTTACGTGCGTATATTCGTACGTTCTCCGGCGACCGTGAAACTTGAAGCGCTGGGTCGTGTTTTGTGGACAACCACGCAATTGCTGGTGCCCAACCAATGCAACCAAGGCTAGACCTTCAACCTACTGCGCCTAGTCAGGGGTCTTCGAATTATGTAAGAAGAAACCTTCACTGGACCCTAGATCCGTTTCTGTCAAAAAATGCATAATCTATTGATTGGCCGCTAGATCCCTTTAGAAAGCTCCGTTACTATTTCTACAAAGTCAACTAGAAGTGGTTCACATGGCTGTGGCCCGTCTATGTTGCTATTGTTAATATTATACGATTAACAACAATTAGGTAGTCATGGCACTCCATTTCAAGCTGAAATCCGTACTTTGAATACCAGAGCTTGGCTATCGAGACTATAGCCGCTCTCGTCAGAATACGGAAGCTTGCCTCCATTCATAAAGCCTTTTTGAGTGATAAAGTCGTTATCGCTTAGACTAAAGACATAGAATTCACCATTGGAGACCCTAGGATCGACAGGAACTTTTCCAATGGACTCCCATTTCTCATTCTGCATATTATGATAGGGTCAGTCTTAAGCCGCACCTGAGCCTAAGTTTATGAGTGGCAGGGGACGACTTACCAGTAGATATTGGTCTTGGTCACCACCATTGTGGATGCCGAATCGGTTTAGCTGCGCATTAACGTTGAAGTCGAGGAAGCTGCAATATTTCGCTGCCGTGATCTTCTTCTTGAGCTTCCCAGTCTTAGACTTCGCAACGTTACAGTCGGTACAATCATAGCCTCCAGCTGCCTTGATATCCGTGGCGTCGGAAATGTCAAAGACATCAAGCTGGCGATAGACGGAAAGAGAGCTATCGGCACCGTGGCCAGCGCCAGAGTCTCTAGACAGGACGAAGAACTGACCATTCTCGAGGGCGTGTATCTCGGACTGTGCGGCTGCTTTTGGATTCTTAGACTTCTTCGCCGTCGGATCATTATAGAGAGGCAAAGGCACAACCCATTCCCCCTCGTAGATTGGTGCAAGTCGATTCGAAACATCATACTTGAGAAACCTAGTATGCCGCATGGTTTGCTTCTCTAAGCCCTAATGTTGCAGTTAGCTTTTAAAGAGTTTAGTCAAGTCTCAATCTGCTACTAGGTATTCCGTCTCGGAGATATAAAGTTGCCATTGTTCGTTCCGCCATGTCCTGCTAGGGCCACAGATTCTCATGGCTTGGTAGAGTACTGCACTTACACCATCTTGGACAGTTGCGGCCTGCAGAAGTACCCACAACGACTTACCGTCTTCTGAGACAGTGAGGCCCTCGAAACCTACATTTTGAATATTTAGATCACATGTACCTTATATTATGTATATATATACAGAGCATAGGGGCTTACCATGATTGTTGTCACGGCCACTATCAGGATCCGCCGGGTCTACATCATCTCCTTCGCCATTATCGATATAATATGGCGGACTATTAGCAGAGAATGAAGTTTCGCCGTTGCGCACCGGTACGATCGCGTCATTGGGACGAATTGCGCTGAGCATCTTGCCGTCGGGGCCAAACAGATCTAATCGCTTATATTAGTCAAACATTTCTTTCGTTCCAGATACAGAGCCAAAACTCACATATATAAGGACCATATTCATCAGACACCCAAAAGCTAGAGTCATCATTCACATAGAGTCCCTCTGAATCGACAGGGATACGTTTACCACCCGGTCCATCTCCACCAAAGCCGTCGCCCGTATAAGTAGCAACGGGAAGATCGGGGAAGCCAGAGAATGATATGTGTCCAGTTGCATCCGCATCTAACCCGGTGCAAGGCGTCCCGTCAGGTCCAGAGAAGAGTATCGTGTCTAGATACTCAAAGTGTAAGTTTGGACTAGACGGGTTGTCCACGGTTGCATCAGGCTTCGGCGTAAAGATAATACTGAACTTATGGACTCGGGGATTGAAGTTGAGTGTTCCTTGAGTGTTCCTAGTAGCAATAAGTCAACGCTCCTAATCTTTAAACGAGTAGATGCTAAAGAAGGTCTCTTAGATTCGTGATATCTCGTAGCAGGCTCTGGGGTTGCAGGCAGACACCTGCAGTTTCAGTATCCCAGCTTTGGCTGGGGTCATCTCGGGGGCGTCATAGGGCAGATTTGAAATGGTTACTTACCAGCCACGATCAGGCAACGACCACAGGACGCCTGAGTAACTTCCATTGCCAAGCTTCTTCCAAGCCCTCGAATCTAGATGTATAGAGGAGCCAAGTCCGCCGAGCGTGTCACCGAATTTGTCAACCGCATCGGAGACAACGTATCCGTAGCCAGCAAGCTCCTCATACTCATAAACTATACCATTACAAGTAGTCTTATTCACGCTTGGCGCTGCGTTACCACTGGGCTGGCAATTTACAGCGGCGCCGATAGCGCTTACAGCTAGGGAGGCTGTGAGTAAGAGTACGTTCATACTTGAAGCTAAAGCTAACGCTGTGAACAATGACAAGAATATACAGAAAAATAGGAACAACTCATTGCGGGTTAATACTTTATTAAATACTTCTACCTACCTTACAATTAGTATCTAAGAATCAGCTCCCATTTTCGGTCCGGTCACAATCTGCGCTTGCGACACATACGGCAGGCCGTTGCCGAGAGATCAGCCAGCCATCTCTACCTCTCAGCACGGTGCCACGGATAACTTTTTCAGCAGTAAATAAGCAATAAAAATGCCGAAACTGGGAGGTGGCAACATTGGGATTTGCGAATTATCCGGCCACCCCGGCGCGGCGCTGAGAGAGTAAGGGAGCACGTTGTTCTCTCCCGAAGTCCTATTCGCCGAGGCCCCCAACCGACCTGCCATGCTGAGATACTAGGCGGCGAATCGGGTGGTAAAGGGGGGGGGTCCCATGTTACACATTTGACAAGAGAAAATTGTTAATTGTATTCGAAAATGGCGAGCGAGCACGTGGGATGTTTCTGTGTTTGAGGTATAATTATTTGTTGGTAAGTCTGTGTTTGTGCTTAGTTTAAATACACTTGAAGATTCTCATCAGATTCTCATCAGAAGATTATATTTGCAACAACTCCATATTCTCTCACCATTCAAATCTACGAAACTCCTTCGACAATTAATTTAATAATTACCCAAGTAGGTAGATATTGTCGGATTATATTTTAATATGGATAGGCTATAGTACTATACACTTGTGCCAAAGAAAAACGATGAGAGCTTCACGAAACTCTCGGGAAAGGTTCGGGAAATGCGTATAGAGCCCTTAGTCATATTATTAACTCTACGTAATGGGATGCCTCGATTCAACTAAAAGACGGGCTTCTAAAGCATGTTTTGGCTGCGCTGGTCGAAAAGTCCGATGTGATGTCCTTGCCGTTAGATTTCCCTGCACGAATTGCAGATCTGCCAGCTTCAAGTGCTCGATGAAAGATAGAAACGCTGCAGGAAATACGACCCTAAATAAATCAATTATTTAGGGGCTTCCTGGCGCCGTTCCGTTCTAGGACACGTTATACTTCATCAGTTACCTCATTATCAATCCTTCTAGAATTTCACTTATTGAGGACGACCATGTCTCCATGCTTACAATAGAGAGCGAGGGGTCTTATTGTCAGTTGTTCGGCGGGATCCGTTAGCGATTATATAATAATACTTCGTCTAGATCTATCTGGGATGTTCGCTATGTACTTAGAATTTAAAGGGGGAGTTCAATCTTCCATCGAGATATGTCCTAGACCATTATCTCACAACCTACTTCCAGACCTTCCACCCATTCTTGCTCGTAATTGACAAGCTGTAATTTATGAACTATTTCCATGGAGGATTAACGCAGGCATTCAAACCGACATGTATATCACCCTTTTCTGTACCTATCTAACGCAGTCGCGAATTGGAAACCAGGTATCAGTCTTGAGCTGGACGTGGGTTGCACTATAGTCTCCTGCTGGATTCATCGCATTGGAGCCGGAGGAGTCGAGGCTGGTAAGAAGTCGCAGGTCTAGGTAATATTTACCCTATTAATTTCGAAATTGGAACATTATTCTTAATTTTGATTCTGCTAGGCATACAATAAGTTTCGTAACTAACTATTTTGATATCATTGATGGGTACCTAGGTAGTTGGAAGCCTACGAAAGGGGAGACGGGTGTGCCACCTTCCTCGTCGTAATATAGCTGTCCTAAGGCTATTTAACGATGTGCCTAAGGGAGTGATTCGTCGTCTAAGATGGATTAGTATATATCGGGATCATAAACAGGTCATCTATAACTGTAATAGTTATAGTTGTCTGAATGTATTTAGTAAGTATAATTACTCGAGTTGAAGGATCTAATTTCTACGACATCGGTCAATAGCAAATCAAACCCAAGAATGCTGATCTCGGTTCTCCAGATAGCCTAGGACAGTACAGTCATAGAGCAGCATTACGTAGAGATACTAGTATGGAGTAACGATGGAGATGCTATCTATAATGCAACCTGATCACAAAAATAAAAACGGGGGAGGCAACCTTAATGCGGGGGAGAGAGAGCCAATAACCCATCATAACTCGCGGTTTCGGCTCTTTTCATGAAATGAATTAAGATTATTAATCGTATAAAAGATCATTTCATAGTCCATCCCCTCATTTTACATAGCAACTCGTGAACTGAGGCTCACCATAGGTCATTCTCTACCAGAAAAGGGGGATATTCCAACCGACCAATCACAAGATCGATTTCGGTTCTTCGGGTATAAAACGAATAAGGTTTAGAGGTCAAGTCTCTCCTAGAAGCCCGGAGTAAGTAGTCTAAACACTCGTCGAAGTTTCACACTCCCCAATTCGTTAGAATACGATCTGCGGGGTTATACGAGGTAAGGTAGTGCATTTTTCCTTTTGCCCCAGACCCCGTACCCCAGATTATGCATGAACCGGAACTTATAGCTTGGTCGTGGCCTAGTTGTTAAGCTATTGATCAACGTTAGCTTAAGTCCAATATTGAGTCGTGAAGGAGAGATAAAGAATAGCTGGGGCGTAACTGTCCCAATGTATCTTCTAACTACCTACTCAAAGTCCTTCGTTATAACCGCCGCCGAGAGATCCCACCCGTAGACTCGATATACTTGTCATGGCTGAAGACAGTTATGGCATTAAAGAAGCTCCCGAGCAGGTCTTCACTGGCGGATCCGAGCATGTCGAAAACGATGTAAAATTTGATATTAAGATTGATCAGCGCCATGCGGAAATTTACGCCGAAGCCTTACGGCAATATCCAGATGAAGCTTCCATTGACAAAGAAGCCGAGAAGAAACTCAAACGGAAGTTGGATAGACGCATACTGCCTCTACTGGGAATATGCTACTTCTTCTATGTATGGATATCCACCTATACCAAGAAACCAGCAAAACTAACCATGATATCTAGTATGTCGACAAGACCACTCTCTCCTATGCTGCCATTTTTGGCATCCAGTCAGACCTTCACTTGAAGGGGACCGAGTACTCGTGGCTCTCGAGCATTTTCTACTTCGGCTGGCTCTTCTGGTCCATCCCGTCGAACCTCATCATGCAACGCTGTCCGCCTGCCTATTACTTAGCATTCAACATCTTCATGTGGGGGGTGCTCTTGATGGCCCAAGCCGCAGCTAAGGACTTCGCTGGCCTCACTGCTTTAAGGATCCTTTCCGGTGCTTTCGAAGCTATTGCGGACCCGGCTTTCATGCTTATAACGTCGATGTACTATACGCGTGAAGAACAACCTTCTCGTATCTCGGCGTGGTATGCTTGGAACGGTATTGGGATAGCTGGTGGTGGCCTCATTGGTGAGTGGCAACCTGATAAGTGAATAGAATCATAGCGACTGACATGAACAGGATACGGAATTGGCCAGATCGAAGGAGCACTTCGTTCGTGGCGATATGAATTTATAGTCGTAGGCGCGCTATGTACTTTCTGGAGCATCGTCCTGTTCCTACTCTTGCCGAACTCACCCACAACATTCTGGGGCTTCAGCAAACAAGAACGACTGCTCATGATAGCTCGCATTCGCGGCAACCAGACCGGGATCGAGCATCAAAGAATCAATTGGGGTCAGATCAAGGAAGCTTATCTTGACTATAAGACTTGGCTCTTCGTATTATTTGGATTCCTCGGCGCGATCCCGAACGGAGGCATCTCCAATTTCTCAACTTTAGTTATTCAGGGACTAGGGTTTGATACGCTGCACACGGCCTTGCTAGGCATACCGCAGGGTGTTCTCGTCGTCATCTGGATCGGTCTCGGGGCGCTTGTTAATAAGTACATGCCAGCTAATAGCCGCACGATTGTTTCTGCTTTGTTCATGTTGCCTACCATAGGCGGAAGCTTGGGCTTCTTACTCGCGCCTACTAACGCCTACGTTGGGCGATTGATCTGCTTGTAAGTTTGGGAGTCCGCTCGGAGAAATAGTATCTCGGCCAGTGCTAAGAGTTACTAGCTACCTAACCGGTTCCTACCAGGCATCATTCGTCATTTCTCTATCTCTAGTAACGAGCAACACAGGAGGACAATCCAAGAAGATGATCGTGTCCGGGATGGTCTGGTTTGGCTCGTGCGTCGGAAACATCGCCGGACCTTTCTTTTACAAGTCCGAACAGGCGCCATCTTACCATCTCGGCATCGGATCTCTACTTGTCGCAAACGTTGCCGAATTCGTCCTGTTCTTCGTCTTCCGGTACGCGTTCAAGTGGGAAAACAGACGAAAGGAGAAAGTCCGTGCTGCTTTGCGGGAAACAGGTGTGATCACAGATAACGCAGAGGGGCTGAACGCGACGGCGTTCCAGAACTTGACAGACAAGGAGAACCCAAATTTTGTTTATGTATATTGAAACCTGAGGTATGGAACTTGATATTTGGAAATTGAAAATTATATAATTATTTCGCATATACGTTAGGTACCTTGCCGAGTGTTTTCATATCCTAACAGTCGAGTCGGCCCTTTTCCTTTTCATGGGATCTTATAAAGAGGTAATCAAGACAAACAGCAGTAGCCCAAAATGCTTATACATGACTACACTCATGATGAAACGACGATATAAAGACCTAAGTGTATTTGGAACCGAATATCGTATCCTGTATATGTTATTCGTAGCTTACGATCTTCCACGGTAGCTCCGTCTCGCTTTGATAGTTGGAACAAGCTAGTACGGACGGAAGAATTATCAAAAGTATAAGTGCGGCGCTTTACGTAGAGCGGCCGGATATTAGGCAAATACTAATGGAAGGGTGTAAGCAAACGAGAATGTTACATGGATGTACCTATCACTAGGTACACAATCGGGCCTAAGCAATAAATCAGTGATGTGATCTTTAATATGAATGTATTCTATCAATCTTAGGTAAGACCAGAGAGTTCCTGATCGGAAATAATAAATGATGGTGAAATTTAAGCCGCTTGCTGTATGCATACATCCTTGACTCAGATAGCTCTAGTTGTTGGCTCAACGGGGCGTTTATTTCCACACAAATCCGAGCAGCCACTCTCCAAGAATTTTCTGATACGCCGCCTCTTTCAATTTCGCATCTTCTGAACCCTCTTGTCCAAGCCACCGAGGTGGTAGATGATCAAATCCGTGGACCTGATCGGGTATCAGTAACCATCTTACGCTGCTCCTCCCTTCGTCCTCGATATGCTCGAACGCGAACCTCTCATCGTCTAAAATGAGCTCCCCCTTTCCTGGTCCCAGCTGCTCCTGGCCTATGATATCCGTCAACGGCGGCTCTGGTCGTCCTGCCAGTTTACTCGCCATGCACCACTTGAATATGCGTTAGTAACTTCGTAGTTGCTTTTGATAAGAAATCTTGGATTTTATCATATGGGAAGAAAGGAAAGGACTCTTTTAAGACCTACAGTTTCATGTGCGAGTTGATCCAGTTCCGTTCCGATAAAGAAGATATGTGGAGGCAGTGTATTTCGAGGAGCGAAGTATGGTGACAGCAGCGGATCTGCTGTGTTAAAGCCCGGTTCGATATAACTCCATAGGAAGAACGGAGATAGCGTTGCCAGCAAATCAACCGGCGCAGAGCGCATACCCGGGCCGAGACCGAGCTTGTAATATCGCGTCTTGACTTTAACTTCCCAGGGAATAGTCTTGTCTACAACGGCGTATATAGGTACAGCGGCCGAGGGCCTGACCTTTTCTCGGATCGAGGGTAGCTGGCACACACTGAGGGTCAAGTTACCACCTGCCGAGAAGCCACCGATCGCTATACGGGTCTTGTCGATCGGAAGGCTATCATCGTCGAATGTTGCTAGGATGAGGGCTTCGAGATCGTAGGTCGCGGTCGGGAAAGGATAAGACGGGGCTTTACGGTAGTTGAGGGCGACTACAAGCACATTGTGCATATTGGCGAAATGCGCATTCCATGCATCATCATCGTTTATACGGCCGAAGCAGAACCCGCCGCCGTGGATGGTAAATATTGTCGGGAGAGGCGCTTTGGATGTCTCGGGGTCGTACGACTTGGGGAAAAAGACCCTAAACGCACGAGAAAATGCTTCGTCAGACCTAGCTAGGAATTATCATGATCAAGGTGGCCGTACCTAATTGGCAAAGACGGTCGACACGGATATGTCTTTACATAGTTCGGAGGGATCTCCGGAGGATAGGCCCAGTCTTGGAACCAGTTTACCGGCGCTCCGAGCACTTGGATTGCGTAGACGACGGCGCCCCGGTAGACTCGCGAAAATATTGGAAGACGCGGTTGTTGAAGAACGCGGACCTCTAACTTGCTGGCTTCATTCGCCATGGCTAGTCGGTGTTTTTGTTTTATTGTTTTGCTAGGCACAACAAGTTATTTCATGTGAAGGTTATGTGTATCAGTGTATCAGTATATCGTACCTAGGGTAAACCCATGCGGTTGTCTACCTAAGGTATAGGCATCTAGGCATACCGCCTTACGCCAATGGAAGACGCGGCCTCTATAATTCTACCCTGAATGTTGCATGATCGATTCGTTATCCTTGTTGTATTGTATGTGGGCTGAGTTGACAAGCGGAATAGCTACCGCCTCTAGGTACGTACCTTAGGTAGGTACATGTACCTTGTAGTGTTAGGTACTGCGTAGCGTGCTTTGGTTACAGGTTAGGTAATATTTAGAGGGGAAAAGGGGGTGCTATCGATAAATGCCCATTCTCAAATACAACATTGAACATTGAACATACTAGCGCCTATTTCTACCTAATACCTACAACATTGGCGACAGCATGTATTAGGTGGCCTAACTTGATGTCCGGATGCCAACGTCGCGGCTAAGATTCAAATTCAACGCCAATTCTTAGCGACAAAGTCTCTCTTCTAGTCTCTTACTCACTCTAGCCTACCGTATCGACGTTAAAATATGACTGTTTTATAAAAACCTAACGTGTCGACCCCTAACAAACGAATCACTATGCAATTGACCAATCAACTTGTAGCCCGGCCAAAACGGCTCTATAGTGCGATGCTCGGTGTTGTACCATGTTTAGAAACGCTCCGCGAACGAGCACTCGGATTCAGACTCAGACGTGGACTCGTCATGTCTATGACCAACATGGTAAGACTTTTCAGATATTTTACTACGTAACGTATGAGGTGTTAAATATATGTATTTACGTATGTCTGGGGAATATAAATTTGGGACTGCCCAAAACGTTCTGTACCAACGACTTCTTCCGATGCTGTATCTGATCGTATTCTCGGCAGGATGTTGTTTTCTACTTGTGTAAATGCCAACGATCAGTCTCTAGGACCTAGCGTCCTGGGATGTCGGGGTGACTTCGACTTCACTGTCAAGTTCGAACAGCTGTTCTTCTCCCTCACGCCCTCGGTTATTTTCATTATTCTGTCGCTATGGAGAATTTATCTGCTTGCAAAAAGACCTACGATCGTGGATGCTCCGTTGTTACGACTGGTAAAACTTGTAAGTGTCCTTTCTATAATATAATACCTACCTAAGCTACTGGAGGAATTTTTACACCTATATAAACTCACATATCTGTCTGCTTAGGGTGTTCTTGGCTCATATACTCTCCTGGAGCTTTCTTCGGTCGTCCTTGTTAACGTGCTCTCGCTTGGCGCTGACAATGTTGACATTGCTTCTTCCGTGCTTCGTCTTTTTACTTGCCTTTGCATGATTGGGCTATCTTACCTTGATCATGGAAAGTCTCCAAGGCCATCGATTCTTCTTGGCGCATATCTCTTTTGGACGCTCCTATTTGATATTACCCAGGTCCGTACGTTTTGGCTGGCTTCTCAGACTAGACCAGAGATGACCTTTTCTGCTATTTTTACGGCTGTGCTGGTTACGAAAGTTGCTATGATCTTGCTTGAAGCTCAACGGAAAACCAAATGGGTCATCTGGAATGCTAAAGATCATAGCCCGGAAGAAACGAGCAGCATATTTGATCTAAGCGTTTACTCTTGGCTCAACTGGCTATTTCTCGAAGGCTATCGCAACGTCTTAAGTATAAAGGACTTGTATCCACTTGACCAGAACATGGCTGCCGACCGTCTCTCAAAAATCTTTGCCCAGAAAATGAATGATGCAAGACTTAAGGGTCATAAGCCTAGTATTATCAAGGTCTTAGCTCGGACGCTTTTAGTACCTCTTATACTCCCGATTCCCGCAAGGCTTGCCAGGATCGGATTCACTTTCTGTCAACCCCTATTTATAAGCAGCCTTACGACACGACTGTCGCAATCCGAATCGACATTGCCAGCCAACGTTGGGTACGGCTTTATCGGTGCTAGCATTTGCATCTATTTCTCCATTGCAATTTCGACAGCACTGTACTGGTATGCTCACCATCGGATGCTCTACATGGCACGGGCCTGTCTCGTTACGGCCGTTTACGCAAAAGCTATAGAGGCTCGTGAAGACGAGAATGCTTCTCTGACATTGATGAGTACGGATGTAGAACGCACAATGAGTGGGTTTAAGTCCTTCCACGAAATTGTATGTGGATTTTTTAATCGCCCGCTTTCACCCCTTTTCTACTTACCAAGTTTCTACCCCCTCCTCTACGTTTATGCCCTCCGCTAAACTCATCGAGTTATCTTGATAATTGTTAACGCTCATGTTTAGAATAAGAGTTAACACTGCTAATTCTATTATCGTAGTGGTCAAACTTTATTGAAGTTGGGATCTCGAGCGGATTATTGTACAGGTCGCTTGGCGCTGCATTTACGGCCCCTATAATAATAGTTTTGATATGTGCAAGCGGAGTTGGTGCCATCACACGTTTTACGGGTAAAGGGCAAAGGACGTGGGTGGCCGGCGTTCAAAAACGTGTCGGACTCACCTCAAGGGTTATTGCGACGATGAAAAACATTAAACTCTCCGGTCTCACTCATCCGATCGCCCGTGTCATCGAGAAGCTTCGAGTCGATGAATTAAAAGCAGGTCAGAACTTCCGAACATTGTTACTAATAGCGGGAGTCTTCGCCTATATCCCTTTACTCGTCTCTCCAGCCATAACTTTTGCAGTGGCCCAAAGAAGCCTAGACGCGGCAAGGCTATTTACTTCTATATCCTATCTTCTATTAATGACATCGCCTCTTAGCAATTTATTTCAAACTTTACCTCAATTTGTCGGAGCGCTAGCCTGCCTCGGCCGTATTCAGGAATTTCTGGAGAGAAAGTCACGAGATGATTTTCGCATCGCGTTTACGGAATCGCAAGATTCGACCGAAAAGCCCTTGGTGGATGAGTCTTCAGTCTTACTAGCTATGACTATAAAGAATGGTAGTTTTGGTTGGGAACCAGATAAGATGGTCCTCAATAACATCGATATTGAGATTCCTAAAGGTTGTCTCACGATGATCGTTGGTCCTGTTGCATCAGGAAAATCGTCTTTATGCAAAGCCCTCCTAGGAGAAATACCATACCATCGGGGGACAGTCACGATAATTAGCAACCTCCAGCCGGTGGGCTATTGTAGCCAAACACCGTTTCTTTCGAATGGCAGCATCAGGGAGAATATTATTGGATATTCGCCATTCGATCCCGAGCGATATGCTGAGGTCGTTGACGGAACAATGCTTGGCGTTGATTTCGAGACGCTGTCTCTGAAGGATATGACGAATGTCGGTAGCAATGGCATAACTCTTTCCGGGGGCCAGAAGCAACGTGTGTCGCTAGCGAGGTGCCTTTACCTGCAATCTAACTTCCTGATTATGGATGATGTGTTCAGCGGCTTAGATGCAGACACTGAAGATCTGGTATTTCAGCGTGTGTTTGGGGCGAATGGGATCCTCAAAAGACGCCAAACAACCGTCGTGCTCTGTACTCACTCCGTCCGTCATCTTCCAACTGCCGCGCATGTTATTGCTTTGGCTCCAGACGGATCTGTCACTGAGCAAGGCACATTCGACGATCTTATGGTTAACCGAAGCTATATTCATAGTCTTGGTGTCAAGTCCTCGTCTGCAAGCCAGATGACCAGTGACAAAGTCGAATCCGAACCCGACTCCCCTAAACCTCCCCATAGTCCATTAGGAAAGATACCTATACTACCTCCCGTGCTGAAAATAACCGACAAGGCACGGCTAATGGGCGACAAAGCAGCTTATATGGTATATCTAAAAAGTATAGGGATGATACTCGGTACTTGTCTGCTAGTTTTGGGCACGCTCTTTAGCTTCTTTTGCAATTTTCCGACAGTGTGGTTGAAGTATTGGTCGGATGATGCTACGGTAACAAATCCGTCACACTCTTTTGGTTACTACGCAGGAATATATGCTTTGCTCCAGACGAGCGCCTTGATGTCGTTGTTATTTCTTGCAATCCTAATCTACATTATAGTTATCAACCGATCAGGGAAGTCTCTTCACGACGATGCTCTACGGACACTTACGCATGCACCTCTGAGTTTCTTGACTACAACTGACCAGGGGATCATCACGAATCTGTTTTCTCAAGATCTAAACCTTATCGACAACGACCTGCCTCATGCCCTCCTTAATGTGATAAACGCCGTACTTGTCGCCATTGGCCAGGCGGCCGTTATCGCTACTTCGTCGCCATTATTAGCAATCAGCTACCCGTTTCTAATAGCTGTACTATACGGAATTCAAAAGTTCTATCTTCGAACGTCAAGACAGCTGAGGTTACTAGACTTAGAAGCGAAAAGTCCTCTTTAGTAAGTAATGTCCTCTTGAGCTAGTGACAAATCTCGTGGTGGTTTGGTCTCTATCTTCAGCCGGACCAGTTTGAATGATTGTACCGAAGTCTGGCAGATTTTACTAACACATATAGCACCCATTTTCTTGATACATCAAATGGCGTTGTCACCCTTCGAGCCTTTGGTTTTATTGCCAACGACCGTGCAAAGAATGCCTACCTCTTGGATACGTCCCAGCGACCTGCATACCTCCTAACTATGATTCAACAGTCAGTTCTCCCTCTCATCCCAAAATTTCCCCGTCACAATCCAACCAACTACTGCTTCTGGATTTCATGAATTCACATATTCACTTAACCTTGTACTCTTAGTCTACTTTGATCACTAACATAATCTTATAGGTGGCTTGGTTTAGTGCTAAATTTCGTCGTCGCTATAATTGCTGTGATGCTTACGGCCCTTTCTATAAGCCTACGATCTAACTCCGGCTTCACCGGCGCGTCCTTAGTTACCTTGATGGGATTCGGAGAAACACTCACAAACGTCGTTACGTACTATACATTGCTTGAAACGTCTCTTGGTGCTATCACTCGGCTAAAGTCTTTTGAGAAGGATGCCGGATTAGAGGACAAGGATGAGGAGGATATTATTCCGCCTAAGGAGTGGCCACAGCACGGGGAAATTTCCCTGAAAGGTGTCTCGGCCAGTTACGGGTACCATCCCCTCTTCTATCATTGAACCAAACAAGAGCTTACATTCTGCAGCGCTGAAAGTGCAGCTGAAGTACCAGGCATGGCACTAAAAAATGTTAAACTCGAAATTTCTCCCGGGGAAAAAGTTGCAGTTTGTGGTCGGACAGGAAGTGGCAAGTCGTCCCTCGTTGCCCTACTAATGAAGCTTCTTGACCCGGTCGACGATACACCCGATCGCGTATTTATAGATAATACACCTCTCCACCGCGTGGATCGGGGCACTCTCCGACAACGTATTATTGCTATTCCCCAGGATATTGTATTCCTACCCGATGGATCTACTTTCAAGGAAAATCTGGATCCTTCAACTGTTTCAACGGCCGCGGATTGTCGGGCCGTCCTCGAAGCAGTAGGCTTATGGACATTTGTGCGCGATCGGGGTGGACTTAAGGCAGGGCTGACAGCCAGCACGCTGAGTCAAGGACAGCGACAACTGTTCTCCCTTTCTCGGGCAATCCTTCGCAGACGTGTCCGAGCACGCAGTCTTGGGCTTGGTGGTGGGGGTACTGAGGGTGGTGTCTTACTACTTGATGAAGTAAGCTCGAGCGTCGACCGAGAGACCGAGAAGGTAATGCAAAAGGTGATCAGCGTCGAGTTCAAGGAGTACACGGTTATAGCTGTAAGTCACCACTTGGATATGGTCATGGATTATGATCGTGTTGTCATTATGGATAAGGGTGAGATTGTCGAGGTAGGCAACCCGGCCCAGTTGGTGAAGCAGGCGGGGACCAGATTCGGCGAGCTATGGAATGTCGGAGGGAAGTAGTCTAATAGTGATTATATAACTGGGTGTCATAATTGTAATTGATAATCTAATAGTAATATTTTTTACAAGTCTTTCAATTTTGATTCTTGTTATTATTCTAACATAGAAGCTATGTGGGGAAGACTTCATCAAACGTAATGTACGCGGAATTAGAGCAGGCGGGCACTAAAATAAAAGATAGTAACGAAAGTTCTTCTCCATATCCCCAGCAAGCCGGGGGCTATAATGAAAAACAATACCCGTGTTTATGGCCTTGGAGGCAGTGTAATACCAAGGTCAAGGGCCACGGGCAACCCACAGAGCAAAAGTAGAAGTGCAATCCAGAAAATCAGGTACAGTCAGACATCACTAGATGAGACCACAAGAAGAGACGCTGGGCTAAGAACAACAAGTATCCGTCGCATTGGCATATCCGAACCAACCAACGCTCCCTCGCCCTCGGAAACAAGTATCAAGAACGGGAGGATAGCCGACGATGCATGAGAATTTCTTTGCTACTATAGAATCAGAGGTCTAACCCGGAGGCGATGTAAAACTCACGGAAGACCAACCCCCCCAGATCCGACGACGAGATTTTACTAGACATGAGTAGCGCAGTGGAGTCCCCTGACCAACCGAACCGGGCGCCTGCACAGTGGGCTGGCCGACTCGAGGGGGCGAGTTGATCCGGACCTGGCGCGCATCGGTGTCACTATAAACGCCGAGAGGCACGGAATCGAAGGGATGCAACCAACGACGTGCCGCCCAAGGGAATGCAACCCTTCATGCAGGGAATAGGGCACCCTGCAAGGACGAGTGAGATGCAAAGATTGGCCCCTGAAAGCCACGGCAAGGCGCTGACAATCTCAAGAGGGACTCGAATCCGAAATGACCCCGAAGGTGATCTTTCGAAACACCAGATAGGCCCGGGCGAAGGTTCTTCTAGTAGATGTGTCTGGACTGACTTTCTGGATGATGAGGAAAAAAAAAAGGGAAGAGGGAAAATGTAAGTTGGTGGGGAGGGACCCTTGTTTATATACATGTGGGGGAGAGGCGGGAAGATCACCCAGGGCGACGGCACACTAGGCTTGATTTAGATGGTTTGCGGCCTGGAATTTTCCGATTGGCTTACCCCAGATTTTCCCCTTGATCCACCTCGATCAATTGAGCAAAGTTGAATCACCCCTCCTCATTGGCCCGCTATTTTTTTTTTTCAATCTTGAGATGATTTTAGAAATACGAAATACATCGCGAATTAATAGGCACACTGGGTACATTATGTATGTACCTGTTTGCTAGGAGAGGCAGTCGCGCTGGAGTTGAGGGAATCAACAACGCACTTTCCTGTAGATAAGATGTGCATCATCATCTTAAGCTACATGTAGGAGGTACCTTGGGTACCTATGTAGGTACTCTACATCAAATACACGATTCATTATTGGAAGCTGCCACAGGTCGTGATCTACGACAACCTCTAACAGGTGATTAATAGTTAATGTGGATATTACGTGCCTAGATCTACGCGTATATACGCTCGTTGGGTTTTAACAGTTGTATTTAGGCGAAAAAGAGTATCAACCTGAGTATTTTTAATCATGAGAAACTTCCACCTGCGGCCCTTAAGTTCCGTTAATGTACATAGACGCCTAGGTATATCGCAAGGATATTGGTATATCATCTCCACTAAACCAGACGTAAGAGAAGTAACGACAACATGGAAGTGATATAGCAATTACACGTATCGGCACTAGGCTTTCTAAGTCCAAAGGGGTGGCAACATCCTAACCTTCTCCAGCTCCTGAAATGTATGTTCAAACTCATCCCACGTATCAGCATATCCAGTCCAGCCCAGCTTTCGTGCTTTGCTCATGCTCGCAACACAGCTGTAATTGCGGCCAAGTAAGAAGCCCAGGAAACCCCACGTAGCTCCATCCCAAGCAGCTTGATCAAGATTATATCGGTCACGCAGTGTCTCCCATGCTTTAATAACCTCTGGGCGCTTATCCCACTTCTCAAGGTCGATCTGGCAGAAGAGCTCCGAGGGCTGCTTGAACTCGTTCCCGGGGAACACAAGCTTCGAGCCCTCGAGTTCTTTGCTAACAGCACAGTACTGTAGAGGATTAGTATCATATCTACCTGAGTTGTAGTGGTCGTCTATGCATTGAGGTGTAATACTGGGGCCTCATCCACTACATTTGAATAGCTAGTATGAAATCAAGAATATATTTACCAAGCCAAGCGAAGTGGCAAGGTTCATGAAATTTGCCCTGGCGAAACCGGTGACATCCTGGGGGTAAGTCACGACCCAAGTCCACTTGTTGTGGTCGTCCGCGGTGTACTTCTCTAGAATGCGCTGCTGAGCGTAGTAGAAGTTGGGCGGGCGATCCTCTTGCTCAAGCCAATAAGGCCTCTTTGATTTAAAGGTTACCTACTAATAAATGAATATGGCGTAAAGCTACCAACTATCAAGGTCAATCGTCTAATACTAATAGTGTTGGCAATAGAACTTTAGATACTAACGGTCATATTATCTGCAATTAACGTAGAAGGATGTCAATGAGATATAAGGTAATAAATATGACATATCTTGATATTTTAGCTATCTTAAAGTTTCTGATTTTAACAAATCTTCATATAATATTATAATAGGTAGCTACCTGTGTTTATATGACTACCTAGCTTCAGGCCACCAAGACCTATCGAACTACGGATAATTAAGATGTTAACATTTTTCTTATAGAAATCAAGTACACGTGACTCAGAATAGTGTTTGCAAATATTGGTACACTACTGTATTAATAACTTTTATGACTGATTAAGGAAGAGAAAGTAGAAATATAGGAGACTGACTTACGCCTTAACCCCTTTCGAACTTTGGACTATTGGCGTATATAATATTGTAAAGGGTTCTATGGATTTCCGCACTTCTAAAAGAGCGAAGCATATTATCTTCAATCTCAATCTACGTGTAAGTATGCCTTCGAAACTCATTATCGTCGATGGGTAAAACTACCTAGCAAGCTAATTCTACCAAATTAGGGATTGAGTCTATATAACCCACTAATGACGATAGTCAACCAATGCATACGATAACCTCTATTTTCTAAACCCCTTAATGATAATAGCATATATTTACTGCAAATCTACCCTTCTTGCTTATGTATTTTCTTTTCTTGTGTCACTCTTTTCCCGCTAGGCATGCCTCATGATACACTCTTAGCCTCTCCACCATAGGATGAAAAATAAACCAATCTTATGTAGGAAAGTAAGTACCTAAACTACCTAGGTACCTCTTAAGCATTCACCAAACATCAGTCATCTGGTCAATGCATTGTAGCAGAACTCAAGGGAAGGTGCAGCTTGGTCATGTACCTAGGTACTACTAAACACTGATACTATAGCGGTCCAAGCTTCGTTGTCACAGAAGTACATAAAGCAAGTGACTAGGAAAACACCATGCCAAGAACAAACTACTCTACACTACAACTGCCTAACCTAACCAACCTACCTAACCTACAAAGAAGTCGCGTTGTGGTCCGGACGATGCTGTTTCCCTCATAACGAGGGTTCCAGTGAATCAGCAGGCCCATGATTAAGAAAACTTTATTATTATTACTGTATCCAGGGTTACAACATGTCCCTGACGCATTAGCTGAGGCGCTACTCTATTAGCGCGAAGCTTTTGATCAACACTGAGGAAGCGACGTTCTCTATATATTTTGCACGGACCCAACGCGACTTCCTCAATCAACTCGACTGATACATCGATACATCGACTCCTAAGCTAAATAATTACGCCTTGGCCACATAAATTAATTCTACCATCCTCCAACCAACCCTCAACTACAACCTCCACCACAACATCTACCCGACTTTAACTCCCCTCCTCCCAGCCTCCCGCACGATAACCTCCATTTCCTTAACGGCTTCAGGACAGTTAACCACCTAACCATAATTCCTCACCTTTATCCTTTCGGTAACTACCTAAGCCTACTCAACATAACGTTGCGGGATGGCCAACAACGACATGGTTAACCGGGGCATGACCCAGGTCTTTACTGTAAGTCAACCCTATTATTGATCTTCGTGATTATTTAGAAACAAAGACGTGGGTATTGACAGTATGTTGTTACAACAGGGACTTGGGATTCTACTCGGTGCTGGTCGCATCAGTAATGCCACCCATGAAAAGATAATGGGTCTCATCGATGCAGACCAGAACCGTGCCAACACCGACGCCACTCCCACGGCGGCGGAGACAACAATTGGCCTCCCAGGTCCGGGAAAAGAGACGCCTGTTTCCATGCGGTCTCAAGATCTCCTCGGGTTGGGTGATGAGTTTGGGTAAGTAGCCTTTTCATATTTACTATCTACCTAACCTACCTAACGAACTCCTACTAATCCCCATTACTAGTGACATGTCTATCGGGGACAAATACAGCCGTGGCTCGACAAAATCTGCTGGTGCGAAGTCCGGAAGCCAGCCCAAGATCATCTGTCCTTGGTGGTCCACAGCTGGCTACGCCTGCCGCGATTACGAAAATGGAGAATGCAAATTCTACCATGAGGATATTACGGATGGAATACGCCAGCCGTTGATTTGCCATTTTTGGGCGGATGGTAACCGGTGTACTAAGCCCCAAGACGCCTGCCGATTTGCACATTACCTAGCGCAGCACCGGGCTGTTGCTCCTATGCCTACCAAGAGGAAGATTAAGAAGACTTCCACTGGGCTAGACTACAGTGAGCACTTCGCCATACCTCGTCCAGCCGTACTATCCCGAGAAAGCGAGGTTGGCAAATGGCATAGCCAGCCGCGACCTCCTCCTGAAGATGACTGGTAGAGCAGGTTTTAGCCAATGAGCGGTATTCGTGTGGATGTGAACGTGAACAGTGTGTATACTTGAAGGCTTGCTAGGATTAGGTAGCAGGTGACCAGAATAGTACCTCAGAAAGGGAATTGTGGAGTTGATCTACCCTTATAATCGTTAGTTTTACTCTGCTTAATTCATTATCGGATCCGTTCAGACAATTAAGTAATGTCGCCCCTTCCATTCTGTCATGAGGTGGAGCAAGAAGCAAGGAAACAACGAAGTTTCTCCTCGAGGAGCTCTAAGGTACGTGCTACGGGAGCCTACCGCTATGCATACCTCTGATAGTATCCCTTATTCTAAATGTCTCATTTAGAATGCTAACACATCCTACCCATAACATGTAGGTGAAAGTCTACAGCAATGATTATCAGCTGAGAGACCGTACTCACAAAGCCCTGCGATAAGGAAACAAGTCAATAGCTACCTAGGTACCTACATATCTAATTAAAACCAACCTTAGGTAGGTAATCATGCATTAAAATAAATTCCCTAAGCTTCTTGAATCATTGTCCAGTTTGACCAGTACTTATCCTTACATAAAAGGTAAGAAGGTCATTTGTTGAGATATTATGTCTCCAGAATATATGTAGGCCGTCTTAGAGACACAGGCTGATGCACATGGTAAATCTAACAAAAAAACTAAACATCCCATTTTTCGTTTACCTTGATTTTCTTTAAAAATACATTTCACACTGTAGGTGACTTCCAATATGCAGTTCCCACCAGCAGCAAATAGCAACCTCGAATGTGCTCCCAGATATTCTCGTCGAACCCATTGTCTTCTTTTGTCCAGGGCAAGATGTGATACCATGGATTATAGTAAGTAATCCTCTTAGTGGACTTCTTATTGCTTTCCTAGAACATTGACGTAGGTACTCGTGAAGATCGAGCCGAAGGTGTTCGGTTAAATTTGGCCAAGGCCGTAGCGAAAGTACTTTAATATGTTGTAAAACACGGTTCCTGTCCTTCGTAAATTTGAAGAAGGCATATACCTATACAGAGTTGATACTAAAATGATGATCAAGGCACCTGTTCGTGTCATTTGCATGTATATACTTAAGGTAGATATATGTGCCTAGGTGAGTTGTTACGTGATTATTAGCCGCAGTTGTACGCTGAGATGCAAGGCAAGTGGTTCTAGAAGATAGAAAATGCAAGTAATGGCCGTATGGAATGTTTGATTGGCATAAATATTATAGTTGCAGTTGTTATATAAGTCAACTACTTATTGTTCAACTATTTACCTAGACAGCGCAACTATGTAATTAAAACGTACCCAGGTATTCTAGTATATGAAACCATTCCGTTGTTATATCCATAGACCTATAGATGAGTTTTGTCACTATATATCTTATGATGCTACCTAGCTATAGGATGGAAATCCTCTAAGCTAATACTTGATTCATCACGTTACCTAAGGTACCTAGGTTAGGTACACAGCTCCTTTTCAGATTTGTCACGAATATAGCATAGAAATACACATTAAGTCGAGAAAGAGCTGTTCTATAGTGTTAGGATTCTAAATGAGACATCTAGAACAAAAGACACTGTCAGTATGTATAGCCGTAGACTCCCGTAGCTATGTAGCTTAGAGTTCCTCGTGGAGAATCTGGCTGGAGCGGGTTTCCGTTTTCTAATGGCATAGCAGCGAAGCAAAGCACGAGCCTCGATTCGTAACAAGACATTAACAGATTCGGCCACTTAGAGTTCCTATAAAACATACTAGAGCTCAGGAGGACCGCCAGGCGCTTGGGCCCCCTATTATTTCTAGAGGCAAAGTTACCTAACAATTGTGCCATGAATTCGTGGGAAGATAAAAGAATGGCCTCGCGCCATCTGAGACCCTGAGTAACTTCCTCACCTGTTCTGTTCCGATACTTCTGACACTAGCTTTTGTGTCGGGCGCCTGCTATTTCTCTTCCAGACTCCGCAGAATGAAAACCCGCAGCCAAACAAGGAGAAAAGCCTTGACATGGATATCTTTCCCTGCAGAGATTCGCCTCATGATCTTGGCGACAATCACACACCAGAAACATCCTGGCTGGGGTTCTCTTGCGTCTGTATGTAAAGAATGGCAGCGCGTTTTAGAGAAGGTCAATTTTTACAAGATAAAGCTGCGAGTATCTTGTCTCGACAATTTCGAACATATCGTTTCACCACAAAAGAGGGGGATTATTCACCACATCTGTTTCAATGTTGAACTACCACGATACACGTCTACATGTTGCTCAAAACGACGTTCACCATCAGTAAGGATCAGCTTTATGGTCAGTGGTGGGATATGGAAACTTTTTTCTATTCTCAGTACTTGGACACCAGCGAATAACTTGACATTGGAGATCAACGTATACTCCCCTAGCAACTGCGAACACTGGTTCAAGAACATATATTTGTCCTCTGATGATGTTGAGCATGGTAAGGACGGAATGCCGGGTGTGTGGAGGACTGGAATTCCGTTTCATGACCTGCAGCATGGCTGGGTGCATGGTCAACAAGTTAAAGCTCCTCCAAGATCAGCTATATTACGACTCTTCCGACCTATCTGGTTAGTGTTCCCTGAAACTTTGCCTTGAGTTAAAGCAGTCACCTGCTTCGTTATCCGTCGACAACTCCGGCGTTGTATTTCTCAATCGGGATTGGGCCAGTTACTCAGCAGATTTGATCGTCTAGAACATATATCCTATGAGCCGTGGGCGCCATATGAAGATGTGACCAGAGAATTTCGTGATGGAGGTACGCACTCATTTCTATAGCAGGAACCCCGAATTCCATCTTCTCACCATGTTAAATACATCCTGATCATTCACTGCTGATACTTAGAGATAGCTCTTTCTTTGACAATGCGAAATAGTCTCCCGGATACTCTCAAAAGATTAATAATATTTGAGGACTCCTACAAGTTCTATGATCGATTTCCAAAGCGGCCAGCCCCTATACCCTGGTTCAATTTGGTCGATCCTAGCGAAGGGCTTGGTGCGGTTCTCGCATCTAAAAGCCTTGACTTACAATACCTTTCTATCTCCTTTATGATCGATGCCGAAGAATTCTTTCGACGCTGTCAGTCGACGTGGAGCTGGTCACATCTGCAATCTCTGGCGCTAACATCACAGCTCCTTCAGGACGATTGGGAAAAGCGTAAGCAGATTGAGGTTTTGTTATGCCGAGCCAGTGTCCTTGTACAGAAGATGCCCAAGATACATACATTTGTGCTTTGGAATGGTGGAAAGGCACATGCCTGTGCATTCATATATCGCATAGACAGAGATAGTGTCTCGGTAACTTGGCGCGGAACGTGGCATCTAGAGTTGAGTCCTCTTGTTGTCAAGTCATGGCAACTCACTGTCTCAAAGCTTCCATTTCCTGAACTTCAACTTAAACTAAAGCGGGAGTGTATTCGAGGGGTCATAAAGTCTCACGGAGATGCAATTTATCACCTAGAAATACCCTGCCCAGTCATTGATCCTGCGTCACTTTGGCAGATCCGGAGGGAAGGATGTAGCTAAGCGCAGTGATAATATAACTCTGGATATCATTGCCTATATTATCCCTCTATGCATCAGCCTTGGATCTTTCCAACCCCGATGCCAATGCTAATAATTAATACAAATTCAATGCAGATTTGATGCCCTTGTTAGATTAGACTTGAAATCTAGATATATTTGAAAACGTGCTCATGCATTACTCGTAACCACCTTCTCTGCCACCTTGCCATCTTCCTGTACGATAACTTTGTCAACGTGGAGTGACGCTTTGACAGGATTGGGCTGGTTGTAAACCCATTCGAGCTGTTCGAGAGTTCGGCCCTGTGATTCAACACTGTAGAGAATGAGTTAGTGAACACTACGAGGACACGGTAATATCGGGCCTACGAACCCAAAGAAATACCAGAGTATTGCTTCAACAACGTCCCATCCGACAAACACCTACGAAGAATTAAGTTAGTATTTTCCGACAATAGTTGATGGGTATAACTAAGGAATGTCTTACGTAGATATACTTGTATTGGATATTCCCCAGAGCAATCGGTCCGGCAAACTGGTTTATGAATCCCATGGCATATACAAGAACACTGGAACAAGCAAGACCTTTAGCTCTAGTGGTAGTTTCCAACGCTTCAGTGGGGATAACACCCTGGAGGGGTGTATAAGTGAAAGAGAATATGATATTAAAAAGAAAGTAAGACGCCAATGCACCCTTGGCATAAGATTCTTGTATATTTTCCCCTTGAGCATCCAGGGTGGCGGACAGACCGGAGTTGGTAGCAAGTGCTGCAGCGCAGGCTACACGAGACAATCCGCTATTAGCAACAATGCAATGACATTCAGGGGTAGAGGGAGACAAACCGAGTGTTCCGAATACCAACACCTTTCGCCGGGGCATAGTATCTGTTAAAGCCACGGCAGTCAAAGCCCCGACGGCAGATAGCACAGAGTTGAGAAGGTTATAGGCTAGCTGCAGCTCAACGGATGTGACGCCGATGATCTCGAAGATGGTGGTGTTAAAGTAACCCAATCCATTACCAGAAAATTGACCGAAAATGGAAATCATCAGCACTTGAGCGATTCGCCAACGTCCGCTATGACTGAAAATAAAGGGGCGATCTATCATAATGATTAGTCCTTGTGGCGCAGGTCGCTTGGACCACGGAGCGAAAAGGGGAAGACATACAGTCCAAGGGTCTCTTGTCAATGCCGTCCTGGCGAATACCCTCCCTCATTTCCTCAACTTCAAGCTGCACAAGTTTAGAGTTACGGTCACCATTCCCATGGTACCTCGCCAAAAAGTTAATGGCCTCCTCCTCGCGGTCGTTGGCCATGAGAAATCGAGGTGACTCTGGAATGAACCAGACACCAAATAGCACAACCACACAAGCAAGCGCCTGAATGATCAATGGGATCCTCCAAGAGTAATCGTTGTCGATTTTATTGCATCCGTACACGACCGCAGCTGCAGGAATGGCACCCCCAAACCAACCGCAGTTATAAAAGCCTATGGGGAGATTATTAGTACGCCGCGATTATATTCGCATTAGGTATATCAAAAGGTGTCTCATACCAGTAGCTCGACCTCGCCAGTGAGGAGGCGCTATCTCAACAGCATAAGCCGGTGCAGCAACAGTCATGACCGAAATGCCGAATCCTAGAACAAAACGACCGACGACAAATTGTGCGATTGTGGAAGAGGTGGAAACAATAATCATTCCGACGATAATAATAACGGCGCCGCTGAACATGCCAATCTTGCGACCCCATTTATCAGAGAGGACGGCAGCGAATGGCGCGCCGACCATCGCACCGCTGAAGCAAAACCGTCAGCTTACGAATACGGACGAGCGAGGCAATGGAGGGGGGCGAGACGAACACGGTGTAGAGAGAGAACATAAGTGCAACTAGAGTACCAGTCTTGCCGCTATGGAACGTGTTCTGGAAATGTTCCATGGCGACGATACCAGTAAGGAGTGATCCTAGATGATCATGTCTGTCAACGACCTATAAACCCTCGAAACCTTCTATAGGGTATTGCTTACCATCGTATCCATTGGCACAAGCGCAACAGAACGCGATGCAGATGGAGACTACTAGTCGTCAGTAATCTGCGAAGAAGAAGAGTGGGATGGCGCATGGCCTCGTCTCGATGCATACAGTAAAGGTGTATTGAATATTTGCTCTTGTAATCGATCTTAGTCTCTTGGATCGCCGCGTAGAGTTCGGCCTGGTATCTAGTTAGACGTTGAAACTAATAAAAGAGTCGGATGAAAGAAGCTATCGCGTCTTAATAGAAGTTGGTTGAGTCGAACGTACGTTGTGTACTACTTTGGCCTTGGCACCCGGAGTGTTTGTCGTCGTCGAGCCTGACCCCTCGCTCACGGGAACCTGCTCTTGAGACACGAGAACACCGGCCGCGTGGATTTCCTTTTCTTCCATCTTTATCGAAAATGTCTCTGCGACGGGTCCTCCTACACGTGTCGGAGAGGAGCTAGATGAACAGCCTTACATCCGTCCATATCGATTCTGGACATGGTGACGTTTTTATTATTTCTTTACGGAGCACCCTTGTCCCCCGTTTCTTACCCCAGTTTCTCTAAGCAGCAAGTCCCGAAAAGGGGGGCGGGGGAAAGGCTTCCGTGATCCCAAATTGAAATGCTGTGCCACCCAAATAAGACATTCTCTGCTGTTAGTGATTCCACTGCAGAGACTGGGCAGGGGTAACACTCATATGGGTTCGAGTTCTAGATGCCAAGGCACCCCGGCAGTGGTTCGCTTCCACGGCCTTGGCGATATATTGGCCTACTGGCGCGAGTAGATATAGATCTATAGGTAGTTATGTATGTAGCACTCGTGTAGCGAAGATGGTCCGTTACTGTGGTGTAAGCACTTGAGAGAAATCGGCAAAGAAACAGGATCGCCACGCGGGTTAGAATTCGAATCGCCCGTCGGCACGCGATATGAAGGGTCGCGTCGATAATGGGCATTCCAAAGTGTCTCAGCGCTAGAAAAGAAATGAACCCTAAGCTTACCATGTAATATGTAATTGGTGAGATCCGGCATCTAAGCAGTCAGCAATCTCGGTGACTATGTCAGATTATGCGCGATATACAAAAATGCTATAGCTGAAAGATGCGTTTGGACCCAAGGTTCCCAACGGGCCGGATCAGGACCACTTCCAGGATCCTCACCGGGGGGTCTTAGTCTTAATTGGATCCGTACGTTCCGCGGCGGTAGGCTCTATAACCCTCGCAGCCCTTTTGAGCCTTTCAGCTCGTTATATCTGGTTGCAAGCTTTAAGCCTACACTGATCATCTACCAAAGCCTAACGAGCGAACCAATGACGAAAGCAAATCCAGCCGAAGCAAGACGCGAAAGCAACATTGTCCTCATCGCCCGGTCGATATCGATACAACTTACTTTGCAGTTCTTCTTTGCGCGTATCTGTAGGGCCGAAGACTTCGGACCGAAGCCGTTGATTGGTTTAAGTAGTATCTATTAATCTTCGGCTCTTGGTTTGGCGGACTTGGCCCCGATGTAAATCTGCAGGTCATAACGGAAGCCCTGCAAGATCGATAGATGTACCCACGGCACCTCCGATCGCGCTACGGGATATTTACTCGGCCGGTAAATTAAGATACCGTATTATAAGTATCTTCGACGTCGCTTAATGAATGAAATGGGCCGTTGAAGACCTGAACTTACATATAACTTAATAACCTAATAGTAGACGGTTATTGCTTGTTCGTGGGCATGAGTTCTTACTGGGTCACATCCGACGGGGGTACACTGTGGGGGTATACACTGGTATTAGGATAGCAACTCAACGGGTCTTCATCTATGACAAATAAACAGTGTAGAAAACAACCACGAGCTATTCCAAGCAGCATCAAAGAAACATTATGATAGTAACCGAGATTATGAAGTCTATCCGAGGGTCAGCACTTCGGTCGACAATTATGATGGTCGCCAAGACACTTCGAGGTGTTATCAATGTTTGCTCGATTCAACATGGTGGTGGGATCAATTTTAGTTACATTCGGCAATAGCTGAAGTTTCATTTGCAAGGTAGTCTCAGCCTACCATTTAACATACTACTCCATATTACTGCAACTATAGCTTAAGACAAGACTATTTGTCTTTACGAAGAATGCTAACAAAAGCATAGGATGACTATTTATTAGGCACTGCTGTTTGTAAAGTAATAAACCTTACAGCAACGATGAAGTCATAAGGGTAGGTACATTACTTACACAGATGAGTCCATAGCAACAGAATATTGAATACCTAGCTTTTGATTCGATTCTGTAGAGTAACCTTTGATTCTGAAGTTTGCTTATAGGTATACCCCCCGAAGAAGAAGTAGTCACAACTTGACACAAGATGAGCATGTTACAGACACCGGTGACCTCTTAAACCTTCCTAGCATAATCATATCAGGACTTCCGATCCCATAACTGTTTCTACTATAATCAATTGACATCGGGACTATCTATATAAATTGCAGCCTTTTATAGGTAGTATACAGCGTAACAGGTAGCCCTTTTTATCAGTGCGTTAAGGCTTCTTCAAAGAGCCTTCTTAGCTGATCTCTCTCCTGTTCGAGTTCCTTAGCTAGACCAGGCGCCAGCATCAGAACCCTAGCTTGAGGTATCGTCCCCTCGACCAGCGCGTCGATGTGGCTCGAGTCAAAGCCTAGGTCTTTAAGTCCCTTCGGTTGGTCTCCTAGTTCAGCAAGGAATTGTGTGATGGCATCGGCCAAGACTTCACCAGCATCCTCACGCTTCACGTTCGTGATATCCACACCGAACGCTTCTGCGGCAGCGAGATGGCGATCAGGGTTCGATGCACCCGTGAATCGAAACACAGCGGGAGCTGATACTGCGACCGAAACGCCATGAGGAATGATAGGCGTTTCTACATCATATCCTGCGTGCTTGTAACCGGGATTTTGACCGGAGATAGGGTATGACATTCCTAATACTCTCTGTTAGTATGGTCCCTCTCTTTAGCTTCTACTTGAGACCGCATCTTACCATGGCATAAGTGAACACCAGCATTTCCGAAACCAACGCCAGCAAGCGTGGCGGCGAGGAGCATCTCGCTCTGGGCTTCGTAGTCTTCTGGGTCCTTGACTGCTCTCGGCAGATATTTGATGGTACTTCGGAGTGCATTTAGAGAGAATATGTCACTGATAGGATTTGCGCCCTGGTATGCAGGTCTTAATATGGGATTCGAGGGCCGGGGTACTCTCTCATTGAACGGGATGGCTGTCCACGACTCAAGCGAGTGGCAGAGGACATCCAGTCCAGAACTCGCCTTCACTGCTGATGGCATCGTCCTAGTGTTGAGCGGGTCGCATATACCGAGGGTCGGTTTTAAGTTGCGATGCGCGATGCCAGTCTTAGCCTTCTTTTCCACGAGGTCGAAAATGGCTGTGCCGGTCGTCTCACTACCAGTACCAGCTGTAGTAGGAATAGCGACTAGAGGCTTAAGCTTTTTATCAATTGGCCGTCCTTTACCCAATGGTGCATTAACGAAATCTAGAAAGTCAGCATCGGGATACTCGGTGTAGAGGTTCATCAATTTAGCCGTGTCGATCACCGAGCCCCCGCCTACGGCAAGGTAAGCATCCGGCCGATATGGTTTGGCAAATGCTATGGCCTCTTTGATACTATGTTTGAGTAAGTCGAGATGTGAGATACATTGTTGAATTTGATGTTAACTTACGAACTATCCTTTGGCTCAACCCGTACTTTATCAAATATTTCATATGCTATGCCTTCTCTCGATAAGGCCTCCTCTACTTGCTTGACGGCAGTGAGTTTTCGGACGGTCGAGTCGGTTACGACGCAGACACGTTTAGCAGCCATGTTCTTAAAGTCCATACCAACTTCTTGGGTGACGCCAGGGCCAAATCGGATTGAAGAGGCGGCCATCTCAAATGCATACTCCTTCTGCTGAGAAGGGTCTATAGGGGAAGCGAAACCGCGTCTCCCGATCCGCCTATTGGTATGCTGAGCATACGCGTCAATTTGAGGTCTTGCATGATGATGGTGATGTCCCGGGTTTGAATGACATGGACAATTTGGCGGGTGAGCATACTGAACCGTCCGTAGAAGGCTAGCTGCTCTTGTAGCAGCCTTATTAGTTGTATATCAGCACTCATCTAATATGATATTCAACTTTCAGAACTCACATTCGGTGCCACTCGAACTGCAGCAACCATCTTTATAGTTGGAGGTCTACGTGTGTTTATATCTCTCGCTTTGTGGGTTGTATATGGGTATTAATTGACTGGCTAATGAGAGGTATATGATAATGAATCGTCGTTGCAATAGCTGTCCTTCTCATACACTAAACTTATCGTCTATCCTCTATTTATTAATGTGAGCGGGTGAGATGGATAGAATCTCTTAACCTAAGACAAAAGCAGAAAAGACAATGTGGGGTAAATTGCGTCCCGCTGTGGGGGAATAGGCTTGTCACCGGTTCGAACCGGTAATAAATACCTTCTCCGCATAATCGAGACAAAATGGGGAGGCTCGGTTCAATAATTCTGGGGATCCATTGTTGTATTAAGCTTCACCTTCCCGACTTAAAGTGAAACTTGAACTCGAGCTTAGTCTGTGAAACTTCTCATGTACGGCTCTTACATAGTGTACATTGAAATCAATCTAGCGCGGATTCCAATTCGTTGTATTAGGTAAGGTACCTACTCAAGGTTACAACGAATCCCGCGAATAAGCTAAGACAATTGGTATTTCAAATCCACTTAGATATCATAACGTCACGTCACTGACCTCCCAAATTGAGCAAAAGTTCGTTCATATCAATGATCATGATTCGTCAGTGCCCGGCATGAGTCAGCCGGGGTAATTATCAACGATCTACCAATCTTACAAGAAAGCAAAAAAGGTATGTTCCAATATAAAGGGAACCTCCTCGGTTGGGGCCAATGTCAGCAATGTAAGGAGACGAGAAGCGAAAAAGAATAATGTAAATTTCAAATTAAACCCAACGGCACCTTCTCACTATGTCATCAACAGTTTCAGGCACAGCCGCGGGTAAGGAATCTCGCATGTGACTCCGGGATCTTTTACCAGACTTACACCTCGGATACTGGAAACTAGGGCCCCTCAATTCGCTTACTGATGTTCCCGGCGTTCTGTTCCACACCCAGGAGATTTTTACCGATGATGGTGCCGTGAATACCAGTGTCACGAGCATTTTGCCTCGAGAAAACTGGTTCTATAACGCATTATTTCAAGGGCGGCACCGGTAGCAGTAACAGACTCGTTGAGGGATTCGACAGCAAAGGTCAACCAAAGACTTATACTGTCGGCGTGCTAGTGCAGGCCAACTATGGGCGCCCACAGCACCTCCGGATCGCAGGTGTACCAGTTGGGAAGATCCTAGCTCGGGAGGCCGATGAAGCTGCCGAGAGTAATCCAGCAATCAAAATGGCACGAGAGGCGCTTGAAAAGGAGAAGAACAGAAAAGACGGGAGCATCGTTGTAATTATCGCGACAGATGCGCCTCTTCACCCTTCTCAAATGCAAAGGCTTGCTAAGAGAGCAACGGTGGGATTGTCAAAGGTTGGCGGTTATGGTCACAACCCATCCGGGGATGTGTTCTTGGCCTTCTCAACCGGAAACGAGATTCCAGTTCAGTCAATCTCGATGGAGCGGAAAGCAGTCGATCCGTTCAAGCCTACGCCTATCACAATTGATATTATAGACGACTCTTCGATCAACGGGATTTTTGAAGCTGTTGCGGATGCCACTGAAGAGTCGATATACAATGCCTTGTGTATGGCCGAAACAATGGTAGGAAATAAGGAGCACAAGATCGAGGCTCTCCCTCTTCAAAAGGTTAAGGAGATCATGGAAAGATATGATTGAAGTGAGGTATTGAGAAATGTATACAAATAAAATACATGTTGTACCTTTGGTTTGCTTATTGTCTTACATGTAGTGCAAGCTTCAAGTCACGACTCCATGGTGGATGTATTCATTCAAAAGGTTGTCTCGACTTGTCCGAAGTACTCAGTACATGTACATAAGAAATCAGATTGCTTACATAAAATAACACGTGAAATGTGGCTTTTAATCGTGGCGTTGAGTGCACGCTCCCTAGGTAGACATTCTAACATAGCGGGAAAGTGGGATTCGCGACCTTAAAGCTTATCAAACGGTAATGCCAAGAAGCAATAACCTAAAGACGCTTTGGCCTCAGACTCCCTGAGACACTAAATTGTACACAGTACATCATCAAACGTTCCGTTCCCTTCATTAAGTATAACCCCATAACTCGAACTATCCTCCTATCACCACCACCATCGCGCTCGTTAAAGTCGACCCTTAATCCTAGAGACCTACCGACAGGCTCAACTAGCTAGGCATTCCGCAATAACTCGTCCTGTCGCCCATTGAGATACTGAACGGACTCGAAAATGGTCCCTGAACCTCGGCGAACCGTCCTCGGCCATATATATTCATGAATTCGTCAGACGATATACTCCGTCAACTATGGATTACCAGCGCCAAAATGGCGGACCCGGCTTTGGCCGTGACTTTAACAGAGCTGAACGATTTGAGGATGAGAAGAGGCGCATTGTGGAAAGCTGCTTCAACAAGAAGGATGTTGATGGGTCAAGTAAGATTGCCCTTGGTGTTTTTGTGTTGCCTATTGCCTGTGTTCTACCCAACCGTACCAGGCGCTGACGTATATTGTGCGCCCGTGTAGTACTCGAAACATATATTACCCATATTAGAATAACTGAGTATTCTTCTCACCCGTCCTCCCCTCCGCCGCCCGAAACACGATCCCAATCCGAAAAAGCTCGAGTCATCATTGTGGCAGTGCGGAAGTCAGGCCGGGTGCGCATGCACAAGTCCAAAGAGAATGTAAACGGCACATTCTCTATTGGGAAGACCTGGGATTTAAACGATCTCAATGGTATCGAGTCCTTTACTTCCTCAAATTGCGATCCCCAGAAACGAGAATGGGCTGGCGAGACTGGGTTTGTCGTTAATGTCGGGAAGCCTTACTACTGGCAGGCCCAAGCCGACAAGGAGAAGAAATTTTTTATTGCTAGTCTTATCAAGATCTATGGGAAGTACACCGGCGGTAGCATACCAGAGTTAAAAGGCTTCGACTCCCGCGAACTGGAACAAGTTTTAGGGTCACGAAGGCCGCCACCAGGCCGAGTACTTACTTCAGAATCGAGTCCCTCGTTGCGAACTGGCCCTACCCCTACGCCTCCCCCTTCAAGGCCAATTGCCACTCCCCCACGAATGGAACCTAAAATCTCAAGACCCGATCCTACACAATCTCAACCCAATATCATTGCACCTATTCAGAACAATATTCCTCCTGCAGCCACCATTAGCGGATTCCAACCCTTCCGCCCTAATCAGCCTCCTGGTTCACCTGCGCGTAAGCTAGCCCCTCCTAACGGAACCTCTTCGCCAGCGCCAGCGCCGTCACTCGGTGCAGACTCCGCTCGCACAGGGAACCAAACTGCCGCTTTACGTAGACTAGCTGGAAATAATAAGAGTCAAGAATCCATAGCAGCTTCTATCTCCACAACGAGAAGTGATGACACTTCAAGCATACCGCCGCGATCAAGGGGAGGGTTGGCTGGACCTGGTGCCTTCGGTAGATTCGGTGATCCTTCTGGGTCAATTTCACAAGTGGACCTACCCGACAGAAAAAGACCGCCAATGGATCCAACGAGGCCGAAGGAAACCACAGATGATGACCTTGTACCAGCACCATTAATGAGCCAGGGCATGCGAAGGGAACCACCGCCAAGAAATACAGATCGGATGTCGCCCCGAAAGAATTCTGCCGACAGCAGGATGGAGAATAGCTCACCCGCGGTGAAGCCAGCACCGGCACCGGAGCCAATTCCTGACGCTCCCTCGAGTCCAGTAGATAGGACAAATGGCACGGCATCTACATCTGCATCGGTTGTCGAAACTAAGGCACCCGGATCACCGCCTACCAGTTCACCGGTGGACGAGGATACCCGTCCGGGATTAGGACCTATGATTAAGCCAAAGTCCCAACGTGATCTAGCTGGGGCCCTGTGGAAAGCGGCTTCGGCAGCAGCAGCATTTAAACCGCGGCCTGGTGGAGCTGGAGAGCGATTACGCGAAATGCAAAGCAAGACCAACCTCAATGGTCCAGACGGAATAACGAGCGTTGTCCCAGCACCGCCACGACCAGAACCCAAGCCAGAAACTCCCAAACCTCTAGACCTTCAGAAGAAGCCCATTGATAAAGCTTCCCTCGTCCCTGAAGTGAAGGTTACAGTGCCAAATTCCAGCCGGCCGGCCAGTTTACAAGCTTCCGCCAAAGAAAATCGGAGGAAGAGTATGGAGGCAGCTCGTCAGCAGGAAGCCTCTCGACGCTTAACTGTAGCCGGTAATGATACAAAATACTTATCTGCTCTCGGCGTGGATACGAACCTATTCCTTGATAAGACCTCGGAATTTGCTAGATGGCTAGATCACTTTGGTTGGGTGCCTGGTGAACAAATGCGAGGTCGTAATTTCGAGGAGATGAAACTTGATATAGATCGGGAGCTTAATAAAGCCCAGGCTGGAGGTTGGGTCGTCCGATTTCAAGAAGAGGATGATCGAGTGGAGGCAATTAAAAAGGGTCTTGATGTTGCCATCGCAGAGTGCGATGAACTCGACAACTTACTAACTTTGTACAGCGTGGAATTATCTGTGAGTGTGAGCCCACACACCTAAATGAGCCTTGCTAATCACCGTATAGACATTATCCGATGATATCGCGTACATAGAAGCGCAGGGCCAGGGTCTGCAAGTACAAGCAGCAAATCAAAAACTACTTAGGAAAGAGTTGGAGTCTCTGCTTGATACATGTGCCATCACCTCAGACGACCTGCGAGCCCTTACGACAGCACCCCTCGAGACGACCTCAGGTCTTGAAGAGGTCGAGACTGCGCTTGTTACCTTGTACAAGGCGATGATGAAAATTGACTCCTCTGCCGCAGGATCAGAGCTTCGAAAGAGCGAAGATGCGGGACAAAATTCTACCCTCAATACTGACTACGGCAAAATGCGTATTGTCCAGGAGAAAAAGGAGATGTACCGTTCAGAAAGCGTAGCATTCCTCCAGAGGTTCAGTGCTTTCATGTCCCGACAATTTGATAAGGCAGCCCAGGAAATCAGGTCAGCCGTAGATGGAGCTTTGTCCAAAAAGATCGATCCCGCACACCACGACATCGGGCGGGAGTTACTCTGGCGATATAGTCCTCTTATACTCTACGCTAGGGAGGTAAACCTTGAAGATTGGAATAAATGCTTACAGGTATACCAAGAGAAGAATCTCCCGCTCTATAAATCGAGATTCAAGGACATACTCGATTCGTGGAAGCGGAATGCCAGGAAGCCTTCGGGTGACGAAGCAGAGCTTCTCTTCACTGCCGAAATTGAGAGACAGCAGGAAGGCACAATGGCCACCGCCAGAAAGATCACCGTGAAACGAAGCCAGACTCTGGCTAGAAGCTTGCGGGGTCCCCTTGGTGACGGTAGCAAGACAAACCTTGACAAAATTTCAGACGGTCGTAACCTACCGTATGAAGTATTTGCAGGCATGATGGATGACCTTGTACCCCTTATCGAAATCGAGCAAAACTTCATCGTTGATTTTTTCCACGCAACCACTTTAGAGACAGCGGATTTCCCCGACCTTGTGGCTGCGTCAAAACCACGGGATCGACGAGGTGGTGATCTGAAACGACACAGGCTGATGGAGCCTGACCGGGAATTGGCTAGGAGAGTAACACGAGCCATGGAGGCAATATTCTCATTCTTGGAGCAAGACTTGCAGAATACGATCGACTGGGTGTTATCGCAGGATCCATTGTAAGTGCAAAATATTTAGGGTGCTTTGATATGACCATGGCTAATTCAAAAACAGACAAGGAGTCGGCATTCTCGCAATACTCGAGCACAAGCACTTAGAAATAACGCAGTCTAATCAAGATTTCTTGAACAACGTGTTGCAAAAGCTTCACGGTAATCTCGAGTCGCGTTTCACGAAATTCGTGGAGGGGCAGATTCGTGCAATTGAGGATACGAAGGTTAAGATTAAGAAACGCAAGGGTTTAATCTCCTTCATGCGAGTCTTCCCCCATTTCTCAAATGCCGTGGAAATGATGCTTTTGACAGTCGACACGAATTCTTCTGTTAGAAAAACTGTAGACAGAGAATACGACCGTATCATCAAGACTATGTTCGATTCCCTTAAGGTTATTGCTCGCGAGAACCCCTCCACTCTCACAAATAGCGGAGCCGATCCAGAGGACAAGGAAGCGCTGAACTACCATATCCTTCTTATCGAGAATATGAACCACTTCCTTGAGGAGCTCGATACTCACGGTTTGGAAATACTTGAAGACTGGAAAGAAGCTGCGGCAGGCGAAATGAGCGAACACACGGGTCATTACCTCAATGCAATCATGCGCCGACCATTGGGCAAGTTGCTTGAATATCTCGAAAATATCGAAGCCCAACTCGCCACAGGAAAGAGTCCTACAATTATTGCCGCACAACCGAGCAACGCAAGAGGGACGTTCAATAAGATCCTAAGCGGCTATGATGCCCGCGAAGTACGCAAAGGCGTCGAAGCATTACGAAAACGAGTCGAAAAACACTTCGGCGATGCTGACGACCCAAGCTTAAGCCGTGGCCTAGTCAATAGGGTCCTCCGAGAATGCGAGAAATACTATGGAGAAATCGAGGTTCGGATTTCCACAGTTACAACAACGGTATATGGTGGTGATGTGCTATTTGAATGGCCTCGCGCCGATGTAAAGAGTGCCTTCGCCACCGGTCGGTAGGTCGGACCGAGTGACTGGAAGCACACATCTTCTCTCGGGCGCAAGTCGACAAGCAGCGGACGGTCCCGTATTATAACATCGATGGATGGTTGGCATGATGGGAGTTCGGTTGGGAGTACATATTCACGATAATTGTATAAGATGATTGATTCATCCATGCGTGACCCTGCCGCGTGTT